AATTTGAAGAGTTATGGAAAATTAGCTATCTTGTGAAAGTACAATATTCAAGTTTCCTTTTGAATCTTTTGCAAGAAGCCACCCTCAGGTTGAAATGGAGATAACAATAAAGAGATTTAAAGGGGACTGAGGAATCTGAAAAATGAATGGAAAGTCAATATTGATGACTAATAAACTTAGGAGCCATTCTTTAGAGAGAGAGAAAGAGAGAGAGAGAACATAAGATCTTCATATAGTTTATGGTCAAGCATGCTTTAACTCAGTATCAAAGGCTTTTTCTTTAAATGCTAATTAAAATCTCTTATGAGTGAAGATCATTTAATCATCCTGTCATAAAGGCTGTTATTGTAAATGTACATTCACCTAATAATCATCTCTAAAAGCAGTGATATGAACAGGTGGTGTCTTTTCAAGTCGTTCATAGGGCAGGCTGCAAAGAGCAAAGTGACCTTGTAAACCTATATATATATATATACACCATGCCTTTTTATCTTCCTCAATCTATGGTGTACTAAATTAAATAAACTAATAAAAACCCTGTTATACTTCATTAATTTGCACCATGCCTTTTTGTGTTCCTCAATCTATGGTATACTAAAAAAACTAACAGAAATCCTGCTATAATTCCCCCTAATTTGTATGGTGGTTCTACGATATACGACACCAGAGTCCAAAACACCAGGAAAAACAGGCTTCTTAGTCAACTACATTTCACCATATTTGACCCAAAACCTAAAAGAGTTAGGGTATGTTTGCTACTGCAATTTGAGTTATTGTCAGGAAGAACACTTTTCAATTAATGTTGGTTAGAGATTATATAAAATTTATTGTTGAGGTGAATTTCACATATCATAATATAAAGAATAAATAACTGTCTAGTCCCTAAAACTCAAGTATAATGACTACGAAGGCTTCATATTTTGACTAAAAAACTAAATCATGTCTAACTTTTACCTCCATTAAACCATTTAGTCATTCAATTAAAAAAACGTCTTCTTTTGTAGTAATTTATGCCAGTATAAAGTTTCAAAATACTCCAAAATGGGTTTTTTCTAGTAGTATCTAAAATAATATTTTTTCCGAAAAAATAATTTCAACTTCAAGCATGCTTATAATTTTATAATCTAGTAAAAGACAGATGGTTCACTATTTTCCAAAAAAAAAAAACTTGGAGAAAAAAAAAAAAAGAAAAAGACTGACCATCTTTATAGGGATTAGGTGAAGAAAAATACTTTTTCTTAGAAGTCCAGCCCCAAGATCCAAAAACCTACTGGTATTATATAGTGTTCCCAACTGATTAAGATTTTACAATCAGCTTGACAGGGTAAAGAATTTTTTGAGATCAATAATTCCAGTCAAAGACAGAAGACTGAAACAATAAAAAAAAAAAAAAAAAAAAAAAAACAAAAGACAGAAACTGAAACAAAAAAAAAAAAAAAAAAAAAAAAAAAGTTTAAGTATGGGACTTACATTAGGCTGTGGTAGAATATTAATGCACCAACCAAGTCCTGTACAGATATATACCTGAGTATAACTAATGGTCCAAAAAGTAACTAAGCTAGAGTGACTCGAGTTACTTAAAAATGTTTTATTACTGATTAGTGAAAACTGAAAAGAATAAGAAAAGTAAAACATTCAGAGGGAATTTCATGACCAAGAAGAAACCAAAGATTTGGAATTATATGACATATTAATGCCACTAATGATAGCTTTAAAGAAAGTAATTTAATTGTGTTTTCAAAAAAAAAAAAAAAAAAAAAAAAAAAAAAAAAAAAAAGAAAAGTAATTTATTGAAAAAAGGAAGAAGAAAAAAAAAAAAAAAAAAAAAAGAAAGTAATTTAATTGAAAAGGAAGAGATAATGTTTATCATAATATATATATTCCCATTTGGGGAAAGGCTGGATGATATTGGGGGCATCCACCCAAAGAGTTAAGGGGGAAAATGGAGAAAGGAGTGGTGAAGAAAGAATGGGCCGGTGGTGGTGCTAAATGCTAGCTAATGGTGCTCAATGCTCATTCTCATATATATCAGTCACCCATTTTCTTAATTTTTTTTTTTTGTGGGTCCCAATCTAGGTTTATTCCTAAGGGGGCCTATCAGGTGACACGTGGCAACATATTAACCAATCTTTCTTTAATCTATACTCAGCAGCAAACATGATTTTGTTGGGCTGCAAGGGTTTTGGACTTTGAAAGTTTAAACACAACATTTGATGATAACCTTTGATAATTTTAACTTAAAAGATTATGTTAAAAGTGATTCCAAATTCTCTAATGTGCTTCACTAAGAGGAACATCTTCATTATGTTAAATTTAGTGCATTTGATTGGCTTTTCTACCACAAATTCTGGACCAAATGTACCTTAATTATACATTTCTTTATTTTGGAATTTGGTCTATGCTACCACTCAGTCATTTAGTATTTACTGTTTTTATATTTCTCCATCGTAATAAACATGAACCTTAGGTCCCCAATAAGGATGGCAAGATCCCTCTATTATACACCAAGTCTGTTTGGCATTGAGCATGAAATTGTTTTTCTTTTTCTAAAAAAAAAAGCAAATTTTAGATATTGATGAAACAATAATTTTTAAGGTATTTTTAACTCTTAAAATTTTTGTAACAAGAATACACAAAATTACAAATTTTTAATGATTTGTTAATCAATATTTTCAATGGAAGTATTTTTCTCTCGAGTAATTCAAATAGAATGGCAAACATATTCCAGAATGTCTAAAAATATATGGGCTAATGCATAAAATTGCCCCTTAATTTTATCATTTTAGCCAAGTGAACCCCTAATTATATGGTCCTATTGATCTATTGTCTCTCTATAATTATAAATTTTAGTAATATTGCACGCCACCGCTCTCTATAATTGGATTAAAATTCAAAAAGGAAATAAAAATTAATTAATATCCACACAAACAACAAAATCAAAATTACAATTATAATTGTTTTTTAAAAAATTAAAAGAATTCGTTAAGGCGGAGAACTGTAAACTATTTCATATGAAAAATCTTTAAAAATTGTCAATATAACAGAAAAATAATTATTCGTCAAACAAATATTTTATATAAAAGACAAATCTTAAATACTACATTTATCAATGTGAAAACGTTGCAAAATTACCGAAATTTATAACTATAATAATAACAAGAATATAGTTGGAGGACAAATTTATGCTTTTGACCTACTTTATATTGTGGAAATTAGTTTTCGCTTTTGTAAAGATTAATGGCATCTCTGCATTATGGAACCAGAACAGTCTATCTCGTTTCTTTGGATGATTATCTCTAAGTTCGAGGGAATGGAAATGGCAACTACTTTAGGAATTAGGATCTCGGACTACAGTCAAAAGGAGTGCAACTCATTTATGACTTATGATATATTCCGCGGGAGTTTTTTAAGTAGCTAACATTAAATGCTTTTTTTTTTTTTTTTTTTTATTAAATGCTTTTTTTTTTTTTTTTGTAATATTTGGTGTTTTTTTTTTTAATAGTATTTGGTAATGATAGTAATCTTGAACAAGCATTTAGATGTTTTTTTTTTTTTTTTTTTTGTAATATTTGGTGTTTTTTTTTTTTATAGTATTTGGTAATATAGTATTTGAACAAGCATTTAGATGTTAAGATAGTGTTTTATAGAAGATTAATTCCTCTAACGTTTTAGCTTCTAGCTTTTTATAAAAAGCTACTCAAACAGCTAAATGCTATTAAAACAGTTAAATATTGTTAAAACAGTTAAGCTAAATGCTACTAACATAGTTAACAACTATTAAAACAACTCATTTTACCGAACAGACCCTTTTATCAAGTAATGTATAGCTCACTCTAGAGGTAATTTGAGAATAATATATATCTGGTCTTGAAAATTTAGGTAGGCATACTCAAATTAGATTTGGAAGTACTTTCATGTTAAATTAATTTTCGTTCAAATGTTAAATAAGGAATTATGCTCTATAAAATAATTATTTTTCAAGATCGACTTTAGTTAGAATTTCAAAGATGGAAAAGTTACCAATTTATGAAATGCAACCAAAGAATAATTATCCTGTTTCAATATTGTTCCCCAACCAAAATGAAATCACATCATTTTGTGTCAAGCGAAGGGAAAAGGGAAGCAAAGGCCTAAAACCATTACTGCTGGCAGCACAGAACAAAACAAGTAACCAACACCAGTTTGATCAAAACAATTCTACCAAGCATCAATATATAATTGAACAAATTTAGAAATACCTTCAGGCAAAAGATGCAAATTCTAGCAATCAGAGTTAAAAGCAGGAAAAAAAAAAAGAGCTTGCAATTTTATCACCAACTTTCACTCTTTCGCAGTTTTACAAAATAATTATTTTAGTGTTTGCAATCCTGTGGCCAATCCAATTCTAGGCAAACTGATATGCATATCAGAGCAAAAGAGATGCACATGAAAAGAATTAGTTGAATAAAATATGGGGCAATCACTATATAGTCCCTAGGTTTTCAAAATATTAATAAAATATTCTAGATAAAAAAAATGCATTATTTTGGATTCCGAGCATAAAAGCAAGAAATAAGTAACTTCATGCTCTCCATGTTAGCAAATTCAAGTCTAATATCATATAAAATTAGATTAGTGACAGAATTATAAAATTAAAAAGCTACCACATAAAATGCCAAAACAAAAAATCCATGACAATTGAAACTTCTTTTATTTTTTTGGTCATCAAGTCAAGATGTAATTATGATCGATGAAAGTTATTTGTGACACTGAATATCAAAGACATGAGGATGCAAATGTACCTTTGTCGTGATTTTCTGGCTGGGTCAAGAGGACAGCAGGTGGGTATTATCGGTTGGGAACCTATAGGAAGACAATTTTAGCCGGCCGGTTTGACAAATATGCAACTGTACAATAATAACATGCATATGCAATAGCTTCATGGTGTATAAATTCGTGGGAAAATCACTCTAGATACTCTTTTCTTCAAGGAAATCATTCATATTGCAAAATGCATATCATAAGCTCAAAAATTGCTAGGCACTTATAACTTCGCTATCTCAAAATTTACAGCCAAAATGCAGCAACCGGACGATTTACCTTGAGGACTCAAATTAACTGGCTGTCAAGTTCTCCATGCTTTAATTTGAGAGGGAATTTAGCACATGTAAATTACAATTTCCCCAGGAAGAAATTTTCAGAAGAATCATGACTCATTAGCAACATAACCCAATACGTGGTTGTTACTTAACAATTTTCAAGAATCTCTCATTTCTCAAGAGGACAGAATGGCAATTTATTTACCAAAATAAGTTCTACAAGCATGGTGTTCAGGTATCATGAGTGCGCAGATTAGACGAGAGTGGGTATCAGCCATCTATGTAAAATTTACTTTGTTCTTGCTCCTTGATGATCTCTCCTTCCCATAATCATGCCAATGGATCCCATGGATAGTTCTTTTGCTGCATAACTTTACAATGGATTCCTATTTACATCTTTGTACAGCAAATACCGTGTCCGGGTTTTGCCGAGTGCAGCATACCTGAAATGGTAGTAAAATATTGCCAATAAGATTTCAGTGGATTGGAGAAATTATTCTATATCACATAAAACAAAGAGAGAGAAGGGGGAGTTGTATCTTCTTCACCATTGAGGCACAAAAGGAGCCATCCAGATGACATCACCAGCTTGAACTGGGTACCTATTATAAAGTAAGCATAAAATTATAGCATAAGAACAGACTTTTTAGAAGTGGTATCAAATGGTACAGCAGGAAAGAGCAAAACAAAAGCAGGCATAAAGTGATAAGTTAAAGTATTGTTTCATCAAAAGTTATTCTAGAAATATTGAGCAAAGCGCCCACTTAAGGCTTAGCTGTGTAAGCATGGCCATATTATTGACATGTGCACAGAAACTGTGGATTGCAAAGAACCGAGTCTAACATAAAAGCAAGATATTATTCACTCTGTCCCATGTGAATCTAATATATTCCAGAGTCCAATTTCTCTTAGCTGAATTATTTTCCACAAACAAGAAGTCTATATCTCGATCAACTATCAAGTATGCAAGTAAAAGCAAATTGTTAGTTATGGCGTGTGAATCAAGTATATGCACTAAAATACAACATGCAATTTCACTCCTATACTGAAGCTTCCAAGCAACAGAAAAGGATTTAGGCTACTTTAGTTCATGCAGAATCTATCATGGAAAACTTAAAATAACTGCATAAATTTCGGAAGATTGCTCAAGACGTAGCCGTAATATGTAAAATTTACATAATTACTAATCTAGAATAAAACTCTTACCAGCTATCACCCAAACGATATATACCCTGTCCCTCTAATAGGAGCAACCCATGCTGATTATAATGGACTTCCTGTAAAGCAACAAAACAGGGGGACAAAGTTATAATATTCACATGGCATGTTTGAGTTATAATATTCATGCAGCACGTTTAAAGGAAAAAAGAAGAGGGTTCTCAGGGTGTTTTGTATTTTTTCGGTATTAAGGAGCACTTGGATGGAGAGGACGAGTGCATTTTCAAAAACCAAATTTATTCTTTAATCTGTTATAGGACAAGGTGGGTCTCTACGCTTCTTTGTAGGCTTGTGCTTCGGGGGCTTGCATAGTAGTGTCTTTGAAGCATTATTCAACTCTGGAAGGCACTAGTTTACTAGTTTCTAATCTCATCTTTATGTGTTGGTTCTGTTTTTTTGTTAGTTAGAATTTCTGATAGAAAAAAAGATCTTTAAATGAAGCGTGACAATTTTCAATGAGAAAAAGCATACCTTCACATTGAGAAATTCACCAGGTTGAAAATCCATGATCTGCAGACAGGGGATCATGATATATAAAAGAACATAACAATAAATCATCCCATATTTCTATAAAAAGGGCTGTATTGTGCATGATTTAACATTTTGCAAATGCTGCAATATAATTTATGTACATTTAAAATATAGGAAGGCATATCCCAGGGGCCAAGGTTTATATGCATCAAAGTTGGAATCCAAAAGTAAATAAGGAGTTTCTTGCAATTATATTTTAACATCCCAAGAATGCCTCTTATTCTAAACTCCACTTAAGTGTTTGAAATATACAATTTTAAGTTTGATGATAAGGATATCAGCTCATTCGACTCCTCTTTTCTGAGCTACCACCAATTAGCTCCAACTGTAGTTTGTCAAAATGTACTCACATAAGGTGCTAACTTACATCCTTTAGCATAGTGAAGCTTTCTATAATCCATACAAAATGTTGGATATAAATATTGAAATATAGTCCAATTGCATCATGTATTTTATCTGCAGTCTTGTATTTTCCACTCAATAGATGCAAGTCCCGATGCAGAATATATCCAGCAGAACATGCAGAGAAGAAAGGAAGAAAGGGAGAGGAAAGAGGTGCTGACTGAAACTTATATTATATTCAACCATCAGAACTCAAAGTCCCATATCTTGTGAACAAACATCTAAATGCATTATACCAAAAGACAGTTTATTGACCATTCTGGTTAAACCATATAGATATAAAGGTTGAACTGTATGAAACAAGTTATAGCTTACATGGATATTGAAGTCATAAGGCAACGTTTGGGGAAGAAGCTTCCTAAGTTCAAAAACCTGTCAGCAAGTGAAGAATGAGAACAATTGCCATATAGCAGACTAACAAGTAAATGACAATAGCATTAAGCTTAAGAAAGGGAATGCATATGCCAACCATACATATTAAATATTCCATAATTCAAACACTTCACAAGAGTAAGATATAGCTCAAAAATCACAAGAATGATTGATGGAGGCCCAAGGAGAAATGTGAAGAGTATACCCATCTAAATTGAATGATAAATATATAGATAGGCGTGCATCGTTCAAATACTCTATGAGTGGCATTTAAAATTATTAGCAAAATGATAATCCAGGACTTACCTCTCCTGGAGTCTCAAGAAGTGGCTGCTTGTCTGTTGAACCCACAATCTGTTCAGTAATAAGATCGTCTAGAGAAGCATACCTAAAAGGATAAGAAATAGGTTTTGTGCTCATACTTATCACAAATGTTGCAACAGGTAAAAAAGAGATATAAACAACGAATCATGTACAAATCATCTTAACCCCACAAGATCTTTACATTATAACTTTAACAAGAAAAATAGAGCATTCAACCAATTTTAACAGCAATAGTGCTTTTCAATGAGGTTCCAAAAAGAAGTCAAAACTAAAAGGCAATGATAAATATAAACGTGGCTATTATTTTGAGTGAACCATAATTTCATAGAAACAAACCTGCGTTCAAAGACAACAAGAGTCGCAAATGCATCACACTCCAAAGAATGTTTGAAATTTGGGGGTAGATAAGCATATGAATCCACCTAGACAACCAACATAAAACATCAAAATTTCAAGGCCTCTATTTTCCTAAAGATAAAAGAAATCATGTCTTCACAGACACAAATGTAGTGAGTGTGTGCACATGCTTGTCTATGTGCAGTTAACAAATTCAAACCAAACACTCTTACCATCAGTTCATGGCTGGTGCTAGAAGCAGTAGTCAGAGTTGCAGAACCCTGAACCATAAATATGAACCTAAAAAGTTTAGAAAACATGCATTAGACTTGTTTCATCCCACTGATCATGAAAAATGAAAATATAGAACGATTAGTACACCTCTCAACATCATAAGGAGGGAGCTCTGATCTTGATTTTCCTGTGGAGGTGGAGTTTATATTAGTATTAAAAGAAACTACAATTAGTTGAGATGCATGTATTATTTTTTCACAAAAATGTCACGTAAAACATAAATGGTGCCCCTTTGATTTACAGATTATGGAGATATGAGTCATCACTCCAAAATTATCAAAAAAACAACTAAACACAAGAAACCTAAAACAAAAGCTGAAGTATTGTCTTAAAAAATCGCAAACAATTTTTTGAAAGTTTTATGACAAGATTTGTAAAAATTAACAGTTTCGAGTCAATTGTATAGATCCTCTGCCAATTCTACATCAAGATTGCACATTTGATAACTCTAGCACCAACCTATTCATTTAATGTTAAAATGTGATTGGATTGCCAGATGACAGCTTCAACAACTATATATATATTGGCTTATCAAAATCTTCACCTATGCTAAAGAGAAGCACATTAGAAACTGAACAAACCATACTGAATAGAATAGTCCATGAATAATAGCAGGAAAAGCATAAATAACTGACAGTCCAAATATGAATAGACCTTGCATCTTTGCGAGGTACATAACAAAGTGAGAGCCCATTGCTGGTGTGATTAGATATGCTCCTAAAGTATTTGTCCTGTCAAATAAATTCAAATGAGTAAACTAGCAGAGGTCTGATTTTACACAACAAATTGAAATAGAAAGCTGCAATACCAATTGGGTAAAGGACTGAATACATGACTTTCAGGTGTTATTAAAGCATGGTCGCTTTTATATACACTTCGTGTGAAACCTGGTAAGTCTGCCAAGAAGCAACCAAATTAAACTTCAGATGACCAAACTTCCCCTTGAACTGTCCACCTACCGAATATAAATGAATAAAACACAGAGTAGTTTTCATTTGCTTCCTTTTTTTTCTTGGTAAGATGCTTTCAATTCTTTTGTTTTTTGTTCCCCAAAAAAAAAAAAAAAAGGAATATTTGGTTAACCAAGGGGTGAGGGGTGTGGGGTGAGACAAATGTAGAGTTGAAATTAGATAATATCTACTCAGGGAGAGTGATGGAGGAATATAATTCATAGCAATGAAAACCGTGTTCCCGCCACCTTATAATTCCTAAACTTCATACAGTTTTAAGCTATACAAGGACCTCTGTTTAAACATTCCAGAACATTTCGTAAAACAAATAGACACTAACAGATTCTGGCTGATTCCATTTTTCTTTTAGCGATTTTCAAGCAAAATGTCAAGGACATAATCAATTTCTCTTCTTCTTCTTAAGAAACTAACACATAATAATAATTCAAACTTATTACATAACATCTTGATAATTCTAAAACCCAGTAAGAACTAATACTATACTCTATCCGACATACATAACACCAACCTTGGAGATGAGAAGGAGAGAGTGTGGGATTTGTGACTTTCCAATATAGAGGTTTCGAATCCTTTTCCGCATCAAATACTGAAGGCGCTGAGCAAAAACCTCCATCAGCCAAAGCAATCTTAACTAAACCTGAAATTAAATAGTTTAAGAATTAAGTTAAAAATCTGAAATAACAGCTAAAGAGTTCTGTCCGTTTAAAAAAAATGCATCGTGTCTGATTGCTGAGAAAGCTAGAGAAAATAAAAGAAAAATAGCAACATTAATCTTGTTTTTTCAGATTGTTTCGACCAAAACTATAATGTGTTTTGTCGGCAAACAAACGGAAAGGCAAGAAAATTGAAGGAGAGAAAGGGATGGCAGTACTCAATATCAGAGAAATGAAAAGGAGAAGAACGGACTGTAGCGAAAATAGGGAGGGAGTTGGCATTGGTTTGGATTTGGTGACTGGAATTCGAGTTGGTGAGTGAGTGAGTGAGTGACAGTAGTTCGTTGTTTGGTTGCTTGGCTTTCTTGATTGTTAATCTGTTACGACTTATATGACTTGCAAGTAGCAAGAGAGAATGTGAGAGAGGAGAAACGGACAAAAACGGACAAAATGGTGGGTCTGGTGCGACTCCGGAAGAGTGGAGTCCGTGTGGATGTTGGTGGTTGCTGACTTGCCGAGACCTGTTGAATGGGCGCGCCCGTTCGGTTTTAGGTCCAGTTTATATTGGGCCTAACTTTTTATATCTCAGCCCCTAACCTGGCCAGGACATGGCCGCCGGCCGGGGTGTGCAAATGGACAGTTTAACTCTGAACCGAACCGAACCACAAAAATTGAAAATTTGAACGAAAATTTGCATTTGAATCGAATCAAATCAATCAGTTCGGCTGATTTTGATCGATTTTTGCCATATTGGTTCGATTTTAAGCCCAGTCAATCAATTTCTACGTAATTGACTCTAAACTAAACTGATTCACAAAAATTGAAAAACTAAACCGAAATGGCATTTGAATCAAAATAAACCAATTGGTTCGGTCGATTTTGATCAGTTTTTGCCATTGATTCAATTTTAAATCTAATCAATGAATTTCTACAAAATTAACTGAATCGATTCGGATCGATAGATAATTTTACACACCCGTGCTCTTATATATTATTTCTCTTTTAAAACATAACCTATAAACAAAATTTCTTTTTAAAATCTTTTCTTCCTCTACCTCTAATTTCTTCCCCTACTTGTAAATCTTTGCAAATTTTTTCAATTAGACCGTGAAATTAATAGCCTAGGTCGTGTGTCAAAAAAACTGGAAGTTTTAAATATAAATCTGAGATTTTAATCGAGCTATTTAACTGTGAGAAGATGTATAAAAAAGTAAAGAGAATAATAGCAGAGCAAGCAGGCTTGGAAGGCAGCTAGCTATGAATCTTTCCAAGCACTATTCTGGCATTGTTCCTAAAGCTCAATAAGCATATAGAACGAGAAGAAAATGCATGGCCGTTATGCATGGCCGTCCTCGCAAAGCTCCGAAACCTAAAGATGAAGCTGCTTCGGCTGCTAAAGCAGAGAAGCTAGGTGCCTTACAATCTCAGCTCCTCTCCAATCACCTAAGCATAAAAAATGAACATGAGCCAGCAGCTACAACATGGCAATTGAAAATCATAGCAGAATAGGTAGAAAACTTCCGTGAGTTGTCAGATTGGTAAGCCTGCTTCATCTGATGAGCAAAAGTAAATTTGTGAAGCCTGTGTTTCTTAACTCTGCTTCTGTTTTGCAGTAAAATTGGAAAGCTCACTCTTGCAAGACTGTTGACAGCTCACGATTCGTTAATGTCTTGTAACGAATTGGTCCATTCTGAAGAAGTTCTTAGACTATATAGTGACTCGATGAAGTTGGATCCATCACATTCTCAATACTACAAGGACAAACGCTGTTTGGTTTTATTCTACTTGGTATTTTCTTTTTCTTTCATGGATTATTTCTGTTTAAATATGTTAGAATGTATAACTTTTTAATATCACTGTCTTGCTTAAAAATTTCTAGGAAAAAGGCAATTTAGATTGCTTCTTAATATTGGCAATTAGAATTTGGTTTGGGCATTTTACAAGCTTCTCACCTCATGTTGTCTAGTTCTAAATCAAAGAAATCCGGTTATGATGAAAGCATGCAGGTTTCAATTAATGGGAATTTGTTTCGATCACAATATTAAAATTTTACATAAGGTGAGCAGTTTCACTATGATTGTGCAGTTGAGCTCTGGCAGGGAATCTATAGTAAGTCGCTGCTTTCACTATAAGGACTTGACTTCACCGAGCCATGCATATCCCATGTGTTTACGACTCAATAAATTATCGTTATCACGAATTGGGTCTGTTGAGAAATTACTGTGGGTCCAAATGCCAGACTTGAGCCAGAATGAACTTCAATCAATTGAAGGTAAATTGCTTTTCACGAGTTAATGAGGTCTTTAACGCATTCCTTCCTCCTTTCTGAACTGCTTGTATCTTTATGAATAAATCCTTATTTCCAGTTCTTTGTATTGTTGAATGAAAAAAAAAAATCTCATGCGTTTGTGTATATATGGCAGGATTGGAGGCTATGCAGCTACTTTCTTACTTGTGTTTGAGCAAAAATAAACTCTTTAGTTTTACTGCTTTGGAACCTTTGAGACAATTGAACTCATTAAGAGTGCTGGATATTTCATACAATGAGATAGGTGCACACTCTTATTGATACAAGAAGATATCTGTGCTCCTCTCCTTTGTCTCATACAGTTGGAAGCGAATGGAAGCAGGATAAACTTGTGATTGATGGGCTCAACATGACAAATTATTGGGAAGCATTTCTTGTATTGAAAGGCTTGAACTTGACACAATTAGAAGTGGTGGTGAATGCAATTGCTGATGAAAATTTTACCTTATTTCTGGTTAATGTTCTGCCTACACTTAAGTGCCTGGATGGTATACAACAGAATTGAATTGTAGTAGTGTCGATGAAACATTAGGACCAAGTATAATTGGCTCAATTGATTGTAGTAGTTGAGATGTAAGGGTCATATACTTTGACTTTGTAGAAGAAAAGTCCTCGAAGTGTATAGAGAGCAGCTCAGTTGTGGACTTACTTACAGTGTAAGAGAGTAATTCCAATGGTTTTTCAGCATTGGTCCATAACATCAAGCTATGGCTGGGTCATAGTAAATTTGTCCATGAAGAATGCTAGCTCATATGATATGGCTAATGCCATCATGTTCTACATTTTTCAATTGCTTATCTCATTAATGCATTCATTCTACATTCTTTTAAATCTATTTATATTAATGGGTTACCAATTTTAATAGAAAACAAATTACCTTAAAAAATAATTAAGGTATTTCAACCAATAAAAGAGAGTATTGGACTGTCCTTCCAAAAGAGGAAAAAAATAAATTATTTCCATTAATCTAACCTCTTATTTCCATTAAAAAAAATATCTATAATGTGAAAAAAAATAATCATTTTGTTCCACTTTAATAGCAATATTTAATCTTTTCACAAAGATTAAAAAATGATTGGAACACATTGATTTTTTAAAAATATATGATGGAATGTCTAAATTGTTCTTAAACTTAAAAGCTCCCCATTTAATTTTGCTAACAAACACCTAATAATTATAGGTAAAATTGAAAAAAAAATAATATACTCTCAAAATTTTAAATGAACACTTAAAACAAAGTAAAATGTCTATTTGTAACTATTGAAATGCAACGAATCGAGTAAACTAATTGGTTAAAGTTTAATGAAAGATGTAATTCCTCTGCTCATGCTTGTAGCATCAATTAATACAAAATTAATCCAATTACAAGAGGGGAAAATGCGTGTTAAACATTTTTATTTTATAACAAAATTCATACCACGTATCGAACTGGCTCGCTTTTATTTACGTGCATTGACTGAAATAAGAGCCAAAGTACAGAAAGTCTAGATATTGCACTCCCTATTTCTCCAGCAGAATTTTACAGCCAGTCTTTTGAGAGCTCTCTATGGTTGAATTTGAAAACATTTGATTGAACATCAACCCAATGAAATATATTCTGCTGGGGCTTGGACCAATTCTTGAAGCTGATCAAGAATACTTGTAAAAAAGTCGAACAGATTATTGATTTGGCGCCACCCAGACATGCGTAGTGTCACGTGCATCAAGAACAGGCCTCCGTTGGGCTAAGGCTCATGGTCTTGCACTGGGTAATTGGGCTTGTCCTTATGGGGCAGGGAAAAGTTTCTGTCGCTTCTTTAAAGGACCGAAAATTTTCCGTTTTGCTTGCTCCGAGTCTGATTCTCTCCCTCAGTCGTTTCTCAGGAAGACGGTTTCTACAGAATATTACAAATCAAAAGGGCACCATTGCAAAGTTACAAATCTAGTGACAACTAGGGTTTAACAGACCACCAACTGAGGAGAGAAAAATAAAATAAAATAAAATAAAAAGCTAGGGTTTATCAGAGAGCGTTTGAATCAAACATCTTCAATTCATACTTCTATTGCACCAAAAAAAAAAAAAAAAAAAAAAAATAAAAAAAAAAAAAAAAAAAAAGAAGAAAAATAGTGGAAGGGAGAGCTGTGACTCTCTCTCACTTGATTTTTTTGACAATGAGTGCCGCAGAGAGCAATTCAATGGAGTTCATAGTCTCTTCTCTCTCAAGCAGCTTTAAACAAGTCCCTTTGCCAGCTATCCCACCAATGCTTGATTGCATTTTAGCATCCACAGGCTTGTCTTCAGCTTCACTTTTCTATTCCCTTCTTGACTCTTTTCCTAATCTCAGCAAGGTAATTTTATCACTACTTGTACAGGGACTTCGGTTTGTTCTTGTTTGAATTGGTTTCACTCGGTTTTGTTTGGTTCCAAGGAAATGGCTTGGAAACCACTTTCATCAAGTATTTTAAGTATTTTGTAGAGTAGTGTGACTAAAACAGAAAACTAAATGCATTTTTTCTGCATTTTATGGGAATTCAACTTTCAGAGTCCTGGGGATATGGAAATAACAGCAGTGAGCTAATCACTTTAATCTACTTATTTTATCACACAAGAAAAAAGGAATTATTGGTTTAAAAGTCGAGTACTCTTTTTTCCATTTTCATTTTGTTTCTCCTATGCCCCTTTAAGTTTCTTGGTAACTAAATACTTGTTTGGAGTTAAGTTCACGCTTTATATTTGGTAGGATTTTATCAAGGAGGACCAGAAGTTGGATTCTGGTTGCTGTGACTTTCTTATGTCAATTGTGGGAGCACTTTGTCACCTTTTGAAGAAGCTTGGTGAGTTTTGATATTTAGTCCAGTATAAAACTTGAGTTTCCCTTTCATTTGTGTTTTCTTCCTTAGTCTTAGACACTAACTCTCACCTAACTGGATAATCTGTAATGCAATCAGTTGTCTTGGAGCAATATTTTTATAGACCAAATTCTCAAGTTCCAGCCCCTCCAGACTTAAGGTTATAGACCGTATCTTGATAGCTAGATAATCCCTCTTAACACTTGAGAAAGTCGACTCCCCATCACAGTCTCAATCATATCATCTTCATGTACAAACACTCCAAACAAAGAGCAAAAAAATAATATTGGAGAAGCATGCTTGAATAAGATTATGCACCCAATAAGGGAGAAAATTGCACCCTTCCACTTTAATAACCTTATATAATCTTTGGTTACTACAATATTGTTATTTGAATTTGGGTTGTCCATTGAAAATGCCTTTTTTTCATGGATGAGTGTATGCTATTATTGAACATATATATCTTATTTCTGATTAAAGTTTCTATTCAGGGATTAATCCTAATAGCATGCAGTCATTTATCTGGAGATGCTTTATTCCATTGATGAAGATGGTTCATGTATTGGAGCGTGAGTTGCTTAACCAGGTGAAAAATGATTAGTATTAGTATTGTTATTGTTTCTCTATCATTTCATCTCCATCTATCTGTTGCTAACTGCCTATGTTGTTGCATACTTTCATTTAGATCGTAGAGTCCTTCTTTAATGCTGTGACCGTGACTGATTCTTGGGGTGTTTTAGAAGCTACATTGGTGCCATTTTTCCTGAGATCAGCTGGTCTTTCAGTAGGTATGTCTCAAAATGAAGAATCAGATATCTTTGAATGGGATCAGTATTCAGTTCTGCAAGGTTTAGATGGCATGATAGATAATTTGAATCTGGATAAAGAGTTTATCCTCTCTCTATCTGGGTCATTTCCACTTTCCATATCATGCCATGTTTTAACCTTAATACTAGATTCTGCTCTGCAAAGTTTCCAGGCAGCTTCAACTACAGAATCAATGTTGGAAAATGACTCTTGTTATGCGGATCAGTTGTTTAGCAAATTGCTTTGGGATCTTTGCAATATGAGTGAGCGATTATTTTCACGAAGTTTGGAACACCGGTCTTGTGCTATTAGCTTTCTTCTCCCAGTCCTTTTTAAATCATTTGTTTCACATCACTCTTTGGAAATCTCAGTTGATGGGAGGGCATGTGTTCTTTCCAGGTTATGATTTTACTTCGCCTGATTGCATATGTCTACTGTTTTATAATTTCACCTTAAACCTTGTCTAATTTCATTTGTCTATTCTCCCCTACTGAGTCCTTTTGAATGGTTCCAGACACATTTTCTCTAAGAAAATATGGAATTGCTGCAAATCACTGCTGTCTTGCGGACCTTTGGAGAGAAGAGATGCATATTGTGTGCTCTCTCTATACTTGTCCTTCCTCTCGCGTGTGGAGAGATGTCAGAATGCTGATGCAAGTGTTAGAGCAGAAGAATTTGACGTGAGAGCTGAAAGAGAATTTTGGGTTGAAATAAAAAGGGGCCTGGTACTTGAGTAAAACTTCTCCCCAATTTTTTTTCTCACAATGATATGCTTGTTAACTCAGCAGTTCATAATCATGTTGAAATACATCTTTGATTTAATGTGTTCATTTATGGTCATGGTCTTGTCAGGTTGATGAGGAAAGCTTAGTGAGGAAGCAATCATTACATATATTGAAAAGAGTACTACAAATAAGTGAAGAGGGCCAGCGCAACTCTTTTGTTCCAGAGAAGAAATCACGAGAGAAACATTCAGTCCCTCATGGTATGACAAAAAGGGAAATGTGGGCTAACAAGGAAGCTAAATCACTGGGTGTAGGGGAAATCTGTAGTTCAATTGATTCTCCCTTAGACATTCAGCAGCAGTGGGAGGCATTCATACTTCAATATGAGATGCTTGAAGAGTATGGTACTCATCTGGTAGAAGCTGCCTGGGATCATCAGGTGCTTAATCAGCTTCCCATATCACTCATTTTCTTAACCAATTCATTTTGAATCTCTTATCTGGATAAAGGGAAATTTTTTTCATCTTAATTGGGATAGATCTTTGTTATTAATTCTGCCTCCTTCTCCCTAGTGAAACAAAGTATGCCGTAGCAGCGAATTTAACAATATGGCTGCTAACTACTAATGGTTGCATGCAGATAACCTTGTTGCTTCAGTTTTCAGTATCACGTGATAATTTCGCGAGCTCTATTTGTGGGAGAGTTTGCCAGAGTGAGGTTGAAGATTTAGGTGAAGTTTTTACTTGGTTAACAATTTTGTGGCAACTGGGTTTTCGTCATGACAATCCCCAAGGTATGTTGTGCTTCTTAGCAAAAAGGTGTTGTCAGATCAATTATTTCATATAAACTTCCCCCCAATCTAGTGATAAATGTTCTTTTGTCCATATTGCAGTTAGGTGCTTGATCATGCAGTCATTTTTGGGCATTGAGTGGATGGAGTATGGTGATGCTGCAAAATCAGTGCCTGAAAGTTTTGTTCTTGGTCCATTTATTGAAGGATTAAATGACCCTGTCCACCACAAAGATTTTGGTATGCTCTCAACTTGTTTGGTCATGAGTGCTTTAGCCTTTCAGTATTGAGAATATTATAACTTAAAATTCTTATGATTTATTTGTGAAGGAACCTCACAAATTCTGAATATTCTTTTAAAACTTTAAGACTCTTTCTTTTGAGATCTATTATGTTGATTCACATGTAAAGATATTTGCAGCTTTATAACATAATTTATATTAAATGGTTGGGTTTCATTAATTCTAAACTATTCTTTTGGTTTGTACCACATGCAAAACTTAATAGTAGCTCATTATGATATAGTCTATTTAATGGAGACAGAACTGTTTTGGGTTGGAAGTTCCATATTTTGTGCTTGTGTGTGTCGCCACTTGCCACAGGGAGGGGGAGAGGCGGAGGGCAGTGGGGTAGGTTGGTGATGGCGTGGCCAATGCTTAGTTGGTTTGTGTATGAGAAGGAGAGAGATAGGGAGAAAAGGAAGGGAGGAGGTTTCAGGGAAATGTATAAGGAGTTAAGATGCAGCTGATTTTTTGGGATGTATAGGGAGTAGTAGAATCAGTTGCTTTTTATTAATTGCTTATGTGTGTGTGTATGTGCGTGTGTGTGTTTATGAGTGAATGTTAGGAGGATAACTTACCCTCTACGTCTAATCCTTCTTTCCAAACTCTTCTATAAATTTCTGTTTTTTCATTCAATAAAAAATAAGAGTTAGAACGCAGTGTGAGTGGCTATGCTTTTGAAACAACTGATCAGAAATCAAAACCTTAGAATCCTCCACTGATGGTAGGGGGAGGAGGGCATCCTCTCTGAACTTGTAGTTGGTGGCTCACGAATCAATTCTTATAGTTGAGGCAATTAAATTAGCCATTTTTCTAAACTATGTCCTAGTATTTTATGCTCGTTTAGTTTTTCATAAAATTTTGTAAATATTCTACAAATATTAACTGTTGAAGTTTAAATTTTGTCCTTGTCTTTTATCCATTAAGTATACCTTTCAATGAGAGCAATTAATGGATGCTTTTGTTCACTCTCAGTGATTTCATGATAAAAAAAGACTAGTTGGAAATATCATGTTTCATTCAATTGATTTTCAACATGTTTGCTTTTTCTTCTTTTAGGTGTAAAAGGAGTTTACACTTCAAGGACTATTGAAGGAGCAGCCAAGTTTCTATATCAATATACAAGACATCTAAATGTGAGGTATGCTATTGCATGCTGTATGAGTTCATTTTCAATAGCCTGTTGCTAGAGATGACAGTGGGGAAGGTGAATCGGGTCTTTCAATCCCTAAACATTCACTGTCCCACAACCTGGCAGCCAAGTAATTTTTTCCTTGTCACTTTTCTCCCTCTGCCTTGCCTGCTCCAAGCTTGAAACATTTTTCTTTTATTGAATTCATAATGTATTTTTTATGTTGTCGCCTTCTTAAAACAATTTAATTCAAAATGATCATCTTCAATTTTCAATTTTAAGAGGCAACTTCATGCCTAATTATGGAGAAATCTGAATGATATGTTAAACTATTACAATTATATTCAAATTCGTTTATGTAATATACAATTATATTCAAATTCTTTTATGTAATAGCTATAAGAAAAATCTTCATAACTGACACTAAAAACACTCGAAGATATGTTTCTGTCTAATGTCTAACACGAAAATCGGAAGGATAAAGCAGAGTTTGGATAAACTACACGTCAGGTTCTGCAAGTGATAGTATGTATTGTTCCCAACTTCCTTTTGATCAAAAGAATTTTCGTTTTCCCTGAACCCACCTATACCGGGCAAAGTTTAGAAAACCTATTCCATTTTTAGTGACAGATGCTATATGTACCTGCTTTTTATTAGAAAGTTCTAAATTATTTATTTATTTATTTATTATTATTATTATTATTATTTATGAAACTTCATATTATTTATGAAACTTCATAGTTTTGAAGTGCTACATGTATGCTATGTGATAAGAAAATATCTAATAAAGCGAAAGGCAAATTCTATAGAATGATAGTGAGACCAACAATGTTATATGGTAGCGAATGTTGAACCCTTAGGTCTGATATATTTACAAGATGAATGTTATAGAAATGTGGATATTAAAATGGATATGTTGTCATACAAGATTGGACAATATTAGTAATGACGACATCCGGCAACAGGTGCAAGTAATTTCTGTTGGAGTGATTTGTTCTAAAAAATGCTTCTTGAAACAGAAAGGCTGATGTATGCAATTGATCTCATATGGTTACAGGAAAGGAATTGACTTTTTGCATAGTTTAGCATTGATTGCTAAACATCAGTCTTTTGGTAGAGCTGGATTAATGGGTCTTGCTGAATGTATTGCTTCAGCTGCTTCCGGAGTAGGAATACAGGATGATAATGAAGTTGAATGGAGCGAAGATGCTTCTCCTAATGCAGTTCAGTTGAAATCTTCTTCAAACAAAATTCACCACCTCGACAAAACAGACTTATTGGATACTTTGAGATTTGTCATTGAGAGCAGCAAACAACATTTCAACCCTAATTATCGTCTTCGAGGTCTCTAATCCTTATCTGGTTAGATTATGATAATGTGCTTCCATAATTTAAGATGTACACTTCAACATGAAAGGCATTTGCATATTATTTTGATTCCAATTTTGGCATTTTCAGTGTGTGAAAAAGTTCTGGAGGCTGTTGCTTCTGTTGTCAGTACATTCAATGTGCCACTAGAGGTTCTCTTGCACTTTGTTTCAACATTGCCACGGGAGTTTACTGATTATGGGGGTAAGGAATAGCTATTATACAAGGGTTCCTGACCCTAGTTATGCTTTTCTAACATATTGGTTTGCTATCTGGATATTTTTTGTTATTAATCTCCTATCTTTCTTTTTGTTCTTAATGATTTTGTACTTTCACTTGGGCCCAACGGGGAACCCTGTCGTAATTGTAGCTTCTCCTTGTATTTGATTATTTTCTTTCCTTCTAAATTTGCCATTAAGAATAAATATAATTGCAACTTATTTTGCTTTGTGACAATGAAATCCTTCTCTAACAAGTTCTGCATGATTTTTGTTATTCTTTTTTCTGTTTTGTTGATGAAGAGAAGTCCTATTGATTAGGGGCTGATGCCTGTAAAGGAATATATAATTTTATTTTGATGGTTTGAACCCTTAATTATTGTATTATAGGCCAGGTAGTCACTCTATAGGAAACACACACTTATGTTTCTGAGATGCTTCCTGGAGGGGTGAACAACTAATTTTTAGTTTTTACTGAAGTATGGAACTATCAACTGTTTTTTACTGAGTAATGCACTTGTGTGATGAAATATGAAGCTATCAATCTATATATATTTCCTTTACAGATTTCATGATTATAAGGTTATTGTACTGATCACATTGCCCTATATAGGCTCTGTATACTGCTGCTATGGAAGCATGTAATGAATAAAAATCCTTATTTGTAATGGTACTGTGAAATCAAGTCATGAGTTACTGCTGGTAAAATTTATTTTGTAAAATTCCACTAGTACGACTTCTTGGTCTTCTGTTGTATCTGAGAACTTTTGCACTCTTAATTTAGGTTCAATTCGCTCTCTCTCTCTCTCTCTCTCACACACACACACACACACACACACACTCTCTCTCTCTCTCTCCTCTCTCTCTCTCTCTCTCTCTCACACACACACACACACACACACACACACACACACACAGACTTCACTGCTGCAAAGGATTTTCTTATTGATCTTTGTTTTTTCCCTCTTTATGTGTCTCTCTCTATTGTAGGTTCGTTAAGAGAAAAAATGCAAGAATGGCTTTTTGGGGGTGATAAGTTTTACAGTTCTAATAACAATAGTAATCAGATTAAGCTTCTGAAAAGCCTTCAGGAATTCCCAGAAAGGTTTACCAGCTCCCAAGTTTTTGTCGACACTTTTGTTAGTTTTGATGACGAAGACTTGGATGCATGGGAATCTGAAGCAAAAAGATGGGCAAGAATGCTATTTCTTGTAATCAAGGGGGAAGATCAATTAGGGCCTATATTCACGGTTTGCCTTTACCTTCTAATGCTTTCTTCTAATTAATTATCTTATGTGGTATTCCCAGCCTACAAGTCAATATGTAGAAAATAGTATTAATTATATATTCAGGCATTTTAGTTTATCTGTAAGCATATAGATGTTATTATGGGAAATATTGATGATAATTGGTATGATAATTATAAATTTGGGCATGGAAATATCAGTTTTAAATTTATTGGTGATTGTGAATAATAGACGGTTAGATAGATATATCACATTTTTTTGCAGGAAATGGAATAATTATAAGAAACTCTGGTTTCTTCGAAATGAGACAATTAATGGAACATGTTCCCACAACACATACACACCCCATCCTGTTCCTTTTTCTGTAGAACTTTTTCCAATTATCTTTATGCTGTTTTCCTGTGTTATTGTGTCAGCAACTTTCTTTTTGTTCTTGGCTATTTTTTGCTTGTAGAATAAGCATACTCTGGTTAGATATTATTTTGCAGTATTGCATATCAAGGACCTAGTTTTTCTTGCAAAGCTTTTCCTGTTAAGATGGTGCTATTGTTTGATTGCTTAATGAGGACTTTTTTACCTGAGCTGTTTTTCATGTATTTCTGCAAATAACATAGGTGGAAAATATGCTTTTATTATATGTATAATGTATTAAATTAGAAGGAAAGAAAGGAGTTGCTGGTTTGAGAAATCAGGACAAATATATCCTGCCAGCTAAATTGAACTATGAGCTACTGATTCATATGTTGTTGGCCATTTATTTGATAATATGGTATTCTACAGAAAATTTGGAATTTTCCTGTTGGTAAAAGTTTATCGTTTATTCATTATACTTTGTCTATTCTGACTCTTATTTTGAATTGCTTGTCCAGTTTATTCGCAAGTATGGGGTTAACATCTGTGAAGAATTCAATCGTGTTGGTTGTTCACCTGTGAAATTTTTTGTCATTACCATTAATCTGGTTGCAGAGATTCAACTAATGCAGGAGAAAGCACTTGACAATGGTATCAGAATTAGAAATAAACCCAAAGTTAGTTTGTTTGAGACAGTGGATCAATTGGATTGTGCAGAAGCTTCTATAATCAATGGAAAATTGTCTGATATTTTTCTGTCAATACTGGTACTATGCTAACTACACATACATACTTGGTGTATGACTCTATGTAACTTATTATTGATGGAACTGAGTCTTTTTCTCTCTTTTTTTTCCAACTTGAAGGACGATCTGGTCAATTTTGCTTGTGCATCTTGTTCCATTTTCTTAACTAGCACTGCCAGGGACACAAGTCTTCCCAGTTCTGTGAGAGGAAAACTTGGAGGTCCAAGTCAACGTCGGCTTTCATCTTCAACCAATATATATATATATATATATATTTATAAAAAGCCGGTTATTTTGTTGACATATTAGATATAAATGCACATTTAACCCTTTTGCTGCTGTGTTATAACTTTCGGATAATGTTTATGCTAATTCTAGGCTGCTTTTTACCTCTTTCCATGAGTTTATACACACGTTGTTTGGTGTATGGTTGTATCTTATAATAGCTGAAATTTTGTTTCTTCATCATTTGTTTTTGACTTATTTTTAGGCTTAATTCGGTTTGGTTTTCTGCTTTAATAAAAACTGAATCAAGCTGGTTGGTTAGGTTCGTTTGCTTTGGTTTTGTCTGTTTTAACTGATTTCTGCTCACCCCTAGTGGTATAGAGGGATTAAACAGTTGTTTTGACTTTAGATGCTTTGGATTTTAAAAGGATAACTTAGGTGTGCCATAACCACAAGCAGTTCATGAAAAGTATGTTTAATCACATTGTAAAGCAGCAAAAGATCATTAATTTTCTGTATTCCTGTTGATAAAGTGTAAGCATCAACAATGCTAGCAGCATAAATCAACTTCGCAGCAAAAAAAGTACAGAAGATAAGAGATATAAGCTATATATTACTATCATATACAAATCACATATAAACAGGAACAAAATGGTATTCTTCTTTGTTGTGTTGCCAATGATATTGTCCATAAGAATCTCTTGTAAATTTCTTATTAATTTTGCATGATAGTAATTATTGTTGCTTTTCCATTTTCACATCTGTTGCTGCTTTTGTGAAGCTGCCATTAAGCTAACTAGCTATTCTATAAACCTTCATTATTTGTTTATGCTCTAGTTTTATTGCATTTTAGGTTGGATTTGGATCATCTATCAGAGAACAGCCACTATTGGCTGGAAAAATTTTTTGGATATATGTGCCTCTTGTTCAACTAAACCTCTATCGTGATGCTTAATTAAAATATTTTGTTATTCATTTCCTTCCTCCTTTTTGTTATGTTATTTTCTGGTCATCTAATCTTAATGAGGACGGTCACTATTAGTCTAATTGCTGTACGATCTCTACATGTGTTGGGCCATTCAGTTCACTATGTGTGCTTTCAGTTCCTTTTATTTCCCTCCCTAATTTATAATTTCTCAAACATTAAGATCTTGGCATTCGTTCCTCTGGGTGATCTATTCTTCCAGAATTGCGATATGCCTGTTTTTCTTAGTTGGAAATCTATTATAATAGATTATGCTTTCGTTGATGCATGCATTATTTGTTATCTTTTCCCTTGTAGATAACATCAATCCGAGCAGTTGCATCTATCATGTCATGGTGTGCACAGTTTACCAGTGATGTTCATCTCAAGTTTGCTTGGACTTTTATGTGGCAATTCTTTTGGAAGACTGTTTCATCTCCGACTTGTGGTTCTGAGGTGTGTTGTAAATGATTATCTTTACTTAGCAAAATGTTGGCATGTTCGTTCCTCAGTCTTATACTTGGAAGATTCTTTTAGTTCATTTTGATCTACTTCCACCAATTGATCTAAGTGTTCCAGAACAGAATGGAGCAGAAATTTGTCTAGCAGCATATGAAGCATTAGTTCCGGTTCTCAGATCTATAGCCTCTACATTCTCTCCACGAGCTATGGATCTTATTATGGAAAATGACAAATCATCAACATCTGCAGAAGGCAGTTGCTTAGATCAGTTGGTTCTGTCTTTCCTTCAAAATATAAATAATCTTCTTGCTGTTGGAGTATTGGTGCGAACCCGAAGAGCGGTGTTACTGAATTGGAAGGTAATCTATCTGTGATTCTTATCTTTCATTTTCAAGTTTTTGGTTGGTGCTTGAAATTTTTTTGGTACTAGTTGTCACCATTGTTTATCTTGAACTGGATAAGGTAGTTGCGGTTATGAATAGACTTTACCTTGGTAAGTGTAATTTGCTGTTCAGTTTCTACCTGGCTGTGAATATATGAAAGTTGTTTCTTTGGCATGATTAATATGATAAATGGTATATCTCCTATTCTCTTTTCATTCTAACGATAAATTCTGAATGCCATTAATTTGATTAAAAGAGAGTACCTACTGATATATTGTTACTGATACAGTGGCTATGCCTAGAATCTCTGCTATCCATTCCTCAAACTGCTGTTGAGAATGGGATTCATTTAGAGGATAATAGATCATTCTTCTCAGATGCAGTAATCAGATACATTTTTAGTGATCTTGTTGAAAGGTGAGAAGTGAGATGACTTACTTGAACTAGAGATTCTTGAGTATGTTTTCATTTTCATTATATGAGTGCAATTTTAGTATTATCAGAATGGTATTGTTGACTAGGCTGATGAGGCTGTGCTCGAAACCTTTCCAATGATTTGCCGTATGCTTCTCAATTGATAATTTCTAGAAGATTTTTTTTTTTTCTAGTTATTAATAAGAAATCAATGCTTGTTGCCTCTCTCCCCAAGCCTCTTTGGTATTAGATTTGCAGTAGTTTAGCATAAAAATGAGTTGTTGCTCAAAGTCTTTGAGGCCTTTGATAATGGAGTCATGGTATGCTGATAGCGTGAAGTTTCCTTGTCTACTCGTCTAAACAAGTGGACATCTAGTTGAATTTGCATTATGATAATATAATATTGGAAACATAGATTCTTATTTGTCACAAATTTTCTCTCATATTTTTGCAGCCTTGAGAATTCTGGAGAAAGTTCTGTTTTGCCAATGCTGAGATCCATCAGATTGACCTTGGGGCTCTTGTCCTCTGAAAGTTCAGGTTCACTTGTTTCATCATGCAATGATGTGGATTCACAGGTTTGTCTTGTACTTTCCTTTCGTATGTTTGTGTTTGTTTAGTATGTTATAGTGGGATTTAGTTGTGAGTATAATTATACCTGACACAAGGTATTAAATGGTTTTGAATATTGCTAGCCCTAATGTAGGTAGTGTCATGTTATGCTGAGTCCATACCACTATCTGCCCCTAATGTTTAATTAAAATTCAAGGGGAACGGGAATTGGATATATGGAGCATCCAAACTGAAAGGCATAATGCTGACAAAGTTTTCAAATTTAATATATGACAGCTGTTATTTGAAAATGAAAGGCATTTTCAGAAATATAATTTCAATTAATATTTCACTGCTTCTAAACATAATATTCATTTGCATGGAGTTTTGAGCCTAACTGCTAAAATGAGAGTTTATTTGCACAAGAATTCTACTGTAGAATGCAACTTTCAAGTAGACTGGTTTGCTTGTTCATTTGACTACAGTTGGAGTATTAGTGGATTTATGATGAATTATTTCAATTCTCAGCCTATATATTGCTGATTTTTTATAAAAGTTATGTTGCATTTAAGTGTTGCCACATGATCATGTCAGGCCAAAATACAGTCACTGGTTGGCACTGTATTTCTACCATAGATGAAGTCTTTGTATATTGTGAGAAAAATATAGAGATAATGAAGTTTCTATAGCATCCATGATTTGTCCATAAGTTTTGTATATTATCTTCTTTCTGCATATTTTGTTTTGCACAAATAGAGAATCTGAATTTTTCACATATCATGGATGGCTCAATTCTAAATGTAGATGATGTGGCATTTGGTTCGTTCCTCTTGGATATTGCATGTCAGCAACAACAAGCGGAGGGTTGCATCTATTGCTGCACTTTTGTCTTCTGCCTTACATACTTCTGTGTTTGCTGATGAGGGGATGCATTTAATTAACAATGTACCTGGACCTCTGAAGTGGGTATGTTATTCCTCTGCTTCTGCTTGTGAATGCAACTATCATATTTTCCTTGTGATGACCTACATATGGTCCAGTTCATGAGGATAGCTGATAGTTGTTTTTTTTTTTGTTCAGCTAACATTATTTATTATCTCTTAACAATATTGTTGCTGCAGTTTGTTGAAAATATTCTCGAGGAAGGTACCAAAAGTCCCCGCACAATTCGCCTTACAGCATTGCATTTGACAGGGCTCTGGCTTTCACATCCAAGGATAATTAAGTACTACATAAAAGAACTAAAGCTTCTTACACTCTATGGTTCCGGTGTGTTACATGCTTCTGTTCTTGTGTCATACATATGAGTAGTTTCATTTTCCTTGTTTTGTATATGTTAAAGTTATTTCAAATTCAATAATGGAATTTTCTCCTACAGTTGCATTCGATGAAGATTTTGAAGCTGAACTAACTGAAAACCGTGAGGCAAGGATTGAAGTTTCATTGTTGGCTAAAAGCCCAGATTCTGAGCTGACTGAAGTAAGATATCCAATTTAGTCAAACAGGTTTTTGACGGCTTTCCAGTTTTTACAAAATTAAGTCTTCTTTGGCTGCCTTCTAGTAGTTCAACTCTTCTGGAGCAAAAAATATTTTCATATCTTCATTGACTTCTTGAATGTGTTTGACTTCACATTGACTAATATGGTATATATGGAAAGTAGTATATCAATAATATTAGTAATAATTTGCTTATGGTGATTATAATGCATAGAAAGTGGGTTTCTAAATAGCTATGGGTATTTAGTTTCTAATTCGTATCTTTTCTCATAGGCATTTATCAATACGGAATTATATGCCCGTGTCTCTGTTGCTGCTCTATTCTACAAGCTGGCTGATTTGGTGGGGTCAACAAATGAAAATGAAGATTATTGTGCTGCTATTGAATCTGGCAAATTGTTTCTGCTAGAGCTTCTTCATTCTGTGGTACTGATTAGATTCTTACCAGAACTATAGAGTATATTAACTGGCTAGTCTAAAGTTTTTGAAAAAAAAGTGTCGCATATGGTTGGTTCTTTGTTTAGATATCTTATGTTATTATATACAGACATGGATACCTTTTATTTTTGTAACTAATTGTAATTATGCTCATGTCATCATACTTGTAAATACTTCTCAATGGGTAACCAATTCTTTAAATTGTTAAAGTGATGCTATGTGTCTCCTCATATAGGATATCTCATATTTCCTTGTACAATTGATATAATAGTCTTGAATATATGGTTAATGCAGGTTAACGACAAAGATCTTGCAAAGGAGTTGTATAAAAAGTACAGTGGGGTGAGTAGTAACTTGAGATTATGGTTGAAAGTTTGGAACAGTGAAGAACTTCAATTGTTTTAATGCAAGTACAGGATATGGAAAATAAAATAGAAACTACTGAGGCAAAAAGTAATAGATAGTTATCAGTTAGTTATGGTTCTTATGTTTGTGATACAATTAACAAGTTCATTATTAAATTGCCATTTTTTAACTGTATGTTTACTCATAAAAAAGTCGTGAATAGTTGAATGGTTGAGAAGTTATTTTTCATCAAAATTAAATATTTAGTTCTATCCCTTACTCTCTTGGTCTGTGCTATTATACCATACTGATCATTGACACATCTATTTTCAACAGATCCATAGGCGTAAAATACGTGCTTGGCAAATGATATGTATTTTGTCACGATTTGTAACTGATGATATAGTTGAGCAAGTTACTGGCTGCTTGCACATTGCCCTTTATGTAAGTATTGCTACATAACATGTCATCATCTGCTAGTTCTCTCCCATAATCAATTTATGTATTATAAAATTGGAACTTTCGTTTGGTTGCAAAGCAATTTGGCCTTGCATTTTAGAACTGTCTCAGTTTTCTCTTCATTAGTTCTCCAAATTATTATATCCAGACTTCTGAGCTTTTGCTATGCACTTGTAATTTTGAGCAGAAATTATGTGGCAAGAGATAACCATTCTAAACAATGTGCTCTCTTTCTTCTCTGTCTCTCTGTTGCACGCGCGCACACACACACACGATGTAGCAAGTAATTTTGATAGATCTTTCTGTGAGATTAATCAGTTAGATCTTTTACTATTATGCTTGAATGCAATACTTCTCTAGTATTGCGTGTACTCTTTGGAATGTTTGGCAAGACTGATTCAGAATAAAATTCAAAACAAGAAATATTTTTTTCATCTGTGGTGGGTAGTCTATTTGTTTGTTCGGAAACAAAAATAAAAAAAAGGAGTAAAATTTGCAATAGATCCTTTGAGATTGTTGCAATTATACTTTCATTCTCCCCTCTTTCAAATATTAAAACTTCATTGTTCATTGCTAAATGCATGACAAGTTTTGAGCAAATACATGTTTCTCATGTTGACTGGATTGATCATTCATGTCTGGTTACCTTAAGGATTTAGGGGTTGGCGTGCATATGAATTTCAAGGAACACATGATTACGGAACCATCATTTGCCACCTAAATTATTATGTGGGATAACTATTTGTATTTGGATAACATTTTTTCTGGAAGAATTTCTTTAGTAGATTTAGATATACAATAGCCAGTAGGGATTGGGTGAGAGGCCAAGTATTGGCTTAGATTTTTTATCGAAGGATCTCTACTCTTTTCTTTTGTCTTTATCTAATAGACAATTCTTTCTTTATTAAAGAAAATAATGAGCATCATGGACCTGTCAGTTGGCCTTACTAGATACAATTAGGTTATTATTAAGTCCAAATATTTTTGTATATTAATGATCATGTCTTCATATGAGTGGAATCCACATGGTTTATCTAATTGTGGAATGCCATAATTTTAAAGTTTGATACTTTTTTTTTTCTAAAGAAAAAATTGGATTAACATTATGGGTCTGTGAAAACCCATGACCTCCAAAAAGGAAGCTTTAGCAATAATGATAAACCTGGCAGCTATTGCTTATTTGACTGCAGAGAATTATATTTGTGATATTCCTGTTGATATTCTGAACTTTGCAGCTACCATGTTTTTTCAGTTTTAATTTTTATTGTCGTGGAAGCCAACTATTTTTCTGTCTTTTGCAGAGAAACAACTTGCCTGCTGTTCGACAATATTTGGAGACATTCACAATTAATATTTACATAAAATTCCCATCATTGGTAAGAAATTTTACATTGAGAGAAATTCACGCTATTCATTTTTGGGATAATTGGGTTATATTGGCAAATTTTCCTAAAGTTTTCTTTTATTCTTTGTCAATGAAGAAATTTAGTGAAAAACGCACAAGGGGGACATGGCTTTGTACAGAGAAATTGTATAACAGATATGAACTTTAATAGTCACAGCATAGATGAACTGGAAATAAGAATGGAAGTGGAATGAGAGCCTGTGATAGTTGACTGTAGTAATATTGCATAGCCACTTTCTTTTTATGTTGATTACTTGTATAAGAAAAGAATTTTATTTTAAAAAAGAAAAATCTGAAAATGCATAGATACAAAAAAATGGAGCCAACCTAGAGATAAAAGCATAACCTAGGAAATTGGCCTCACTATCTCGGTAATTAATATCAATAACTAGATGGAAAGAGAAACTGATCTACCTTCCCAATTCAACATGGAAAAAAAAAGGTAAGCTGCATATCTATCTTCTTTATGACACCTTCAATGGCAGCTTTCTAGCTATTTCCTCGTGCTTATAAAAAAATGTGACATCCCTCTCTGCTGTTGAAATGCTAATGCCTTGTTGCAATAATGAAGGCTTCATTAATAAACTTTCTTTCGTCTTTTGTTATTGTACTGTATAATAATAAAGGCCTAAAAACAACTGAAAGCCAAGAAAAGAAAAAGAAGTTAATCAAATGAGTTGAAGCCTAAATTTTTTAGATTCTAGATTAGTGCCATGCCAAATAACACAGTTTTACATACTTGAGACTGGTTTTTTGGGGCCTTCTTGCAGAAAAATGGTGGCTTCAGTATGAATTCGTTAAAGGATGCATCTAACTGGGTAGATATAAGTTTTAGAGATGGCATTGGGAAACTACAAAAAGCAGTTTTATTGAACTACAATAGTAGCTGGGAATACGGATAGACATCTAGATAGCGAAAGTGTCTAATGATAGATGCTTAATTCGCGCTGTATATTTTCACCTTCTTCTCAAACCATAACTGTTTAACTCAACAGTCAACTTGACCTATGAGCCATGTGAATTTTTGTGACCATCAAGGGTCATATGTGGTGATTTACGAAGTCAAATGCATGTTTCACAATTCTTCTGTACAACTGTTATGCTATGCTGTGATTAGCATATTTTGGAGTCTGTCCTGAAACTACTGCTTCCCCAAATTATGTAGTTTTTCAAATTAATTACTATCCACGGGTTTTCTTTGATGTCTCTCTTTTAGTCCAATTTGTTGACCTTATTTCATCCCAGGTTGCGAAACATTTGGTTCCTATATTACGGGATTATGACATGAAGCCACAGGTAAACATATATTCGAGTTCTCTTTATTTTGATTACAATTGGATGTTACTCCCTCTGTCCCAAAATATAAGTCGTTTAAGGTTTTTGCACAAGGATTAAGGAAGCAATTAATTCTCCTAGATTTGACCAAATTAAAGGGTAATTTGACCAAATTATCCTTTATCTCAAAATCAATAGTTGCTTATGAAGTATTTGTTGTATTTAGTGTAAACAAAGGCAACATTGAAAAAACATCATTTATTACTTTTTAAAATACACAAAACGACTTATATTTTGGGACAAAATAACAAACTAAAAACGACTTATATTTTGGAACAGAGGGAGTAGTAGTATATACTGTCACTTGTTCAGTATAATGCTCTCTTATTGGCTTAGTCGTGTTCCACTCTAAATTTTTCCATAAGATCGGATATTCATTACTACCTCTTGAAGATTATGTTAAATCTGATTATGAGAACCAATCATTGCTGGCTTTCCTGATTATGTTAAATCATTGAAACATTATAATTTGTGAAGATTAAGAGTCGACAGCAACAGAGCCCATTAGTGTATAACTTTTTCTGAAATAGGTTAAGGAAGAAAGTTATACAGCAATGAGGCTCTGTTGCTCAGACTCTTCCCTTCACTCCGTTGCTATAGTCCTTAAAAATTAAAAGCATTTATGAAAAGAAAACATGCTTTTGAGAGTTGTTTTTTCTGAATTTTGCCCTTTTCTGATTTTGTAATTTAATTTCTCTCAGTTTGAATTGCAGCTCCATTAGAGGAGTTACGTCATGGCATGATAATAATTGGGTGTCCTTTTTATACTTAATTTTCACTTAATTGGACAGAATTTGATATAGATTTTATCTTTTATTTATTTTCGCAGAGCTTTTATCTTGTTATGAGTTCTGTTTTGTGCATTGGCCACACTTCATTGCCTTTTACTAAATTTTGTCTTAAATATCTATATGTCAAATGCAGGCACTCTCTTCCTATGTGTTCATAGCAGCTAATGTCATTCTCCACTCATCTAGTAGGTTTCTATCCAGTCATTTGGATGAATTACTCCCTCCTATAGTCCCATTGTTAACCTCGCATCACCACAGCTTACGAGGATTTACTCAGGTACTGATTGATGCTATACATTTTTTCACCAATATAAATTCTCTTCATTGTCTAAGGTTAAAATATCTTTGTGATATCTTTTGCAGTTACTAGTCTACCATGTTTTTTCTAAATATTTTTCTTTGGTGGACTCTGGAGCCTCTGAAACCATCCCTTTGGAAAAGAAGTGCTTTGAAGATATGAAATTATACCTTGCAAAGAACCCTGATTGTAGGCGGTATGATATCTATCTACATTCTGGGATATGACATTTCAAAAAATTACATTGTCACAGAATCTATCATTGCTCCAACCCATATACACAGGTTCCATTTTTTGTAGATGACCTAATAGAATAAATAATACCTTTGATGCTTTGATCTATTCTTTTTCTTTTTTTTCTTTAACAGTTTTGTGTATTCTTCTTTGATTTATCAGGTTATATTTCATATCTGAAGTAGCTACTTTTTCTAGATCCTATTTTAAACTGGGTACATTAGCAGGGTTATATAAATTGATTTAGCTTATGACTTTCAGCATGGCCATTAGAGATTTTGGAAATTTGTTTTTCTTTATTTGTTCTTATAGGGGTGTGCGTATTCATGTGAAGTACGAGGTCATTCTGTTTAACCATTTTGAACAACACAAGATTTTCCAAAGAGCAATTCTGATAGAGCCAATAAAGTTAGGCTACTCGTATTAATACTTCAGTTGAACTGTTTCATTCAACTTTGATAATTTTTGTAACTTAGTTAATCAGTTCAACTGTTTCATTTAACTATGGTAAGTTTTGTCAGCATATTGAGCAGGCTGACATTTAAATATTATCCTGCTTATTGGACGTTAGTGGAAATTTACGTCTTCCTTCTGTGATTTCTGGCTGATTGTAGCAAAGTATAAAGTCATCAAACCATTATGAATATTTATGTATTATTAATTGTCACTTGTGTGATCCGAGTTTAGGGATACTCAACAGTGAGTGAGTTACATCCTTCATCTACTAGTCTATTTAATGATATTAGAGGTGCTAATCTGTTTCGTTTGCTCATTTTGTTTTTCAGCTTACGAGCATCAATGGAAGGATATCTTGATGCCTACAATCCCATTATCTCCAGTACTCCAGCTGGAATTTTTGTAAACCGGGTCGAGGTCAATGACTGTTTCATTTGATTGAATTTGTATTATGCTCATAGGAGTAAAATCATAAACTGCATTTCACATTGTTATTTATGGTATTGACATGCTTGTATATTTCAGAGAACACTCTATTATTACTAAACAATGCTGTTAAGTAGAAAAGAACATGGCTCCTTGAGAAAGTTGTAAGTCGCATGTTCTGAAAACTGAATGAGACTGGAAAGTTTGACTGGTTGAATTGGGAACTGGCTAGCAGTCTGGTCCAGTTCAGGCCACTTGTTGACTGGCTCAGAGAGAAACAGAAACCAGACCAAACTAAAAATCCAGATGTTTTTAAAAATGATGTAATGATTAGAAAGCTTAAATGAAAAAGGAAAATTAGACTATGTAAGTTCTAGTTTAAATGGTTTACTATTTTAGCTAATTCTAAACATTATTTTTTAATTCTTTGACATAGAATATCAGCCAGTCAAATAATTTAGATTATTGAACCAGGAACCTGTTACGAAGCTGTTTCGACTTTCGGTAAAAACATTCACTTTGCTGGAATATGAGGGATTATATGAGAATATCAAATGCATGTGTGCGTGATTTTTGTAGTTCAGAAATGAAGAATTTTACATTTATTAAAAATCTTTTTGCTCCTTCATTTTGATTTGCCAGAATGCATTGACTGAAGAAAATCTAGCATTAGGTATATCTTTTTGTCCTATCATTAGTGTTTTTGGTGAAATGTACTAATTGTTGCGTAGCTTTCATTGATTGCTAATATGATAGGTAATACTTATGTGATTGCTAATATTGCTAGCTTGGAATGCTTTTTGATGTTTTATTTTTGGCCTGCACATAAACTTATACTAGGTGACATTCTAATAATATTTTTCATTATATTCTGCACTGGTTCTTTGTTTATCTTCTGGTCTCCTCTTTCACAATTTAAATCTTCTTTTTCTTTTTTTTTTTTTCTTTTTGGGATGTTATTTTCCTCATTATTAGCTTTCTTCTCATTTCTGAATGGTTAATCATAGTTCATTTTTAATATTTTGCTCTGAACCCTCTAAAACTAAATTCTGATTTCCTATAGATGAAAGCTAAATTAATTGCCATGTTTCATTGTTTTCTCCATGTGACATACATTTGATGAGATGGCATTTATTTTCTATTCATATAAGTGACTTTTAGGCTTCTGAATTCTTTTTTTTTGTTTTTTTTGATATGCTGAAGGAGCTTGAGTTTGAATGTGTTCCAACATCCCTCTTGGAGGAAGTGCTCAATTTTCTAAACGTATGTGCACTATCTTTTCTTAATGGTTTTTATTCTGTAGCTAGCATCTTACTTTACAGGGTTGCAGGATGTAAGGGAAGAACTCAGATGTTCAATGGCAAAGGATGTTGTAACTATAAAGAATGAGAGCTTAAAAATTGATGCAGATGCTAACTACAGGAGAACATTACCTAATGGGGAACTAAATAAAGAAACATCATTAGATTTTCAGAAAAAAATTACTCCTGCCAAACATGAGAAAGAAGATTCTGATTCCAGTTCCATTTTGGGAAGCAATAAAGGATACAAACAGCTGTTGGGTACGTATATTTAGAAGTCAATTGGAAGTTTGAAAAGCAGATATTTAAGCTCTACTGTTGCTGCACTAATTGGTGGACTTCATCTTACTTTCTGCAATTTGTTCATCTTCTTACACGGATGTTATAATCATATGCATGGACCTTTTTACTTCTGTTTCCACTTGCACCTTTTCCCCTACACATACACAGCAAGTCCAAAGCAGAACTAAAACCCAAAAGTAAGAGGCTGAAAAAAATATTTTACCTGAGACTGCTAATATATAGCTGACTGGCTGGGATGGTGGAAAATTATCGGTACACCAGTCCCCACTAGTTTTGGAGTAGGGTGTAGCTAAGTGTTCTGAGAATAAAACCTACGACTTAGGCAGACCATGATCTGATACCTGGAAGAATAACTATTAATCTCAAAAGCTTGGGCTTCAGGAAACATGCTAAGAATGCAACCTTGTGCCAAAACTATAAAGTCTTTTCTGCTGAAGATTGTGATAACTGTATTTGATTCTTGTCTATTGGAATGCAGAAATAGAAAAGGAGGATGAACTTCTAGATCAGTCAGTTCAATCTAGGATTTTGACAATGGAAAGAATGAAAGCAAGTCGACAACATTTTATCCTTGTGGCATCATTCCTCGATCGAATTCCCAACCTTGCTGGATTGGCACGGACATGTGAGGTATGCATTAGTTAGGTGCTCATACGAGTACTTGTATACCTCTGAGGTGATTCTTGCATTTCTTTTTGAAGCAATTTAGCAATTTTATTTGTTTTCTCTTCATGCCAATTATTCTGCTGTGCAGGTATTTAAGGCATCGGGATTGGCCATTGCAGATGCAAGCATATTAAATGACAAACAATTCCAACTCATCAGGTTTTGATAATATCTCGCTGCCATTTGTTCTTTAGATCTTCACATTTGACTTTACATTGTATTCTACAAAGCTAGCCCAGAATGATAATATGTGAAACTGTGTTGTACCTAAGTACTGACCTTGGACACGGAGATGCACATTAAAGTTCCGTCAAATTGGGTTCTATAATAGTCAACACAAGGTTCTATTCACAGAAAATAACACAACTAAGAGGTTTGGATCAGGGTATCACAATTCCAGAGTTGGAGTGCAAATTCATTGGATCATAGTCTGTCATTGAAGCCATATTAATCATGATCCAGATTTACCTCACCTCTCCTCTCTTAATATTGAACATTGGCCAACTCCCTTTCCTGCCAATTTGCATAGAGCGTTTAATGACTTATAAGACTGATAACAATTGATTTTTCTTGTTTGTGAATGTCTTGCAACAGATGTGTAGCAAATTGATAAGGGCAGTTTTGTTTATTAGTTTTATGCATTTTGTTTTCTAGTGTGACAGCGGAGAAGTGGGTTCCCATCATAGAAGTCCCAGTAAACAGTGTGAAGCACTTCCTCGAGAAAAAGAAGCAAGAAGGCTTCTCTATCTTGGGATTGGAGCAAACAGCCAATAGTGTACCGCTTGATAAGTACACCTTTCCTAAGAAAACAGTAAGTCACTCTTAAACTTACCTGTAAATTCCTTGATTAGGAGACAAGACAAGGAAAGATAATTTGCTTATGCAGCATCTTAAATAAATAAAGGAATTTATGTTTGTGAGTAAGAGAAAGAATGACTCCATCATGTTTTCTGATGAGGTGGGGTTGGGAGGTTGATGTTCTCTTTACATGTATGTAGTGTATCACTGTTTGTTGAATAATTTCTTTCACATTCTTGACAATTCTTTCATGAAATATATAAGAAGCTTGCTTATTTTGTTGTGAAGGTCCTGGTTCTTGGGCGTGAAAAGGAGGGTATACCTGTTGATATAATCCATATACTGGACGCTTGCCTTGAGATTCCACAACTGGGAGTGGTTAGGTCACTCAATGTTCATGTCAGTGGAGCCATTGCTCTCTGGGAGTATACTCGACAACAACGTTTTCAATAGTTCTTTGCTTTAGATAGGAGTTTCCTTGCAATATACAATATGCAGCGTATCTTCACAATACCTTCAGTGGCTACAGGCTGACTTTATTGCTTCTGTAATTTATGTATTTAATGTTTCTGAGTTGCAATGTTGTAATATCTGATGAGGCTGTATTCTTTGTTGAATCGAAGCACCAATGGTTCTCTTAACCAAAGAATTTCGTGTTTAATTCTTTTGAGTTGAATTTCATGTTCGTTCTATGGACTATTAATTTGAAAGGCATCAGCCTGAGATCTATTCTTGGACCAAGTGAGCAAATTTCACGGACCACAATGCTATAAAAATGTCGTATATGTTCATTTGCTTTCCAACTTATATACATCTTTCTCAAATTCTCATATGATTAGAGGTGTTGGAAAATATCTCTGCATTTTCTGAGAAGAATGTTTTGGGTACTCTCAATTTCCATTTTCATGAGTGAGAGAGGGGGGTTAAACCACGTGAATTGAAGTTGTTAAAAAATGAGAAAGACATTGCATAACTTGTTTGTATGATGGGAATTAGTTTGATAGATGAAATGGACTGCACTGTTTCAACTCATTACCTAAACTCACTTCTAATCAAATTTGACACCTCATGATAATCAAGACCACCAGCTCTTTGAAATCTGAAGGAAAGCAAAATCAATTTAAGCATCTTTCCTCGTAGTTTCTTTCCCTAAACTGATGTCAGCCATATTAATGGCTTCAACTTTTACTTTTCTTCTCTTCGTTTTTATAATAAATCGTTTTGAACCCCTACCTGTTGCAGCCAAAGTTTTCATGATTCTAATGGACGAGGAACCCGTTCTCACCTTCAAATCCAAGCAAGAAAATTACAGGTTTGATTTTTATGCATTTATGTTTTTCTATTGAACCTGTCAATTTAGTAACTGATTATTAACATTGTGCAGGATTAAGGATGCTATGGCATACAAAGAGAGATTGAGTACTGGCCATGACTTGTTTTTGAAATCTATCCTCAAGAAAGGCACCTATACGAAACTCTACAGCTACACTCATTTGCTCAGTGGGATTGCAGTGCACGTTGAGTCAGACGAGGTAAATCATTTAGTTAAAAACTTCACAGTAAAATATGGATTCAGCTTTATATTTTGCCTGCCATTGCTGTATGTATAAGCATGGAGTTGGGTGACAGTGGAAGTGACACATTGTGCAGGTTTCCAGCACTCTGAAGAATGCAACAGGAGTCAGAGTCATCCAAGAAGATATCAAAATGGAGAAGCTTACGACACATACACCTGACTTTCTCGGGATTCCTGCTGATGTGTGGCCAATTTTGGGAGGTGCACAGAGTTCTGGTGAGGGCGTAGTGATAGGTCTTATTGACACTGGAATAAATCCTAACCATCCTAGTTTCACAAATAATTGGTCCTTAGGATCTTTAAATAGCAGCAAATTCAGAGGAAAATGTGCCACTGGAATGAACTTCCCCCGAACAGCATGTGGTGGAAAGATAGTAGGGGCACAATATTTTGCTCGTGCAGCAATTGCTGCTGCTGATTTTAATGCTACACGTGATTTTGCGTCCCCCTTTGATGCTGATGGTCACGGAAGGTAAATCACTTGATATTGCAGATTTAAAGTTTTGTTTTATCTTTTTGGCCGGTGACATTTATCTTTTCCCATTAATGAGATTCTGGTAATTGATAATTCTTGTGTAGCAGCTATACTTGACTTTGTTCAGGATCTGCATTTTTTTTTAGCTGTTTGTTTATGATAATTTAAGTTGATCGTCTGAAACTGGTGCTTACAGCCACACAGCATCTACAGCTGCAGGAAACCATGAAATACCAGTGATTGCCAATGGCTACAACTATGGATATGCAAGTGGCATGGCTCCTGGAGCAAGGCAAATTAAAACTTAACTTCTATTATGTTTGCAAGCCTAAAATGTCTAATTAATAGTATCAGTTTCGACTTCAAACTTTTCTCAGTAGATATTTTGCTAAATCAATTGCTAGATCTTGTTTTAGCCATTATAATTAAATCTTTTTTTTTCTTTTCCTCTCCCCTGAAATAGGATTGCAATGTACAAAGCTCTATACACATTTGGAGGTTATATGTCAGATGTTGTTGCTGCTGTTGATCAGGTTCTATGATTATATTGTTTAACTAGTAAATGAATTAACTTACATAAGCTCAACAAAATTGATTTCAACAATTTGGTAGCTTAGATGTTCTTACACTTGAATTCGGTAGCTTAGATGTTTTTATAGATTTATAGTCATAAACAATTTGCTGCAGGCAGTGGAGGATGGAGTAGATATACTAAGCCTCTCCATAGGGCCATCAGGTGTCCCTCCTGGTCCATCTGCCTTCCTCAATGTGCTAGAAACAGAGCTCTTATTTGCTACAAAAGCTGGCATTTTTGTTGTTCAAGCAGCTGGCAATGGAGGCCCTTCTTCAAGTTCAATCCTTTCTTTTAGCCCCTGGATCACCAGTGTTGCTGCATCCATCACTGATCGCAAATACAAGAATACAATAATCCTAGGCAATGGACAAAGCTTCTCTGGCACTGGTCTTGCCCGTAATTTTCCAACTCTTATACGCTTTGTTAATTCATTAATCATGCAAAAATGTATAGGACATTTATTTTTCAGCTTACATTTTCTCTTACTCAATCTTGATATTAACAGTTAGTAGCACTCAAGCTTTAGAATTATTTTGTTTATAAACTATGCAGCTCCAACTGCAGGAGAAGTGCCGTTCCCAATAGCTGCAGCAGCTGATGTTTCTCATGAGAACATCACCAATGTGGTAGAAGTTGAGAGCTGTCAATATCCAGAACATTTCATCAGATCTTTGGTCCGGGAAAAGCTAATCATTTGCACATCTACTTTTGAATATGAAGATGCCAGCATTGCAACTGTTGAAGACACAATAAGACAGATTGGGGCTGCGGGTTTTATAATAACAATGGACCCTGACATAGTCTCTGAGCAGGTCAAAGGCACCACAATGACCATGCAACTACCAGCCATTATCCTGAACAACATGCAAGCTTCCTCGGTATGACTCATCATTAAATACATAGTTAAGAAAAGCAAATTATACTTGTGACATTCTGTACTTATCAATCAAATTTGGAAGTTGCAAATATTTCCAGAATTTTCCCTGTAATTCTGTGTGGACATGAAATGATCATCTTGATGTTTCATTTTTTTCTATTCTTTCTTATGATCCAACTCTATTGCAACCAACCCACAAGAACTTTCATCTTTTCCAAATTGCTCATTGCAGTGAGCAGCCTTCAATTACAATGAGTTTGTTTGAGATTTGGGATATCAATGTATCATAGCTCCTTCATTATTTTTTGCCTGAAATTCATCATTTTCTGTGCAGGCTTTATGGGAGTATTATAATTCTAATACAATCAGGAGCAGGAGTGGACGTGCTGCAGTTTTTGATGCAAGAGCAAGAATACTGGATGGAAGGCAGGCAGTTTTCAGTGGGCAGGCACCAATAGTAGCATCCTATTCATCCAGAGGTCCTGATGTCAACAATGCACTTCTACAAACTGCTGATGTCCTCAAACCAAATATCATGGCGCCAGGATCCTCTATTTGGGCTGCATGGAGCCCTAATAGTGAGGGAGATCCTTATATTAAAGGTACACCCACTTTCTAATATTCTTAAAGTGCAACAAGTGATGCTAATGTACAGTGGCTGAGTAATTATAATGGAAGGGAAGTGTCTCCTGGCTTGGTCCAAGAACTGAAATTGTCTTGGAGAACATTGTTAAAACTTATCCAAATGCAAAGTGTTCAAGCAATACTATAAAACTGGAACATTTCAGCCACACTGTTTCAAACTTCTAATGCTTCATGTGCTTTTCAACCTAGAAGAAGTACCAATTGTAATTGTAAGAAATACTCAAGTTTTCTACACTTCCATTGCTTTCAGGGCAAGACTTTGCACTTGTGTCTGGAACTAGCATGGCTACTCCACACATCGCAGGAGTGGCAGCTTTGATCAAGCAGAAACATCCGAAGTGGAGTCCGGCAGCTATCACGTCAGCAATGATGACAACTGCTGATAGAACTAATCACTTTGGCTCTCGAATTTTAGCACAATCAACTAACCAGCTGGTTCCTGCTACCCCATTTGACATGGGCGCTGGATCCATTAACCCAGCTCAAGCCATTGATCCAGGGCTTATATTTGATGCCAATTTCAGTCACTATGTTGATTTTCTTTGTGCTGTTCCCGGTGTTGATCATGAATTTGTAAAACAATCAGTAGGAATCAGGTGCCCAATGAGGAGAAGGGCATGGTGTTCAGATTTGAACACAGCAAGCGTGACAATTTCAAATCTAGTTGGTTCAAGAAAGGTGATTCGATGTGTAACAAATGTGGCTCGAAAGAATGAATTCTACAGAGTGACTGTGAGGGAACCAGTTGGTGTAAATGTTACTGTTTCGCCAAACTTTTTCTGGATTAGAGGTAATGCTTCAAGGCATCTTAGAATTTGGTTAAGAACTATCAAGGCAAAGGGAGCTCACAGATTCGGAGAGATAACATTGCATGGAAGTCGAAACCATATTGTTAGAGTTCCTGTAGTTGTTTATGCTAGGAGTAGGTGATAGCACAGCAAGAAGGTAGAAATCATGTTGTTTATTTTAGCAGCAGCTCATTGCAGGCATTGTATTTACAAACATTTCAAAGATCTGAGACACATTGTCTTGAATTAAAGTTTTCTAATGCTATAGATTCTCTGGTCCCTCTCTCTATATATGAATATGCAATTGGTTTCGTTACAGCTAGCAGTGAGTTACTTTCCCAAAGGCAGTGAGATTTCTGGAAATAAATTTTCGTTGTGTATTTTATCATATATGACAGAATAAAATGAGATGACTCAGGTAAAACCATAAAGGTAAGATAATAATGAAGAAATTAAAAAAGAATATGGTGTTTATTCCATATCATGATAATTAATATGAATACATAAAATCAGATATTTTGTTCCCTTAATGGATATCTATATTCTCTCCTCAAAATCCTAATGAGGCTTTACCTATGCTTTTGCAGCAATTTTGAGATGAAGCCTTTCTTCTTCTGCAGCTGAAGGAATTGGAAACAAAAGTGTATCTGTTATAAATGTCAACAAAGAGAATAACTTCTGATACAACATTACTTATGTTACCTCTATGTTTTTCATGAAAGCTTTCGTAACATTCCTTGCAGATCCAGTGTTCTTTTTCTTGGTTCCTTTCTTGATTTGGACACTTACCAAAGATCTACAGAACTTGAGTTTCAAGACTTTCCAGGTTCCAAGACAACTTGGAGTACTTCTGTTATCTTCTTCCTTTCTCTGGACAGCAACAGCCTATCATAGTAAGTAACCAACAATTTTCATTGATAATTAGTTCCTCCTTGCAAGAATATTACATAATTAGTCAAAACTACAGGTGCCTGCCTTCTACTGCAGGAAGTCAGGAGCTTTAAAGAATTTCCGATTCACCAATGAAATATATCATAGCAAGACAAATGCTCTTGCTGCAATAGAATTATTGTATAAATAACTGAAACAATATATATATATATATAGTTTGGTATATGTGTATACATTGCCTGTAGGTTGCTGGATGTTGGAAGAAATTGGCTTTGAATTTAATTGAGGGGATTCTGCAGAACGAACAGACTGTCTAAGGTGTTGAGAGTAAAGAAGAAGCTCAGCTCTTCTATTATATCCTTTAACAGCAGTTTCTCCATGCTTGTTGTCTTGTTTGATGCTGTGATGGACATAATAGTAGTGACGGTGGTGGTGGTGGTGGTGATGGTGGTTGTTTGATGGAAGCTTTCTCTTTGTTGGTTTCTCCTCATATACACTAACTAAAACTGCCTTCTTCTGCCACAACTTTGCCTGAAATTCAATTAAATCATCAACTATTTGCATTTCATAATAAATTTACAGGAGAGAGAGAGAGAGAGAGAGAGAGAGAGAGAGATGGTAACCATGATTTTAGAAAGGAGAGGTTTTCATGTTGGTTTGTTAGAAGTGATCAACAATTCTCTATATAAATGTTCATAATATGGAAAGGAGATGAGAGGGCTATATATACTGCCAAATACGGAATTAAATAGTATAAACAAAAAGGAAAAAGATTGAATCATTTTGATTATCATTTCTACATCCTTTCACTTCAAATACATATATCAAATTTATTTATTTATTGAATTTATAAAGAAATATTTAAAGTGAAAGGGTGGTTGCCATTTAAAATTTATTTTATCATAAATAAGTCTTAATATTTTATTATGTATGATTTATCTTTTTTATCGTCTAATGTTAGATTATTTTATCGAGTCACCAAAATAAATATATACGATTGATGAATTATTATTGTATCCCAGTCTTTTGATGAATTGATAGCAATATTTCTTCTCTTAAAAAAAAAAAAAAAAAGACGAATTTTGTTTTCAAAAATTCTTTATATATAGAGAGAGAGAGCTTCTCATCCGAATAGTGTAAAGTTTAAAAAATGAGCAGAAGAAGTGGGGAATGTACTAGAAAAGCAGATGGAGATGGCAGGCCAAACCGAGAATGCCAATGCAAACACTTTGGTGGGATCGATTCATTCAAGAAATTATTATTTTTATATTTTAAGGCATTGCAACATCTAATTATATATATATATATATAAATGGATTACCAAACCAAATTACAATTGACACATCCCAAGTCAAAGATCCAAAACCCGATTGCATACCTAATCCATTTCTAATGTTTAAGTATTACCTAATCGGTGTATACAAAGGTGGCACCACAATTATCATTATATACTATAATTACAATTCTTAAATATTTTCTAGGATTGAAGGAAAGTGGTGAAAAATTCTAAATATTTCCATGACATGGAATCATCTACTAGGGTTCAATTGCAAAAATATTTTTATAAATTAGACTTTTTTTTCTTGAAACTTAATAAAAGTACAATCAGAGAATAATATACGTTTTTTATTGCATTTGTGTTTCCACACTCTAAAAGCTGGATGATGATTTTGATTGAGGGGTCAAGTTTGATTAAATTGTTCAGTAAACAGTAGCGGAACCAGCCCAATAGTTAGGAGGTTAAAAAATAATTTTACTTAATTATTGATAATAAAATTAAAATATATTTTTTTCAAAAATTTTTTACATTAAAAATTCTTTTATATATATATATATATATGGTTTAAAAAATTAATTTTACTTTAATTATTGATAATAAAATTAAAATATATTTTTTTCAAAAATTTTACATTAAAAATTCTTTTATATATATATATATAAATATATTTTGGGGAGCCACGCCCTCCTCTGCGTCCGCGCCGTTCTATATATATATATATATATTTTTGGGGGAGCCACGCCCCTCTGCGTCCGCGTCCGTCATCAAGGGAAGAGGAACAAAAAATATGAGGAAACACTCAGAACTTTGTAATTGTACTCCAAATTGATCAAAATCAATTAATAAGAAAATAGTACAATGGACTCCACATGATAGGATTTGAATTAATTCAATTCAAGCTCTATCTATATCAAGACATACCGTTTCAATAAACAGAGATTGGTAAACACACTTTTTGTTGAACACTTAAGTGTATGTGTAGATGAGTCCAATTACATTTCTAAAATTCATTCTTTAATTGCACAAGGTAATTGTCTTTTTTAATTATCACTATAAGAGAGAAAAAAAAAATTTAGAAAAAGCAAATTTACCAAACAAAACCCTATATTCTTAACATTTCATTTGGAAAGAAAATATATTTGTATTTATGTGGAAGAAAAAACTTTAAATTTCAAAATTTCATATTCTTTATTAGAATATATTAAAATCTATAAGAGTTTGTTCATAAATTCAATAGTCATCTAACTCAAGTCATATATTATGAAATTGATTATGTCTATCGTAATAAAACTAGACCGCTCAATATTTAATACTTAAACTATTTACGACATAAAATAATATTTGATGCCTAAACCTCTTTTAAGCAATACAATATGTGATAAAAATAATAATGGAAGGTATATCTATCTAGTCAAGGAGATTTTCTTTTTAAGTGTCAAAATGAGATTGAACATTATATTAAATTGAATGTTAAAACATCCACTCATCATAGAACTTAAGGAGAAGGTTAATTGCAAGAAAATAAGTTTATATATAATAGAACTCACAAGTTCATATTACTTTCTCAGAAAGTTACCATTAATTTCCATAACGTCAAATAATAAAGCAAAAAAAAATTTAAGTGTATTTTTAAAAAAATAAGTGGATCGTGTATATGGGTAAATTTTATTTTATTTGTAAGATTAGAGTTATAAAATTTAGAGTTACAATTATTCGAAAGATTTTACTTAATTACTACCTTAAAGATGTTCTATTAATATTAAAATATAGAATAATTTATAGCAACCAATCACACTCATAATCTTATTATTTATTTTTGGATCCTTAAAAAAGAAAAAGGGAAAAAAAAAGGAGAAATTAAGGGTTTGGAGTAATTAGGTCTCAATTAAAGAAAAGAAAAAAAGGGAAAAGAAAAGGAAGAAAGAAAGAAAGAAGGAAATCTGAAAAATATATATATTAGTATCAGTTACGTGAGGCATACAAGGCAAGAAAAGGCAAATGGTAACTGCAAAGAACAAGTGTCTACAAAAAGAAGGAAAGCACTTCATTGAGTAAAATCCTTTTCTAACAGTCATTAGAAATATGTAAGACTTCTAAAAAGAACCTAATAAAAAAGGGCAGATATATTTAATATTTCCCTATGTAAAGCCAAAAACCCTAACCATCTCTTCCTTTTGAATTCTCTTGTGTCTTTATCCATATATTTACTAGCTCTGTTTCCATTTTATTTACACCTTTTTTCGGTTCTCTTGACTCTTTCTTCTCTCTTGCGTTTCTTTCTTAACTTTTCAAGGGTTGTTACTGTTTTTGTTTCTTTAAGGCAGCCATGAATGCTCTTGCAGCTACCAACAGGAACTTCCGCAATGCAGCTCGCATTCTTGGTCTTGATTCTAAGCTTGAAAAGAGCCTTTTGATCCCTTTTAGAGAAATCAAAGTAAAAAAAACAAAACCTGAATTTCCTTTTTTTTCTTGCTTTTAATATTTTCTTGGGGTTTTTTCTATATGTATATGTATATTTGCAGGTGGAATGCACCATCCCGAAAGATGATGGTAGTCTGGTTTCTTATGTTGGATTTAGAATCCAGCATGACAATGCTCGTGGCCCGATGAAAGGCGGCATCAGATACCACCCTGAGGTGAATTTTTTGTGTTTATGACTGCATGTGTTGTTTTTGGGTTGATTTCTGGGATCTTAAATTCTGTACATTGATTTTGAGTTATTTTCCAGTTTCTGGTTCAAATATATATATATATATATATATATATATGTTTGTGGGAGTAAAGAAAATAATAAGTTGACTATCAATAGATCTAGAAAAAGAAGAAAAGAAAAATGAAAGTCATTTATGTTTGAGTTATTTTTATTATGATGAAATTAAGAGTTTGGTTTCATGGTTACACACCTTGGTCTTAATTATCTTACAAATCTCCTGTGTTGCCTAAATATAACAGATGATTTCTCAATCTTTGTAATGATGAATGATTTGTGGATCTCTAGCTCAACACTTTAACAAGTAGCTAGATTAAACAAAAAAACAAAAGAAAGAAAAGAATTTGTGAATGGAAATCTAAGTTGTTGAAATTCTTTATTTTTTAAGCTTAAATATGGATTTACTAGATTTTATTTTGTATATGTATATATTATTCTTCCCAAATAAGATTATACCAACAATAATAACACGATAATGTTAAATAACCACATAATTAATATATGTTTTTTATAAGTGTTAAAGCATTACCTTGACGTAGATGTATTAAAATTGCATGGAAAATTTGGCGCGTAATAATTATAATAAAGTTTAAAGTTAAAAGATGACGTCTTATCTTGTCTTTATATATTAATAATAATACAATTAACTTCTCGATTTAGTTCCCTTATTTTTTAAGTAAAATGTGACACTAAATCAAATGAATTTGATGTAGCACATGGAAGGTAAGTTATGCACAATCAAGACACATAATCTATCATTTGAACTCTATGAAAGTTTAATGTGAGAATGATTGCATAAGTAATTTTATGATGGAAGGGAAATTAACATTTTGAATTGATCAATATTAAACTTGTATAGGTTGATCCTGATGAGGTGAATGCTTTGGCTCAACTAATGACATGGAAGACAGCAGTAGCAGACATTCCATATGGTGGAGCTAAGGGCGGTATCGGCTGTGATCCTAGGGAGTTGAGTTTCAGTGAATTAGAGCGCCTTACTCGGGTTTTTACTCAGAAAATCCATGACCTTATAGGAGCTCACAGGGATGTTCCTGCTCCTGATATGGGAACTAATGCACAGGTAAATATATATATATATATATATATATAAGGTAAATATATATAATATATATATATATATATATATATATATATACACACACGATTTTGATTATATTTGATAAGGGGTTATGACATGGAATGTAATGTAATTAAATGCATGTTTAGTATATAGCCGAACTTTCTCTGGTTGTTAGGCTCGTATACAGGTCCTGGCTGTGATAATACAGATTTTTTCCAATGTTTTTCTTTACTAAAGAATATACCATACTTGTAACGTTGCATTTATTTTCATACATTAAATATAGTCTCCGCTTTGACAGACAATGGCCTGGATGTTGGATGAATACTCAAAGTTTCATGGTCATTCACCTGCTGTTGTTACTGGAAAACCAATTGTAAGCGCATGCTTTTTTTTTTTTTTTTTTTTTGGTTTATTTAAACTTCTGAACAGGCATGGAAATTTTTTTTTTTTTTTTTTTTTGGTTATTTAAACTCTGAACAGCATGGAAATGGTAACAAAGGAATCTTATAGCCGACCCCAAAGCTTTGTTGGTGTTGTTGTTGTTAATTAAACTCTGACTGGAATTCGAAATTCATAACCCCACAGGCCACGTCTAGAAAGAACTGATAGCATCACTTGTCAAAGCTGATATATAAACATAATTGTGCTTTGTTGTCACAGAAAAGTGAAATATTCATACAAAGACTTAGAAGGAGATAGTGTATTTTCCAAATTAACATTCCATTGCAGGATCTTGGGGGATCATTAGGCAGAGAGGCAGCAACTGGACTTGGAGTAGTTTTCGCAACAGAAGCTTTACTTGCTGAATTGGGAAAGTCAATTTCTAATATGAAGTTTGCCATCCAGGTTTTTAATTGTGAACTTTTGCATGGTTTAATGTCTTTGTTCTTCGATTTCTAATTATATTGTACCTTCTAGGGTTTTGGAAATGTGGGATCTTGGGCAGCTAAGTTTATTCATGAGAATGGAGGGAAGGTAGTTGCTGTTAGTGACATTACAGGTGCAGTTAAGAACCCAGAGGGACTCAATATCCCAGCTCTGCTGAAACATAGAGAGAATTCCCAAAGCTTGAAGGATTTCGAATTCGGAGAAAATATGGATCCTAATGAATTGCTTGTTTGTGAATGTGATGTTCTGATGCCAAGTGCACTAGGTGGAGTTCTCAACAAGTATGTAGTCTATTTCTTTCCCTCCCTTTTCAGGTCACCTGAACCCCTTTTTGAAGGAGATATGTACATGAACATGATTTAGTCCTTAATTTTATGTTAATAACAATTTTTGAGGGTTTTTACTCATTAAAGGGAAAATGCTGCTGATGTGAAAGCTAAATTCATAATAGAAGCTGCAAATCACCCCACTGATCCAGAAGCAGATGAGGTAATTTGAAAGCACAAATTGATTATGACAATTTCTGTAGAGATACAGCTAACTCAGAATATAAACATTAAAGACAATCTCATTGTGCAGATTTTGTCCAAGAAAGGAGTGATTGTTCTCCCAGACATCTATGCAAATTGTGGTGGTGTTACTGTCAGTTACTTTGAATGGGTCCAGGTAACAAATTAATGGTCCATAAAATGATAGGGGTCCAGTACCTGACTCAATAGCGTAGGAACTAGGAAGTACAAGGTTTCTTCAGTTTTTACTATGTCTATGACATCCTTTGTACTGTGCAGAACATTCAAGGGTTCATGTGGGATGAGGAGAAAGTAAACTGTGAGCTTAAGAAGTATATGAGAAGATCTTTCCAACACATAAAGGCAATGTGCAAGACTCATGAGTGCAACCTGCGAATGGGAGCCTTCGCTCTGGGGGTTAATCGGGTTGCTCGCTCTACTCTGCTCAGGGGCTGGGAAGCTTGATCATGGAGATCTTGCTTCCTCCTCTAATATGTAGTAACTGGTAATTGACGAAAACTTTAGGAGTCCAGTTGTAGTACTTCATTTAGCTTTCCAGTTTTGTTCAGACTTTGAATGCTGTATGCTCAACTAAGAAAGAACATTTTTAATTATAATAAAAAAAAAAAAAGAAGGAAAGGGCTCATTTACCAGTTTAAATAAGCTTTAATATATTGCAGATTCTCAACAACTACATAAGCAATAAAATTAAAGAAGATAACATGATATGTATGCAAACCTCAAGAAAATCTTGATTAAAGTGGGATATGAATTAAAAATCAAATTCTCATCAGCAAATACACAATTACAGCAACATAAGATGAAAACTGAATACAACAATTAAAACTTGGAAGACAACTTCCAGCTAGTCAGTTTTGGAGCCTCCGGGGGTCTCATCCTGCCAAGTTGCTTGCCATTGCTTGTCATAAAATGTTGTCTCATCCAGCAACTTCTTCAGAGTTTCTAAATCCTCGTTCTTTCGGATTAGAAGTACTCCTACCACAGCTACAAACAATAAGGTCTTGCAGAAGAAGTTGCTCATTTGGTCAACTAGACCAACACCAGTCAAGCTATCCACAAAGTAAGCCATAAAGAATCCTATCATTGCAGCACGGCCTGTAAAACTCAGAAGTGCATTAGTTAAAATCAGTGCGAGGGTGGGGAAGTTCTCTAATGTGCAGTGCAACAATAAAGAAAGATATTAACAAACCATTAAGCAGTTCTGCTTCAGGTAGATGGAATCTTTTCATCCATGCCCACCATGGTATGATCGAGGTGTCAAAAACTACAGGATCATCATTGCTGGATGATTCTGGATTACCCTCAAGCCATTTCCTTCTTCTAACCTCTGGAACAAATCATTAAGCAAATTTATCAGAAATCACCCAGTTGTTAAAAAAAAAGCACATTCTGATGCATGAAATCACCAGATAGTTGAATAGAAAACATGCATAGGAGGGTCTTTATAGTGAATTGAATGTTTCACATGCAACTAACATGAATGTCTGGATTTTCTGAATGGATCTGAAAATCACCCATTTCTAATTCACTAAAACTTTAGAATAAAACTTGTGTCATCCTTAAGAAACAGAGAATCATGAATAAACTCATGCAATGTTTAGAAAAATAATCTTGAACACGTAAGGTAAAATTACAAGGCCACATTAATGCCCTTCCGGAAAACATCAAATTTGGTATTTGTGACTCTGAGGAGAAAGGAAAGGAAACTCATGGAGTATAAATTTTGCAAAACTAATGGTAGTAATTTTGGCGCATCCTCTTTTATAATAGCAACTAAGCCAAAAAACCATATTTTTACCCAAGATTCTTAACTAGCAGAAAATCATGAAGGAGAAGGAGAAAATGACAAGCGAAGCAATAAAACCAATTTTCTCTCTTTCAATCTTTTGCATCCACAACAGATTCACAAAGAGGCCATGATAGACAATTGTCTTAATTGCCTAATTTATGCATAAACTGACGGTTAGAACACACAATGCATACCATGTAACTAACAGTTCAAACCTACTTTAACTAATTCTTTTTCCTTTCCGTCCCATCCTCCACAATCCCAAACTAAGAACTGATAGTGATCAATTGCGAGGCCACTGTAGCATATTGAACCCCAAGTTAATTTGCACTCTTTTATTTGATTATCAACCTATTTGGGTCTAAATTTGGTAAAGTTTATATCTTCATAACTACAATCCCCTCCCAAACACAACCAACAAAATCAAAACAATCAGAGCAATAAACAATGAGCAAAAAACGACACAAAAAAAAAAAAAGAAAAAAAAAAAAAAAAAAAAAAAAAAAAAAAAAAACAAAAAAAAAAAAAAGAAAAAGAACCCAATACATACCAGCATCAATTACAGCATCCCAATCAGTTTTTTCCATCCCTTTGAAACTGCTTCACAGTCCCAAGTCCCTCCAATCCACCTGGGCGTCCACAAAGGTTACTTTCCAGCTTTCACCTCTCCATTCCGCCACCGCTCCAGTAAAAAAAAAAAAAAAAAAAAAAAAAAAAAAAAAAAAAAAAAAAAGAAAAAGAACCAATACATTACCAGCATCAATTACAGCATCCCAATCAGTTTTTCCATCCCTTTGAAACTGCTTCAAGTCCCAAGTCCCTCCAATCCACCTGGGGTCCACAAATTTACTTTCCAGCTTCACCTCTCCATCCGCCACCGCTCCATTAGACTCCAAAGAGCTCTCTTTAGCCTCCGGCACCGAGCCAGAAGGCTCTGCAGCCTTTTGCTCAGCTTTTGGTTCCTCTACAGCAGCGGAAAGTCCAGCACCATTGTCTGTGGAGGCTTTTGGAGTGGAGAGGAAAAAGAGAGGGTTTGTAGGTCTGAGAAGTAGAGAGGGTTTGTGGGTGAAATGGGGTTTTGGAGATAAGGATCGTAGAAGATGCGTTGGCAGAGGCGGAGAGAACAAGGCCATTGAAATGGACATTGTTTTTGTCAACGGTGGCCTTGCGAGCGTTAGTTCATGGCTGAGTTATCCTCAGCCTCACAAATGGGTCATTACTCTTTCGAACCACCAGCAGGATGCACTCAAATACGAGAATTTTTAATCAATAAAAAACAAAAAAAATACACATTCTCCAATTCAGACATGTCGTGCAGCTGTACGCCAGCTGCACTTCAATGCCACGTCACCTTCGTTGCCTGCCATCTGGCAATTATTACATGTCAGCTATTCACATGTCAGCAAATATGCGCTTTGTCATCACCATACCATGCAATGGTTAGCCACGTCATCACAGCTCAATTAACACACGTGCTGCTGTAACAGCTCATCATTTTACACGTAAGCAAATGGGCCACGTCATTGGGTTCGCCAACTGTACAAGTGCCGCAAGTCATCGCAGAACACGTAACGTAACTGTGTGCCACCTTTGCAATAATTACACGTCACCTGATGACAAGTTAATAATTGTACGCCAGTTATCATTTTGCAACGTCACCAGAAGCCACGTCATCGAATTGGAAACGTCATCTAAGATTAATGACACCTGTATTTTTGACATGTCATCACATGACACGTAAGTAAGCATGCGCCACATCATTAGTCAGAGCACGTCATCCTAGATATGCCACCTGTACTTGCATGACACGTCACCCAATGGTGCCACCTGTGCAATTGTTACACGTCACTCGTTGACATGTTAGAAACTGCACGCGTGTGATTATTTCGCCACATCATCGAATTCGGGCACGTCTTACATTTAATAGCACGTGCAAATGTACTGTTTTGACAGGTCACTAAACGACACGTAAGAATTACTTGCCCACGTCATTAGTTTTGCGCCATGTGGTCATCAATTGGCGGACACATGACCTAATGTTCAGCCACCATTGCCGTACAGACACGTGTCAAGATATTACGTCATTAAAAAAAATGCCTAGAGCAGTCAAATTGCTGCCAGCCGTCTCGACACCATTAGTGTGATTCTTCCCATCTAAATTTTTCCCTGTTTGAGGTCGGTTTATGCCATCGAGGCTTCAAAAATTCAGCTGAAATACAAAGATTTTCTTCGATTGTATATCTTTAGAAGAAAATACTGAGTTTCGCGACGATCGATGGTGTTCTTGGACAATCCCCAATACGGTATGCGCTCTCCTTCATAACTCAATTCGCATATCTTGGGTCAGAGAGAGACTTCCATTTCCCATTTCATTAGTCAGTGATTGGATATTCAACTCTAATTTGAAAATTACTATTAAGAAGCTGATATGAACGAAATGGAAGTATAGTTTTCTTTTGAGAGACTTGGTTATGGTAGCTACTATCTATTGCTTTATTCCTTGTAGGTACTGCATAATTTCATAGGGAAACTTGGAGGGAGATGTTGGTTGGGTAATGAGAAGATCGAGAACATGAGAATGAAGAAAAGTTTCAATTTTTTCCCTTTTTTTTCTAGTTAATCATTGTAGAATACAAGTTATGCTTCTTGGGATACCAATACCTTTTTTTTTTCAAGCATTTTTAGTTTTTATGAATAGTGAGTGATATTAGTCACCAGGAAAATGTTAATGAAACGACCTATTGAATTTGCTGAAAAATCAAAGGAAACCAAGATTCAAATAAAGAATATTTTTCCTATGACTCGTTACTTCTGTTGGTATCTATATTTTGAAATTTTCATTGTATTATCTTTATGCATGCTACAGTATCAGTATGTACATGAACTGAAAGTGTTGTTTGGCTACAAAAAGATGTGGATTTTTCTATTATCTTCTACGGTTGACAAGATGAATCAATGTTGTATGCACTTTACCATTCCAAAATGTTTAAGCAGAGAGCACTATAACTAAATTGTAAATAGAACACTTGCTTCTTTCTTTGACACTGGAATTGATGCTCATTCTTTTCATAGAATGATTAAAGAACAAAGATGTCTCATTATCTATCCCATAGATGATAAAATTAATTTTCATCCTCTAGTCTGTCTATTATCTGTAATTGTTCTATATTATTTCAACTAATACAAAAATATTCGTACTAACCAATTAGCTAATTAGTTCACCAAAACTCGACTTATCTCGTTCATAACCCTAGTTGGCTAGTTTTGGTCGATATACATTTGAGTTTTTGACAGAATTTCAAAGTGAAATTAAAATTTTTGAATTCCATTTGATAAGTCACTCGTAATATTGACATTTCTATTTTGGTAAACAATTAATTCAACATTTAAGAAATTTTATTTACTTATTTATTTGAATCAGGTTATGGTGAATAATGTGATTTGATACTCAATTTTATTGATTTATTGAATTCAAGTCATTTTGAATTTCATGTGAATTTAAATGGGACCATATTACTATGGATCGGTCGGACCTACTAGTAGGTTCGGATTTCAATAGTGACTAAATTTTTATTTTTAATCTAATCGGATTAGAAATTGCAACCTTCACAAACAACAATTGTTCTTTATATATATTTTTTTTTTTTGAGTGAACAAAATGCAAACATAAATTTATGCTAAAAAAAAAAAAAGTCTACTACCTCACATCCTTGCAACTGATGAAACCTAAATTATAAGTGATGATGACTAATGAGAGCTCTGTATTTAGTGCACACGTATGGATATGTAGAGGAACACTGCATGTACTGTCACTGATTAATTAATTGTCAAGTAAACAGCCAGTTCAATTTATCTATCTATTGAACAATCGGATAATGATGATTAGATAAAAAAAATTAGCTGTTAATTGTATATTTTAACCTAATAAATCATCCAGTTGTGGCCTGCAGGCTAGCTAAATGCTAATAAGTTGACTTTTATTAACGCTGTCAATTCAAAAACAAGCAATACATGTACCCTCGCCGGAGTTGATCTCGTGTTATATCCCGGCGCAGCTTTCTTGCACTTTAATTCCATTTTTTAATAATACTCTCTCTCTTAAACTCTACTTTATTCCTCTTTATTAATGATTTATTTTGCTATATATAAATACCTTATTGAGCATTAAACCTCCACACAAACTCTCTATCTTTCAACTTCCCACTACTTCTATCATTAACCGTTACCGTTAATTGATATACCAATTAGCTTAATTCTCTTTATTTGAGTTTCCTTTCTCATTTACCAAATAATTAATTGATCATGACAAAACTAATCTGCTTCTTCTTCTTCTTCATTTTCTTTGCCCTACTAAATATCAACTCATCATTTGCCAGAACAAGCTTTAACGTTTTAAGCTATGGAGCCAAACCTAATGGCGTAACAGACTCCACCAAGGCTTTTCTTGATGCATGGTCTGCAGCCTGTAGCTCTAATGATTCAACTATGATATATGTACCTAAAGGAAGGTATTTGGTTGGCGCTATGGCCTTTAATGGTGACTGCAAAAGCTCTGATATCACCATTCGCATTGATGGGACGCTGGTGGCTCCAGGAGATTATCGCATACTAAGTCAAGCTCATGACTGGCTTAGCTTTAACAAAGTTAATGGTGTTTCCATTGTTGGTGGAGCATTGGATGCTAAAGGGTCACCCTTGTGGGCTTGCAAAGCCAAAGGCAGTAACTGCCCAGATGGCGCTACGGTACGTTTCAAAGAATAAAAAAAAAAATGCACTCTTTAAATTAATTATTACCTGTTAAGGTTGTATTTTTTTAATTAATTCTAATAGAACATAAGGTTTTTGAATTAATTCTTGCTTGTGAATTCAGACTCTGAGATTTGCAAACTCCAACAATATAAAGATCAATGGCTTGTTATCACTAAACAGCCAAATGTTCCATATTGCCATTAATGGCTGCCAAAATGTAAGCGTTGAAGGAGTTAAGGTGATAGCTTCTGGAGATAGTCCAAACACAGATGGAATTCATGTTCAAAACTCCGCCAATGTTGCGATCATCAACTCTGCAATTAAAACTGGTGATGATTGTATCTCCATTGGCCCTGGAGCTAAGAACTTGTACATTGACCGGATTAGATGCGGACCTGGTCATGGAATTAGGTCAGATAAAGGATTATATTCCAATATTAAGATCTTACATAGTTAATTTTATAAAAACTAAAATTATTTTTCATAATATTTGCAGCATAGGAAGCTTAGGTCGGGACATGGAAGAAGAAGGGGTTCAAAATGTGACAGTTAAAAGTACAATATTTGCAGACACTCAAAATGGATTTAGGATAAAGTCTTGGGCTAGACCGAGTAATGGATTTGTTGAAGGAGTTCAATTCATAGGTGCCATTATGCGTAATGTCCAAAATCCCATTGTCATTGATCAACATTATTGTCCTCACAATTTAAATTGCCCTAATCAGGTAATTAAATAATTAAGAAATCTTAAAGGTTTTTCTCAAACTTGTTAATGACTTATTTGATATTTTACCTTGCGTTATATACAGGTATCGGGTATAAAAGTTAGTGATGTTATATATGAAGACATTCGAGGAACTTCAGCTACACCGGTTGCCATAAAATTTGATTGCAGTTCCAAATTTCCGTGTAATGGGATAAAACTGCATAATGTGAATTTGACGCACTCAAATCAAGTAGCTCAATCATTTTGTGCTAATGTGGTTGGCAAGACAATTGGGCTAGTTCAACCCAATGGTTGTTTGTGATAGAAAAAAAATATGTAATATACACTTGTTTATTTATTGTGTTAGTTCTCATTAATTAATAAGATAATATAGATTATTCTTTTTTTATTTCTTAAAACAATTATTTAGATATTGATAAAAATAATATTGTTTTAAAAGCTATTTACCAATCTGATATTAAATTGAAACCATTTATAAATTATAATTTTAAAATTATGCATCACTTAATTTTAAGATTTTTCATCACTCAATTAAAAAAATATGAAATTAAAACCATAACTTAGGTCATAGTGATTAATTCACAAATCCTCTTTATCATTGAGGTACTCAACCGGAAGATAGGTAATTTATAATTGATGACCTAAAAAAGGCACACCCAATAAGTAACCTATAATTGATAACCTGAAAAGACAATATTACAACGATCATGAGGCCCTGATTGGAATATATATATATATCATCATCATCGTTGTCGTCGTGGTTATCGTGGTGGTCGTCATTATGGAAACAAAGCTGGTAAGTCTCTGCGCTTGAGCATGAAGCCCTTGACCATCCTTTTCAACCGCCGCAGAGGAAGTGGCAAAGAAGCCAATAGAGCACTTCCCAAAATAAAACCCAGAAAATATGATTCATCCACACAAGGTAATTTTTTAAATATTGTTGCAGGGGTAGCAATTAAGAAAAGCAAAGATGCAAGCAGAAGTTCGGAGGCCATCGTTATATCAGGAAGGAGCAAAACGAAAATCACAGTAATTGATGTTCCAAATGCTAGAGTGAGAGATATGAAGAAAATCTCAGCTTCATTTGCATTCCTCATGAATTTTTTCCAAATTGATGTAATGTCATGAGCTGTTGTGCTACTGGTGTTGCTGTTCACAGCAGATTTATTACTGGTACTGTGCTCATTACTGTGTTGGCAAATTCCAGCCGGAGGGTTAACCAAGGCTTGATAGCTTGCTGCTGCAACTAATGCGGCCACTGCGATCAATGTACTGCGAGTCTTATTTGATATGCGCCTATCTCGACCTCTCATAGAAATGGCCACCCTTTTAAACAGTGAAATTTTGGACCTCAACTCCTCTGCAAGTGTAGTATATTTAGGAAGCAATGAGGCGGGTAAACCTCCGGCACGCCATACCTCTGTCCTGATTTCGGTATCTGGGGACACGTCGAATGCGGTCAAACCCCCAAAATTTTTGGCATTTATGTCGACTCCACCATCAATTAAGAATTTCACTAGCTGCACCTGTTAAAGAGAGAACTTCCCTTCATGATAAATCATTTGATGCCCCAGATTTTAGGATGTATTCAAATTTAGAATGAAATTTAGACATAAGAGTATCAGTTTTTATGTTCAAAAAATCATGTCTGGACCTGGCGTAGATACGTCAAGTCCAAGTAAAAAACATAAGTTATATTAAGTGATCACCGAAGAGATTACCTGAGCTTGGGTAAGAGATACTGCGTGATGTAAAACGGTGTTGCCTCCTTCATCCATCCAGTTCAAGACCTCCGTCTTGGAGGTAGGATCCAGAAGGCGATGGATGTAGTCCCTCTTTAGCCAACCCAATTGGACTTTAAGAGCTTCAAACCTGCTGTTCTTCACTGCTATATGTAAAGCAGTCTCGTTTCGAATTGTTAAATCTTCGACGGACTTGGGACAAACTGAAAGAAACTCTGCTAGCAGATCAAGATTTTCAGTTTCTGAAACATAGTGCAAAGGGGTCATACCTTCTCTCCCTTTGACACGCACCAAGTCACTGTTAATTTGAACGAACCGACTCACCATTTGGTTATGCCCATTTTGCAAAGCAAGGTGCAAGGGACAAAACCCGTCCTTGTTTGGCTTTGTAGCAAATGAAGGCTGTAATCTCATTATCTCCATAGCAAATAGGATTTGGCCTGTCGCTGCGGCTATGTGTAAAGGAGTTTCAACGAATGGTAACTCGTCAATATTCTCCAAAATAAAAGGATTCTCGCCTATTAAACGATACAAGGCATTGAGATCCCCTACTCGTGCGGCCTGGTTCAGCTCCTCGCTCATTTCGGGTATTCAAAGAGCAGAGAAGACTGTTGTTCAGAGATATGAAACAGGGAAGACTCTTTTTGTAGCACAAGGGTCTTTGTTTATTGATTCCAAATTTTGATTGTTTTGAATATTTATAAAGAAAAAAGGAGGAATTAGTTGAGTCTTCAGTCTTCATATTATATATATAAATATAAAGTGTTTGCTTTAGTGGGTAGGGAAAACTATCCATCAAACTTTTTGATATTACATTTGATTGCTTTGAATATTTATAGAGAAACAAGGAGGAAATAGTTAGTGTTCATAACACATTGGTTTAATGGGGAACAGAAAAGTGCCAATTCAACTTTTAGAAATTGGTTCGTAATTTCCTGCATGATATAATAACAATTAAAGTTTGAATTCGAATTCGTATTCTTAAAAGGTTATAATTAATTTTAGTAAAAACAAAAATTTAAATTGGAACAATACTGTCTATGGAATTATACATGTTTAGTATGGTTAATTTAAAACATGTAATTCAATTCAATTTCACATAATCGTATATGAAGTAAATTCATAATTGAAAATTCATTTGCTTTTGTTTTCGAAAATATTCTTGAAATACTATTAATTTCGCAAAAATAAATAGTATATACCAATTATGTTTATGTTATGCTACATAATTTTTTAATATTTTTATTAAAAAATATAAAATAAAAATAATATTAATAAAATTATTACATTTAATTTGGTGATAAATGTATTGTCTCTCCTTAATAGTAAAAAAAACATGCTAAAAAAATTAAAATAAAAATAATAAGAAAATATTTTTTTTGAAAAAATTAAAATTTTTGCAGGATTTTGATCAAATTTGATAAAATAAATAAGTTAAATAAGTAAAATAATTGAAAAATTCATTTCGTAGAAGAAGGGAAGTTTTATCATACAAATTTGAATCGCTTAATTTTGTGAAATTCATTTTCAAATTCTATCTATTTTTGTGGAATTTTGTGTAGTTACATTTAATTCCATGGATTTGAATTTGTAGAATTGAAATCTACATTTTTTTTTTCATTCCAAACACAAAAATGTGAATTTCTAAATGAATTCCATAAAATTTTGTCGAATTAATTTGTTCCAAACAATGGGTAAGATTTTAAGAACTAAAAATTTAGAGTTAGTTTTTAAGTTTTAGGATTTTGGATTCTAGGGTCTTAATCTTTTATTAGGATTTAGGAGTTATGTTTTAAGTTTTAGGGTTTTGAGTATACTATTTTAGGATTTAAAATCTAGAATTTAAGGTTTTTGAGTTTAGTATTAGAGCATGCCCTGGAGCCACCAATGTTTATATATAGAGTATTTTTTTAGTTTTTAGGATTTTGGATTCTAGGTCTTAATCTTTTATAGGATTTAGGAGTTATGTTTTAAGTTTTAGGGTTTTTGAGTATACTTATTTTAGGATTTAAATCTTAGAATTTAAGGTTTTTTGAGTTTAAGTATCTTAGAGCATGCCCACCTGGAGCCACCAATGTTTATATATATATATATATATATATATATATATAATATATATTATATATAATATTATATAATTTATATTTATATCCTTAAATGTTACATTATTTAGAGAGTTATCGAGACTCTATCTCTATGAATTTTATTGTTCGGTAATATATCATTTATAATAGTTTTTAAAGGTTGATAAAGTTTTTTATCAAATATTAAACATCATAACGTTCAACATTGTTTTACATGTTTTACACCAAGGGCCCGAGAGCTTCGAAAGCGTTTTCTATATATCCAGCCTATGTTGATAACTAAGCCACAACTCGTAGGGTGATTATTATATATTTATATATGTTCCATTTTATTTAATTTTTTTACACCTTTCTGGTTATAGTTATTAGCATCAAATAAACATGCAAGTATTACAAAAGAGAGAGAGTCACAACTATAAGTGATGCATACATATCCATATGGCCGTATAGTTTCTCATAACCTTGCTTGGAGAGAGAGAGAGAGAGAGGGAGAGAGAGAAAAAAAAAAAAAAAAAAAAAAAAAAAAAAAAAAAAAAAAAAAAAAGAAGAAAGATTAAAAAGTCACTATTCAATTTGTCTGATTGTACCTTAATTTGGTTGGATTTCAAATTGAATGGATGGTTTGCTGTCCTTATAAAGTAAAAGTACAAAGTTTAAAGTGAATTTATATATTACGCTAAACTTGATTTATAAGCTACGGTGAGGGCTCTGTATACAGTACATACATATATAGAGGAACTCTGCATGCTTTGATTAATTAATTGTCAAGTAAACAGCGCAGTTTAATTTATAATTTTTGTTGACCGATTGGATAATGATGAGAAAAAAAAAAAAAAAAAAAAAAAAAAAGCTATTGCCATTTTATAAAAAAAAAAAAAAAAAAAAAAAAGCTATTGCATGTATGTTTAACCTTCGAAGAAATCATCCATGTTGTGGCCTGCAGGCTAAATTCTAATATGTTGACGTTTAATAACTCGTCAATTGAAAAATAAGCAATACATGCACCGTCGCCGGAGTTGGTCATTTGTGTTTTATTCCGGCGCAGCTTTCTTGCACTTCATTTCCATTTTTTAAATACACAAACTCTCTTGAAATCTACTTTATTCCTCTTTATCTATAGCTTATGTTTGTATATAAATACCCTATTAAGCATTAAACCTCCACTAACAAACTCTCTATCTTTCAACTTCCCACTACCTTTATAATTAACCACAACCGTTGATTACTAATTAGCTTAATTCTCTTTTTTTGAATTTCTTTTCTCATTTACCGAATAATTAATTAGTCATGGCAAAACTAATCTGCTTATTCATTTTCTTTGCCCTACTAAATATCAACTCATCATTTGCCAGAACAAGCTTTAACGTTTTAAGCTATGGAGCCAAACCCAACGGCGTAACAGACTCTACTAAGGCTTTTCTTGATGCATGGTCTGCAGCCTGTGGTTGTAATGATTCAACTATGATATATGTACCTAAAGGAAGGTATTTGGTTGGCGCTATGGCCTTCAATGGTGACTGCAAAAGCTCTGATATAACTATTCGAATCGATGGAACTCTTTTGGCGCCAGGAGATTATAAAATTCTGGGTCAAGCTAGTTACTGGCTTAGTTTCAAAGGAGTTAATGGCGTTTCTATTGTCGGTGGAGCACTTGATGCTAAGGGGTCGGCCTTGTGGGCTTGCAAAGCCAAAGGAAGCAACTGCCCTGTTGGCGCTACGGTACGTTTTAAAGAAAATTTTAAAAAAAAAAAAAAAAAAAAAAAACATTTATACTTCTTAATAAAATATTGAGTTTTTGAACTAATTCTTGCTTATGAACGCAGACATTGATGTTTACGAACTCGAGCAATATAAAGATCAATGGTTTGTTATCATTAAACAGCCAAATGTTCCATATTGGCTTTAATGGCTGCCAAAATGTGAGTGTTGAAGGAGTTAAAGTGATGGCTTCTGGAGATAGCCCAAACACAGATGGCATTCATGTTCAGTACTCCACCAATGTTGTGATCATCAACTCTGTAATTAAGACTGGTGATGATTGTGTCTCCATTGGCCCTGGAGCTAAGAACCTGTACATCGAACGGATTAGATGCGGACCTGGTCATGGCATTAGGTCAGATATATTACATTCATGTTAGATCTTCTATATAATCAATTTTATGTATCATTTATAAAACCTAACGATACTTTTCTTTTCATAATATTTACAGCATAGGGAGCTTAGGTTGGGGCATGGAAGAAGAAGGGGTTCAAAATGTGACTGTTAAAAGTACAACTTTTGCAGACACTCAAAATGGATTTAGGATAAAGTCTTGGGCTAGACCAAGTAATGGATTTGTTCAAAGGGTTCGATTCATAGGAGCCATTATGCATAATGTCCAAAATCCCATCGTCATCGATCAACATTATTGTCCTCACAATATAAATTGTCCTACTCAGGTAAATAACTTAGAAATATTAAAGTTTTATGTCGATATATTCTTTCTATAGTTCTTATATATATTAATTTTTCGTTATGTGTAGGTATCGGGTATAAAAATTAGGGACGTAATATATCAAGACATTCGGGGAACTTCAGCTACACCAGTTGCTATAAAACTTGACTGCAGCTCCAAATTTCCGTGTAATGGGATAAGACTGCATAATGTGAATTTGACTCATTCAAATCAAGTAGCTCAATCATTTTGTGCTAATGTGGTTGGGAAGACAGTTGGCCTAGTTCAACCTAATGGTTGTTTGTGATTAGAAAGAAAATCAAATCTGTAAATATATATTTCTTCATTTATTGTATTAACTTTCATTAATTTATAAGGTACATTGATTATTCTTTTTTATATCGATACATTGGCAATATAAAATGATAAATTATTACTAGAGTTTACAGCAGATTACTAATATCTGCACTTTTATTGTGTTACCCCTCCATTTGGTATTGACTGCTGCTGTTTTTAAGCGTTTCTGCTGCTTGGAATTATTGCAGAACAAGCCCTTCAAGTTGAGCCAATACTTTCATATTTGATGCCCTCACCTTCTAAAATGATAAATCTAATGTTTCCAACTTAATTATGAAGCTACCATTTATAATTACTGAGCTATTTATAAAATAATAATAATAAAAAAAACACATTTCTAATACATATCAAAGCCATATAATTTCTCCAGAAAAATTATAGCTCTAAATATTTATGCTCGAAACGGGTCAAAAGATATGTACTTATCTTCTGTTCCTTGATTCGTCTATGAGCTTCACAAAAAGGAAGTAAAACCCAAGTGATATGCAGCTGCTGCAATTTTTAATCTTTTCAAGAGTACGAATGCAATTCAATATCGGACAGAAACCCTTGGTTGAAATTAACTTTACTTTGTATCGGAGCTTCATTGTGTGATTCGCCTTTCAGAAATCGAAAATTAGTCTGGTCATCATTGTTAATTTTCATCATCCATCACAGACCTCCTCCCATGAAATCTAGCGTTTCTGATTCAGCAAGTATGCTTGCTCGAAAACGAAAGAAATATTTCTTAGAAACATTTTGAATCTTAACTATATGAAGTCAGGGCTTCTCTCGCTTCCCTGGCCTTCTCTGCTTGCTTGGAAGAACTAGGCTAAATAATGTCGTTTCAGAGGGATCTATCTGACGCGCGTTCCCATGAATCATGATCGCAGGAAAGCATATCAGTCAACATCAAGGCAATGATGCCACGTGTCACATGCCTATCTGTACCAACTGAACCACGTAGCCTTTGAACACCTCACCCACGTGTCCAGCTACTTGGCCACATCATCGCAAGCATAATGCCACATGGCTCCGTGTCGCCAGATGGCAGCCACTTGGCCACGACAACCTTAAATTTTCGACACGTGGTCAACGGACTGCCAGCTGTCGCATTTGCCAACCAAATTATGGCATGTCATCCACACATCATCTACGTACTCCGACGTCACCATCTGCACATACTGCCAGGTGGATACAATGTAAACAATATGATATTCCACGTGGCAGAAAATACTGCCAGCTGCCGCCTTCTGCCACGTCAGCGAATTCCACGTCATTGAGTAAGTCATTGGTCTTTGCCGTGTCCACATCGGCCTTGCCATCTGGCAGAAATTGCGCCACGCCATCCTCACATTTACGGTCAGGTGCCCGCATACTGCCAGGTGGTGACAAACCAACCAACAGAATATTCCACATGGCAACAAGTCCTGCCAGCTGTCCTTTCACGCCACGTCAACTACGTCCATGTAATCGAACGTGTCTTTGATATTTGCCGTGTGGACATCATGCATTGCCACGCGGCGCAATCCTCCAGCTGGCCTAACTTATGGCACGTCATCCTCACAGTCACGGCCACGCGTCCAAATTCTACCAGGTGGCTACACAGTCAACCATAGGATATTAGACGTGGCAATAAATACTGTAAGCTGTCAAATTATGCCACGTCATTGATGTTTGTCGTGTCAAGATCAAGCCTTGCCAAGTGGCGTGCTACTGCCAACTGGCAGTAATTGTGCCACATCATCCTCAAAATTTGTGGCCGCGTGTCCACGTACTGCCATGTGGCTAAAATTCAACCAATAGGATATTCCACATGGCAACAAATACTGCCAGCAATCGTTTACTGCCACGTCAATGACTTCCATGTCATCTGACACGTCATTCATGTTTGCCATGTCAACATCGAGCTTGCCACGTGACGCTATCGTGCCAGCAGGCACAAAATTGCCATGTCAACCTTACGTTTACGACGCGTGGCGTCAACGTAGCCAGTTGTCAGAATTGTCAGGTATACTGCATGCCACGTCAACGCCGACCTTTAGCCACGTGTTGCAGGTGATCCAGTTGTCAGTTGACTGCCACGTCAATGACACCGTGGCCTCACGTAATCCAAATAATGCCAGCTGTCATATTCTGCTTGTTTCATGCGACGTAGACCTGGCATCTGAGTCTTATCCCACAAATACATGTCATGTATTTGCCATGTCGGCCTCTATTTTTTTTTTTTTTTGGGCAGTTAGTTACGTGGTCTTCTAACTCGGCAGCACCTATGAGCTTCTTCCACGTAACCAGATAACTCCACGTCAGATTTTACGATTCCATTCGAACCGTCTCCATCTAATTAAACCTTCCTGATTCCCATTTTGAGCTTCAACACTGTGCAAATGGCGCTTCAAAAGTTTTGGTATGCAGAAAGAAACAATTTTCTTTGATAGATACACCTTCAAGCCAATAAAAATCAAAGCAAAGGTAATCAATGGTCAAATTGCAAGAGAGAGAACAATAACATAAGAAGAATAAGATCAGCAAACATCATGACTCAAGAAGGAGAGATTGAGATTCGGAACCAGAGGAAAGCAAGGATGATGAGAAGAAAAGCAGTATAAAAGGAGAATTCTTTATGGGCTAGGATGAAGAAAAAGTTCGATTCTTTATCTTTTTTCCTTTTTCTTTTTTTTAAAAAAAAATGATCCATTAAACTTTCAAAGAAAAACAGGATTAGTAAGAAGAAACATCTTAGCTTCTATTCGTTCTAATTGAAAAGAATCATCAAGAGTTAAGACTATGACTGGAGGCCAGGGCTTCATCAATTTCTTTAAAAATGTTTTTAAGTAGATAATAGTATCACGAAATAGAACAGCTTGCTTCTTTCAAACATATGAATCAATGATCATTCTTTTTGCAACTTTAGCTTTTCATACTGTTTTTCACATATGGGTTGCAACTGCTCTTTCATTATTTCCGTCTTCTGATTTGTCTAATATTTCTCTGATTTAACAGCTTGCTTTGTATATATTAATGAAATTGAAGTATAGAATTTTCGGCTAGTTATGTTGAATTCTCAATCAAATTTATGATTTTTTTTTTTTTTTTTAATCAGCAAAGAGCCTAGTCCATTCTCTAACCCAAGCCAATCGGCCTCCCACTTAGACCCACACCTAAGGTGGACAGCCAAGTGAAAATCCTGGCATCCAAAAGAAACCCTGGAACCTGTTCTTGAATTAATTTATGAAAGGTTTTTGTTTATTCTAAACGTGAAATTCTAAATGAATTCCATAAGATATTGTGGAATTCATCCACAGCTTGAGCTTGCTCAGTTGCTGGTTTTATGCTTGTCAAAGAAATTACACCAACGTCACTCCAGAGAGTCAAATGTAAATCAATCCTATTCTGAAGTGTAAATCAGGTGAAAGTTGGAAATTGTTTTGCTGTTCCTCAAATTAAATTAGGGGGTTTTTAATATACTTTGCTTGGAGTTTAACATCATTTTCCAAAAGTTCCTTGAGAGGTTCATACTAATTAAATTGAAGTTGGCTTGGTTTAAGCACTACTGCACTAGTAAACCATTCAGTTGGCTTTTGGGGTAGGACTAAGTACAATAAAACATTATAGACTACTTTTCGACCTTCATACTTTGTTATAGAGTTGAAAAAGTAAAATGTCTAAAATTTCAAGAAATTGAAAAATAAATTTACATTCAAAGAAATGTTTCTTATCTGTAACCAAATTATAAACAAAGTAGTGCCTTATCAACGACAAACACTGAATGATTAATAACTTATAGGACACTTCCATCTATTGACATTACAATGAAGTAGTTAGAATCAGGTATTATATATTAGTGACATCTAACACTGTTTGCATATCTTTCTAAAAGTGAAGCGGAGCCTTCTCAAGTCGGCCTTGTGCTCATTTAGGGAAGTTATGGATCAGAAATTGCATGATACCGCCCAATTTTGAGATATAGATGCTTTCTATGAGATACTTCAAGATAATCAATACCAAAATACTAATGATGTCGTACTGTCTAAAACTCCATTACAGGTTGCTGTGTTGGCCAGGCAAACCCGTTTTGCGAAGGAAATAGCAAACTTAAAGCCATTGCTTTGTGGAAAACTTGATGCAGATGGCTTTAATTCCATTCACCTGGCTTCAGCCACTGGCCAATATGAATTGGTCAAAGTTCCTTTCTCTCAATCCTCTCCTTTGTAGGTTGAGAGGCAGAGAGAAGAAAACTCCTCTTTATTGTGCAGTCATAGCAGGGAGGTTGGACATAATGAACTTATTGGTTGATTTTTATCCTTCCTGTTTTGTGCAGCAAACTACCTGAAATGAATCTGTGTTTCTCTGGCAGTCAAGAATAACTAGTTGGAAAGCTTTTAGAATTTTGCTTGAATGGCTTAAGTGGTTCCTTGAAGTTGAAGTTGCCTCCTGTGCTCTTAAGCATGTAGAGAGAAACCACAACCTTGAAAGGATTAGGAGTCAATTTGAGAAAACAAATTTGCTCTATAAAAAGGAGCTGAAGAGTAAAAAATATATTCTTTCATCTTTGAAACTACTGAGAGACAAGAACATAAGATGATCGAAGAAAAGCCTGAAGAAATTGGACTGCCTTATTGAAAGCCTATCCTTGTTTAATCTTATAAGGCCTTGTTTATAAATAAATTCCACAAATTAGTAGAATCTTAGGTCTTCATTTTTGATGAATTTGTGAATCTTAGGTTTTCATGTTTGATATGAATGAAAATTTTCATTTAACTCCTGTGAATTCAACTTTATGGAATTTATCATGTAAGTAAATAAAATTCTAGCATTTGTTAATTAATTCTTTAATTCCATTTATACCAAAGAAGAGTTTCTATATCTTCATGTTTAGTATTTTAGATGCATATATAACAATTAGTTTATTTATCATCTTATTTTCAGATAATAGAGGCATTGCTCAGTGATAGCAATTCAAGTGGATGTGAATGCTTTAAATGCAAACAATCTTACTGCCCTGGACATCTTAGTAGACCAGCTTCAAAGAGGAATAAATGATGAAAAGATAAAAAATATTCTTCGCCATTCTGGGGCCATTAATCCCTGCCAGATCGTAAATGTCCCATCACCAGCTAGCTCTACAAAGCCATACCCAAATGAAGGATGCTGATGAGGCCATGTCATTCTTTGAGTGATCACCGCAAGGGAGTTTTAACATTTTCCACGCTGATGGCAGTAGGATGCTTCTTATTAGGAGTGAATCCACCTGGTGGTGTTTGGCAGTATGATCACAAATTCATTAGTAGCAGCATATCACACATTCCTGGGACTGCAATGCTAGGTGAGAAGCCTTACTTATTCTATCCTTTTATGGTGTTTGACATTTCAGGATTTCTTATCTCCTGTTGCTAAGTTGCTCCTGATAACCATACCATTTGGGGTTTATATCTTTTGTGTGAGCTCAACTATGCCTGATAAATATTTAGCTTTATTTTTACCCTTTCTTCTACTACTGTTCTTCATTTTGCCGCTAATAATCACAATATTATCATGTTCAAGTTGCAAACTATCAAAAAGCAACAAAGCCAACAGGAAACCAAGTTAAAGATGAGGAGATTGCCATGCTGGTTAGTCAAAAAATTCCAAAGGTGGGCAGCTGCTGCTTGATCGTGTTAGAATGTTTGCAATTTGCCAGATATGGAAAAATAAGTAAATAAACATGGACCTACATTTGTATTTATGGTATGAATATTTTGTGGAAAACTTGGATATTGGATGTACCAAGTTACTATATTGTGGTGTTGTAGAATATTTTGTTTCATTTACCTGCTTCTGTATAACATATGTTGTAAAAATGTTATTCGTTTATGGTCTGTATAATACTATGGGCAACTGGTTGATGGATTTAAATGCTTCTTTGTTATATGAACACTATAACCGAATAGAACAACTTGTCTCTTTGAGACATGAATTGATTGTTCATTGTTATTATTGAATGAAATTATTCTCAATGATAGGATTGAGAAGATTAAATTAGGTGTTGTGATCTAAAATATAATAGCTCCTTTTTTCTGTTTGTTTGTAGAGAAATCTGGTACATCTTTAATTTTATTCAAAGAGAAAGTGTGCTTTTGTACTGTGTATTGCCATTGCTTTGATTTATATTTATGTTGTGTTTTTCAGAATTTGATGAGGGTGAGTGAGGTGCTGCTTTGTAGCAGGTGTTGGCTGTAATTTTTAAGTCATTTTTTGCCAATTTTTTCTCAAATTTTAATGAATAGTTAATAATATTTGTCATTGAAATGCCACTAATAGGAAAATGCCAATGAAGGGACCAACCAAATTCTCTGGAAAATCAAAGGAAAACATGATTAATAACAAAGAAACATCTGAATTTGTATCTTCAATTTCAATTATTTTCATTTTTGCATTATTTTGTTTCTTTGAAAATAACTTGTTTTCTAAATTGAAAAGAAACTAATTTTATTATTTCAAAAAATTAAATCCAATTGGTGGAATAAATTTTTATAAATCTTGAATTTTCCAATAAGACAACTAAATAAATATATAATAGAGAATAATATCGTACTTATTTAAAACTCTTTAATAGATTTCGAAAGCTTAATCTTATAGGTAAAATATATCTAAAAATACAGTTTATGAGCAATATCTTAATATTTACGAAAATGTGTCTTATTTTTCATATTCCAATATTAACATTTCTTCATGTTTACTATCTACGTGTATATACAGATCGTACGGATGTGGAAACCTAAAATGCAAGAAATATCGAAAGTACGGAGTACGGATACAAGAAACGGCCTCTAATCTAATCACATCCTTACAAGTGAGGAGACCTAACTTCTACGTGATGGCTACATATGTGAATATGCAAAGGAAAGTAGGAAACCCTATTGCATTGCCATTGATTAATTAATTATAAAGTTAACAACCTACACACACTTAATACTCTTAATACTTTTATTTTATTTTATTTTCTTATCTAATGGTCAGAAATATTCTGGTTGTAATCAAAAATATGTTTTTGATTGGTTTGGGAGTAAGTAATTCTTTTTCTATCACCAGATAACTAAATAAAATAATAATAATAATAATAATTAACGTTGTCCATTGCAAAGCAAGCAATACATGGACGGTTGAAGGAGTTGTTTCTGAGTTATGTTCGGGCGCAGCTTTCTTGCATTTTATATTTTTGGATAAAGACTGTATTAAGATATACTTTATTCTTCTTTATACTCTAATTTACATTTGTATATAAATATCCTACCAATCATTATTAGACCTCCATCAGCTTTTGTATATCTCTACCAAATCAAAACACCTTTCAACTGTCAATTGCTTTAGTGCTCACATCCTCTATTAGCTTCTCTTTAATTTCCTTAATTTCTCATTAAGCAAATATACGTAACATGGCAAGACTAATCATTTTCTCGTTCTTCATTTTCTTTTCCCTATTAAATATCAACTCATCATTTGCCAGAACAAGCTTTAACGTTTTAAGCTATGGAGCCAAACCTAACGGCGTGACAGACTCCACCAAGGCTTTTCTTGATTCTTGGATTGCAGCCTGTGGCTCTATTGATTCAACCATGATATATGTACCTAAAGGAAGGTATTTGGTTGGCGATATGGTCTTTAAAGGTACCTGCAAAAACTCTGATATAACCATTCGCATTGATGGCACACTGGTGGCTCCAGGAGATTATCGCATTCTAGGTCAAGCTCATGACTGGCTTAGCTTTGAAGGAATTAATGGTGTTTCTATTATTGGTGGAGCATTGGACGCTAAAGGGTCACCCTTGTGGGCTTGCAAAGCCAAAGGCAGTAACTGCCCTGATGGAGCTACGGTATTCTATAAATCCTTTAAGTTAATATAAAATATACAATATAGTTATAATAACGAGTATATGAATTAATTCTTGCTTGTGAGTGCAGACACTGAGGTTTACAAACTCCAATAATATAAAGATCAATGGCTTGTTATCATTAAACAGCCAAAAGTTCCACATTTCCATAAATGGCTGCAAAAATGTGCGTTTTGAAGGAGTTAAAGTGATAGCTTCTGGAGATAGCCCAAACACAGATGGTATTCATGTTCAATACTCCACCAATGTTGTGATCTTCAACTCTGTAATTAAAACCGGTGATGATTGTATCTCCATTGGTCCTGGTGCTAAGGACCTGTACATCGAAGGTGTTAGATGCGGCCCTGGTCATGGCATAAGGTCAGATATATATATATATATATATATGATATTCATATTAACTAACTTTTATGTATTTTTCACAAAACCTTACAATATTGTTTTCCATAATATTTGCAGCATAGGAAGCTTAGCTTGGGAGATGGAAGAAGAAGGGGTTCAAAATGTTACAGTTAAAAGCTCAATTTTTGCCGATACTACAAATGGATTTAGAATAAAGACATGGGCTAGGCCAAGCAATGGATTTGTGAAGAGGATTCGATTCTTAGGTGCCATTATGAGTAACGTCAAAAATCCTATTATTATAGATCAACAGTATTGTCCTCACAATTTAAATTGTCCTAATCAGGTAATTAATTAAGAAATCTTAATTTTATGTTCTCAATATAAATTTTTAAGCCAAAAGAGGCATAATTCCTTTTTAATAAATATTTTATTTTATATCATATGTAGGTATCAGGCGTAAAAATCAGTGATGTAATATATCAAGGCATTCGAGGAACTTCAGCTACACCAATTGCTGTAAAATTTGATTGCAGCCCCAAGTATCATTGCACTGGAATAAGATTGCATAATATAAATTTGGCCTACTCAAATCAAGTAGCTCAATCATTCTGTGCTAATGTTGCTGGCAAAACAGTTGGACTCGTTCAACCTGATAGTTGTTTATAATTTAGAAAAGTCCAACCATGTCTATGTATATAATTATGTTGTATTAATTATCATTTGTAAGAGCCTTCACCCCAAGAATCAGACTTCTGTATTCGCATTAATATCTATATGATATAAAGATATATTGAAAAATTTTTTATTTCTTAATCTTCTTTATGACAATTATATTTTAAACTAAACCACAACATTTACTTAGATTCGGTCTATACGGACTAAACTAATGAAATTATAAATTTGATTATATTGCAATAGACTTACAGCATCTTTAGCTTTCTTGCTCAAGGATTCTCAAAACGACGCCAATCTGCAAGTGCTACTTTCTTGCGTTGTTTGTACAATATTCTAATATAACTTCCCACATAGAGTATAAATAATGGCATTCCAAGGGAAATAATCCATGAGAAAATCTCAGACCCTTGGCCACTCGGCGAATTTGACACTACCGCAGAACCATAGGTAGCTGAAAAGGCAAACAAGGCGAACTGAAACTCCCTGTACAATGGAAACTTGTTTATGAGTATCATGATTGAACTCAGGGATATATAAAACCCGATACTGTTAAAGAACATGAAAAATGAGTAAGTGACATGATCCAATGAACTGGTTACGCCATTTTTGTCGGTAGTTGTACCGGGAGGGGTTAAGACTGCTTGGTATGTAGCGGTCGCCATTAGAACAGCTACTACAAGCAAATCACTCCTTGCTTTTTCAGGACTGCTTTTTCCATATTCGAACTTAAAATATTCTGCCGAATCCTTTAGGTCGACTGGGTCAAAATTCTCTAATTCTGCTGTTGGTTTTATCACTTGGATTTGTGTTGGGTTTGGAATTGTAGTTGTGTCTTTGATATTATTATTCAAGATATTTTCTGCTCTGATGATTTGGTTGAGAAGCCTTTGAACCTCGGCGTCTGAATTCTGTAGAGCAAGATCCAATGCTGTTATACCATCGTTGTTGAGGGCGTTCACTTCCAGCATCCCAGCATTTGATTTGATATATTCTACCAGAAATTCTAACACCTTTCGCATAATAACAAATTATTTGTAAATGAAAAATATAAAAATAGGAATCATACAACAAAATTTAAAAATAATAGAACGTTTTTACCTGAGGTTGATTTCTATATGCTGAAATATGCAATAAACTGTTTCCTTCCACATCCTTACAGTTAAGTATCTTTTTCTTCCAGTAATTAGCCTCTTCATCACTATCTTGCTGAAGCTTTCCCATCAGAATTTCAAAAGCTTCAAACTGAGAGTTCTTCAAAGTTACATGCAAAGCAGTCTCATTTCTGATAGTTACATCTTCAATAGATTTTGGGCAAACTGACAAAAATTTATTCAAAAGATGAAGATTTCCATTCTGAGCTACAAAATGCAAAGGAGTTACTCCTTCTCTTCCTTGAACCCGAACAAGATCGGGAATCTTTTCTACCAACCAAAGCACCAATTGAATATGTCCCTTCTGTAATGCAATGTGGATAGGAGCAAACCCGTCTTGGTTGGATTTGGTAGAAAACGACGGTTTTAGCCTCATGATCTCCATTGCAAATTGGATATGTCCTGCAAATGCAGCTATATGTAATGGAGTATCCACAAATGGGATTTGATCAATATTAGATAAAGCATTCGGATTATTCCGAATCACTGCATATAACCCATCAATACTTCCAAGTTGACTAGCCTTACTTAAGGACGGATCCATATATATGTCGGGAAAAATTACGGAAAATCCCTGAGAAGTCAGATTTATGAGGAGTAAAATAATAACACACACAATTTAATAACAGAGTTCGGCCAATCTTGTCTACGTTTCCGGACTGCCACAGTGAGAAAAATAAATAAAGTATTTACATACACTCACAACCCTCTATTCAAGAATATCCGAAAAATTAAACTTAATTTTTCTTCTTGGATAATCTCTCTATTTTTTCTCTCTTACGATTGCTCTTTCTCACAATTGCTCTAAATCTCTCATTTGCTAATCCGTGCTTTTGGTGTGTAGATGCAAATTCTTTCTTCTATTTATAGGAGAGAAATCTGTGTGAATGTGCTGTACAATTCAAATGCAAATTGGCCACCAATTCCAATTTGCACAAATTGCACTTGTTTATTTCTTTGTCCTCTTCCATTTGTAACTCACTTTCTTTCTTTCATTTGTTTTCAAGAATGTGTGGTCCCATGACCAAGATACTTTGACAATATATATGTTATAGGGTCAGAGAAAGGCATCAAAATACGAAGCTCACCAGTTAATCCACATGCAGTTACATCGACATTGATGGTGCAGGAAGAAGAAGAAGAAGACTCGCAGGAGTTTGAATGATTCCAACTCGACTTCTCAATTCTGAATACTTGTCGTTAGGAATCAGCTTTCAACCTTTAAATTTAATATGACTAATGAAAAAAATTCTAGAAATTGGAACTCCCACATAGTAGCTAATAGTGGTGAATTCCAGGTTTTTAACCTCTTTCCTTGTAAGTAAAATTCACCAGAAGTGTGGTCTACTTTGTTGATCCAATCGCTAATCCAATCAGCTGTTGGTCTTTGTTTCATTAATTTGAACAATTCATTCTTCATTAAACATATTTATTTTGGCAAATTGATTGCCCTTTGAAGTTTCTAAATATAGTACAAGTCAAGGATATTACATTAGACGACCAAAAAGGAAAGATACAAAATTGTAAAAAAAACAAAACGTGTGGAATTTGAATAATCAAAAAACAAAACGAAATTTGAAATGAAAATTCGTCCATTTTGGTGTTTATACAAGTCACTGACTGTGACTCACTGCTAAATGCCAATATTTTAAGATATTAGCTGGGCCTTTTATAAAAGTTGACTTCAATAGATATTGGGCTTTCATGTTTGAGGTTGGGGTTGGGCTTTGGAACTTGTTTTCGGGGCAAATACTTGATCCATTAACAGGCCAATCGATCCTGTTATACCATCTTCATTTTCAATCTCTTCTGTTCTGCTTTCTCACCAACACACTGTCAATGGTAGTCGCTACCGCAACAGCATCGAGCGTCGCGCTCCACACGCGCATGTTAGTATCGCCGTCTGCCTCGTCACGAACTTTAAGCTCCAACCGGGCAGTAGCTCTCTCTTCCTCGACATCTTCACTAAGAACATCTCTCTCGACAAGCTTTTTCTCCCCCTTCGCCGGCGGCGGAAGTGTCATTGGCGATTTCAACGGCATAAAGCTTCGACCTGAATGTCTCAATCCGGCATCAATTTCGAGTTCCAAAGGCAAAAGAAGCGTTGTCACTATGGTGAGTTCAATTTTTAGCTGCTTTGTTGGTGAGTTCAATTCAATTTGTAGCTTCTTTGTTCCTTTTCTCCCTCTGTTTGATCCATTGTTTTAGATTTACCTCGCTTAAAAATGCAATCAATTAAAGCCACACAGAGTTGTGAATTGGATAATACTGATGTGTAATATGGAATGTAATGTGATTGTGTTTTCTAATTTCAAAAAAGAATAACGTTAAAACGTCCCCGACATTAGAAACTAGGCTGGGTTGTTTAGTTTTAGTGGCTTCTACTCCTTGAGAAAGTAGGACAGAAGTATCAATGGAAATCCTGTGGAAAAATATGGTAGAGGAAAACTTTTCCAGGAGATGAAGAGGCAGTTTTAAATCAACTTGGAAGTAATAAAAATTCTGGAGGTATTTGAGGAAAGGAGTACTGTCACCAGTTTGTAATCTTTCTGAGGTCCTCATTATGATTTTTCAGAAAAACGCAAGCATTTATACGCAAAGGAAGGTTTAGGATTTCAAGTCATTTACTGAAAAAGGCCTATGTTCAACCAAGTATTTCTCTTCCTCCAAAGCTTTTCTTATCATTGTTCCCACATTATTGGCCAAAGGAATGAAATGTGCTTATATTGGGCTGCCAGTTTCTCGGGACAATCCAATCCTCGTTCCCATTTATGTCAAATGATTTGTAAAACTAAAAGTTATACTTGGTTTATATATAACATTACCAGTCACCCTTGCGCTCTTTGGGAAATCTCATGTTTTTGCTTATGGCTTATGGCTTATGTTTTTCCCCTCTCCTCCCTACAATGACTTAGGAGCCATTTTCAAGTCTTCTAAAGTTATGAATCTCATTGGTAGATTCTGGAGCTTATAACGATCAAAGTTCAGACGTACACTTCTAACGATACATCAAATTCCAGACCCTTTAAATGTTATGGGAACTGAAAATTTGAAAGTTTCACCATCTTATTTCTGGGTATCAGTGCCTATCTAAGAAATATTGGGGTTTTGAAATGGGTTTCTGACCTTGACTGAAGATTATAACTTTTGTTTCTTATTATATATTGTTTTTCTGACTTAAAAAGAAAATGCAGTTTTAAGATTAATAGTTCTTCCATATACTTTGAGGACTTGCAAGTTTATGATGTCATATATTTATTCTAAATTGTATCTTACCTGGTATACATCTTTCCTGCACATAAGATCTTAAAAAATTTCCCATACTGAAACACTTGGTTGTTTATTTCCCACTTTTATTTGGCAGGTGATTCCTTACACTAGGGGAAGTGCATGGGAGCAACCTCCTCCTGACTTGGCATCGTACCTGTTCAAGAATCGAATTGTTTACTTGGGCATGTCTCTTGTTCCTTCTGTCACCGAGTTAATACTTGCAGAATTTCTATACCTTCAGTATGAGGATGAAGAGAAACCTATTTACCTCTACATAAACTCAACTGGAACAACCAAGGTTAACTGTTTTTCATTTTAGCTGTCTTTTGTGGATACACACACACACACACACACACACCGTTTTTGTCCCAAAAATGTCTAAAACTAACCATGCGGGGAGGGAAGAGTTTCATGGATCACACCCTTAATCTTCACATATAAGCATATATTATCGGGATTTTTTTCATATGTGTTATATGTGATAGAATGTAAGATTAAGAAGGCAGGAGATATTGTTTAATGAAAGAAAATGGTCAGCGTTTAGCATGTATACTTTAATAATAACCTATACGTAGAGTTGAATAGTTCTACTGTTTCCTCAAGTATGCTTCTTGCATTTTGCTGTCTATGTGATGATTTATGATTTTAGCATAAGCTTTTTGTTTTTTCAGGGTGGCGAAAAGCTAGGTTATGAGACAGAGGCCTTTGCGATCTATGATGTTATGGGGTGATAATTCTTTATGTCCTTCCTCATAGTGCCTTTTTTTTTCTGTAAAATCGTGCTAAGCCATTCATACTTAGCCCCAAATTATTATTATTATTATTTTTTTTTTTTTTTTTTTTTTATAATAACCTAATACGTAAGTGAACTAGTTCTACTTTATCCTCAGTATGCTCTGCTTTTGCTGTCTAAGTGATGAGTTTTATGTTATGCACATAAGCTTTGCTTGTTTTTCAGGTCAGAAAGATATAAAGTGTTAGAGACAGGAGTTGTCTCTTTTTGCTAATGGAAGAGAGAGAGAGAGGGAGAGAGCTCAGTGCTGTAAAAGAAGGCATGGGAATGAGATGATAATGGGATTGATAACCTCTTATGTCCTTACCATAGTGGAGCGTTGTTTCTTGGGTCAAAATCCGGTGCTTAAGCCAATTCCATACTTAGCCCCTCCAAAGTATAATTATTATTATTTCTTTTTTTTTTTTTTTTTTTTTTGCAATTTTTCCATCTTAAGCATGGCCTTACAGTATTGTCAAACTGTGTTATCTTGCGATGTCTTTGAGACTGTTGTTAAATAGTGTTTAAATCCTCCAAAGTTGATGTGCCAATGCATTATGCAGTTCATTGTTTTATTTGAACTACACTACTCAAGGATAGTTCATTTAGCAAAGCTCAGTTATTCTTACAATTATGAATTGAGATGAATTATCCAATTATCCCAAATCTAAGAGAGATTCTAACCAAAGAATACCTTCACTATCAGTGTGTTTTCCAATAAGGTTAGATCATTAAAAAAGGAGTTGTATCCCTGCTTCAGGTGTATTATATAAAAGAAAACTTTGCATTAAAGTACTGGATTTACCAGCTTCCATCAGTGTTGGACATAGTGTGTTTTCCAATAATATAAAAGAAAACTTTGCATTAAAGTACTGGATTTACCAGCTTCCATCAGTGTTGGACATAGTGTGTTTTCCAATAAGATTAGATCATTAAAAAAGGAGTTTGTATTGCTGCTTGAGGTGTATTATATAAAAGAAAACTTTGCATTAAAGTACTATATTTCCCAGCTTCTATTAGTGTTGGACATATACATGCTAAAATCTCTGTTCGTTCTCTCGCTCTCAAATTACGGATACATCCACGTGCACATGCATGCAATGCATCTTACATCATCGTATAGTGATTCTCACTGAATTCAAAGCCCACTGGCAGATAGTGAGATAAATGATATGAACAGGAATAGGAGGTAGATATAGGACATGTCTCTTGATCTAGTCACAATTGTTCATTATATTATATTTTGAAATGTTGAATAAGCTACTGTAGAAGTTTCTTAATGCAACCAGCTTGTCACTTTGCTAATAAGGAGATTCTATATTGTATATATTGCTTATGGCTGACATGTTTTGCTGCAGGTATGTTAAACCACCTATTTTTACTCTGTGTGTTGGCAATGCTTGGGGAGAAGCAGCCTTACTTTTGGCTGCTGGGGCTAAAGGAAATCGTTCCGCTTTACCTTCATCAACTATCATGATAAAGCAGGTCTTTCTTGACTATTATTAACTGATACTGCAATTCACTTTTCTGATATCTTTTTATTTATTTTTTCTTGGACATGGGAATCAATACTACATATTTCTAACGTAAAAATCTCTTATTTTCTTTCTAAATCTACCAATCTACAGCCAATAGGGAGATTTCAAGGTCAAGCAACAGATGTCGACCTTGCAAGAAAAGAAGTAAAGAATGTGAAAATAGAGTTGGTAAGATCCGTGACTTTGGTGTTCATTTTTCTGGATGGTGATCTTCTGGTTATATATATCCAACCTGCAGAATAACATGCTCACTTGTAAATCAAGATGTCCTTGGTTAAGCTGTTTTTGCTTGTAACTTTCTTATTCTGAATCATTACCATAGAAACCTATGAGAAAGAGAGACTTTCTTCTTTTCAGTATAACCAAATGCCTTAAGAGCCAAGGCCCTACTCTGTGGCTTAATCAGGATTGAGGTAGGATTGGGACCATAGGAAACATGGCTAAGTGGAGATAGGACCTCAGTTCTACTCAGTCACATGGACTTTACCCTCATTGCTTACATTCAGATGTAGTGAATGCAAAAGATGTTTCATTAACAAGCCAGCAAAAATTTATGCAGCTACAGGGTGATTTTATATATTGACCAATAAATCATGTTAGAATATCAGTTGTTTCATCATATTAGTCTCAGCTGTTTATCTACTGGTTTAATCGAGAAAAGGGTTTGGACTCCAATCTGCCTAGGAAGAAGTGAGTCAGGAAACTCATGTTCTAACCACATACCTTTATATCCTAAAACAATCTTTTATTTTTCCATCAAACATAATTCTGTCATCATTTGCACCATTCTGACCTAATTTCTCCATAACCCCCCCCCCCCTTTACCATCAACTATAGATTCTGTCATCATTTGCACATACGACCTAAGATTGTCTCCATACTGAACCCACCCCCCACCCATAACGAACTGTGTTTGTACCTAGGATGTACCATTCCAGATTGCAGTACCCTTTGAAAATCCAAATTGCCTATAGCATACATTGGATCTCGCAAAGTTGGGATACACACAATTCTCTTGAGTGACAGAGAATGACACCTGAGATAGACCAGAATTGTGGGTTCTATACTAAAATTGGCAAGTAAAAATCGAGCACTCCTCAACAATCTTGATTTTTAGAGTATAATATATAGTAAAATCACCATTTATATCAGAATGAAGGGCTTGGCTTGGATGGACGAAGAACTGGCCATCAACAATAGTCCCTATCCAACTACAAAAACAGAACCACAATAACTATGAAGGATTAAAGTAAACGAATAAGATGATCAATGTTGTTTGGATCTAACGTTTTGAAGGAATGAATTGAGAGACAAAGATTGAGAGAATTAAAAGATAAAATTTTAGCAGATTTAATTCTGAAAAAAAAAAAGAGAAAGTTTACATATGGCCATTCAATGAGTCTCTCACCTAATGTAATTGGTGTCCTTGGCTGTTGACGTGTCCACGCCTCTTTGCGTTTTCTTTTTTTTTCCTTGATAATGATCTCTTTTTCATTTCTTTTTAGCCAATTATTTCTTGAGTGTGTGATCCTCACTTCATCGGTCTTTTACATTAGAGAGAAATAACAGTAAAGCAAGAAAAAAGGAATAATAATGGCCCATAAACGTTAAAAAGTAGATCATTTGCTCAGATTTTGAATTCTGTTATCAGTTAATAATAAAATCATTGGTAAATTGAAATGAATAAAATGAAAAATTAGCCATAATATTTATTGGTTCTTAGTACATTATAATTATTTAAGTTCTTTGTAGCCAATATATGGGTAACAAATATATGCTGGTACCAAAACTGGGAATATAGCATTAACATGCACGCAAATTCAAATACTAGTTCCAAGCCCTGCACAAATACTTAACCCATCCTTACATTAGCAACCCAAAAATACCTCTCAATCCGGGTAGATGGAACTATGGATTACATAGTTCTTCACTGCTTGGCAAACGGACTTAGAATGAACTTTGGAGGTGGGAAAAACATTTGAAAAAGCGTCTTTCGGCACATCAGTAATTGTGTGTTCGTTGTGGGTGTGCAGATAAAGTAAAAGAGAGAGCTTCTATCAATATGAGATGGTTACGCTGACGTCTAAGACCGGTGGATACATTTGATTCGAGATATTTGGGGAAATCATTATAAAGCTGCGGAAGATTCCATTAAGGGTTATAAACTACAACACACAAGATCCCTTCAAATCTAGATACTTAAAAACCTGTCCTAAATTACTGGAATGCTAATGGTTGCTTATCACTTCCAAAAAATAAAACGTTACTATGCCTAAAATTAATCCAAGTTTTCTAGCACTAATTGCAGACCTCTTTCTAATTGGTTAACATAACATTGATGGTATCTCAGCACTGTAGAATTGTTTCGGTATTAAATTACAATAATGTTGTATACTGCTCTAAAATTTATCCAGATGTTTCTAGCACTAATTGCAGACTTCTTTTTTTCTAATTGGTTACATCTAAAATTTTGGTATCTCAGCACTGTAGATTGTTTCCTTTTTAATTTATCTTATAGGTCAATCTCTTGGCAAAGCATATTGGAAAATCACCTGAACAAATTGAAGCAGACATCAGTCGCCCAAAATATTTTAGTCCAACCGAGGCTGTTGAATATGGGATCATAGACAAGGTACTTCACAAAAGCTATTTTTTGAAGTTTAGCTTTGCTTCATTACTGATTAAGTTATTGTTGTCTGAAGGTACTATATAATGAAAGGGGTAGTGAAGACCGTGGAGTAGTTTCTGACCTTAAAAAGGCACAACTTATATGATTTGATCAAAATTGCATTTGGCGATTGTTGGGAGACTAATCAGGTGAGAAATAACTGCAAGTCATTATCAAATTTGGATTATGTGAAAATGCTGTTAAACATTTTTCTGTTGTACAATGGTTCATGGGTGGTAATCAGTGCTTCCTTTCTAGCGAAAACTTGTTGGAAAACTCCCTATTTGTTCATTGAACACTTTAGGGCACTCTTGCTACATTTGAAATTTTCTTTAATTTGACAGTGCTCCAGACTTAATACTGAATTCATTTAGTCATTTGAGTAGCAAGTGCGGGTCATTTTGGAAAAGTTGAATACTTTGGCTTGGTAGTTAATCACCCCTGGCTGTAGCAAGGAATGATTCACCGCTCCTTCACGACCCTGCTACTGTTAAACATGATAAGTTCTACATGATCAATTCTTTGGGATGTCTTCAATCACTGCCACATGCCTCGTATTCCTCTTATTCCTCAACCCACTTAGTATCAGTCACTATTGTTAACTACTCCACTGCTCTGATTTGTGAAATGGAGTATGTTCTCAGATTGAATGCAATTGCTTGTTCTTTTCATGGCCTTGCCACTTTGCAATCATGCTTGTTCTTCCCGAAATTCAGCAGACACCTGGACAAGGTGTGTCGGCTAAGTTGCTGGGATTGACTATGTAGTTAATATGGATTACACCTTGCATTTGCTTTTTTGATTGCTCTGTTGTGATTGTTGGATTTGAGACTGAAAATGATTGATAGGGAATTTTAGTTGGTGAGGTACTTTCTTGTCTGGTATTATCAATTTCATTCACCATTACATAGCCTTTTTTTCTCTTTTCTCATTTCACATTTCCAAGTGCAGAGAGGGGTCATTACGTGGTAACAATTCTCTTTTGATCGACTTTACACATTTATGGCCCCAATTAGCATCTTTTTCCATTATTTGTTCAGTGGTTAGGTCACTGTGTTGAAAGTTATAAATTACACAAGCCCATAATGATGATGATAATAGTGACACTCACTATCTCAGATATGGAAAGCTCTCACTTTTGCTTTGTGTGTATGTGAACTGTCAAATTGTCATTGTGAATTAATTGGCTGATTTATATATAATATATGGCTACAATTGCAAGTAAATCTCCTCCGATAAGTAAACCCAACTCTCTTTTTTAAATTGGCCGTACACCTTCACCTTCTTCACGTCAACCAAATGTAATATTTGGGGAAAAAAAAAATAGATAGGTGAAAAATACCTTGGAAATCTCACTTTTCCTTGGTTGGAACAAGAGAGAAATTTCGAGAGAAAGGAAAATTTTTAATATTTTTTTTTGGGCCTTTAATTTTTCAATCTCTTCAAATGGGAGAGAAAGTGATGGAGATGGAGTGAGAATTGTTTTCCTTTGTAATTTTCTTCCAAACCAAACATAATATGGAAAATAAATACAGAAAATGAACAGTAACAATCTTTTCTTATTTTTCATTTCTCGTTGCCTAAACATAGCATTAATAACAGTGCACTCGGTGGAAACTATCTCCAAATATTTTGTAAATTTTCTTTTTTAAAAACTGTAATTTTCTTTTAATTTTACCTCTTAATTTTAAAGTATGGGTCTCCGTCATATTTGAACGAAATGAGCTAAAATTTTAAAATAATTTAGATGAAATATAAAATTTTAAAGTTTTACACGTTTATATGTCATTATTATGCATCCAAAGAATAAGTTAAACAAATGAAAGGGACAAAAAATTAAAATATATTCACAAAATTTCGTACGCAAATTTCATGTGGTAAAAACTAAAAAATCAACATTTTCTGATTTTTTTCTCTGAGTTGCGTATTTGACCAAAGCTTTACACCCATTTTGTCTTAACATGATGTCTGCTTGACATGGAAAAGACACTGACAGGCTACATAACTGAATTTAAGTGATTTAAAGCTTATTTTTTAAAAATTAATTTTTATTTTCTTTTTCATTTAAAAAGAGTGCATGTCTATGTAATTTTATAAGAAAACTCAAAAAATCAACCACAAAATACAAATCCATATTCCATTCTTTGAATATTTTATTAATTTGAAAATATCTTTTTCTTTTTCACACCGACAGTCAGATTGGAATTATATTTAAGTGAAATATTTTTAATAATATCTATAATTTTGCTAAATGGCAACAGTTGAATCTAAGATAATCTGAAATTATATAAATAAAGAGATAGTATGTTTTGACATGGTTAAACACTGATATTATATTAAAAACCGTTAAACCGTTATCGAACAGAGTCTTATGGTAATAACCAATAAAAAAATAAATTATCACTCTGATATTTTCACAGTTTTGATATATTCTCTTAAAATTTTACAAATTTGTCACATTTTTTATTTTATTAATTGACATTTTATATTTTTATTTTCCATAATATTTGTGTATTTATATGATTTGGTTTAAATTCAGCTAATGTGGCTGTTAAAACTAACGGTGTGAGCCACATATATGGCATTGACCATGTCAGCATTAATTAAGAAATCCACTAAAAATTCAACTCTTCTATAGTTAATTTTGAAAACTCAACTTCACGTGGTTAGCCTAACCAATTAAAAAGACAATTTTTTTTCTTAAATTTTTTAATAGTTTTGAAATAGACTAGTATATCATGCGTGAGACTCATTCTATCAATTTTAATTGCCACGTCAGTTGAATTAAAATGATAATTATAATTCTTAGAAATAATAAAATATAAAATATTGACCGATAATATTAAAAGAATTGAGCAAAATGGTAAAAAGTTCGAAATAATAAAATACAAAATATTGACCGATAATATTAAAAGAATCGATCAAAATGGTACAAAGTGCTAAAATTGTGATTTTTTTTCTATTATTTAGCTTTTCTCTTTAATATAAAATAAAAAAATAAATAAATAATTTTAATTGGTAAGTAAGGGTGTAAATTGGTATGAAATATATCAATCCAAATCAAATTTCAATTTGAAATGAAATTTAAAACAACATGTATTTTTAAAAATATTTGTATATGAAATATAGAATGGAAAGATAATAGAAAATTCTATATTGTAATCTATATACCAAGCTTTTATCTTTTATTTTTAATTTTAATTACATATTTTAATAACAAAATATTAAACTTAAGTAAAATATTTTTGAATTTAATACTAAAACAAACCTCTTATTTCATTCTAAAACTATATAGTTTAATTACAGAGTCGGAATTTGCATGTTTTTCATTTTTGTTAGGTGATGAGAAACAAAAGTTATGTCGTTTTCTTTTATTGTGCTTGATAAGAAAATTTGATTTTTTAATAATTAACTTTGAAACTTTAAAATTTGTTTTTTGCTCTTTATTTGAATGGCTTCTTCTAGTTGTGAATTGTCAATATTAGCATTAATTAGTACAATTCCATTGCAATTTGTTTGTACTTTGCAAACGATTGATCAAAGCTTCAATATAAAATATTTTGATGGTTGTGCTTTATCCACACAATCATCAATTGCTTTATCCATACTCTTCTGTTTTTTTATACCTGTCGTTGTTTTTGCATGTGAATTAAAAAAGAGAAATAGATCTATAAAATTTTAACAACAATAGAAATTAAGAAAAAGATGATATTGCCCTTCTTTAAAAGATAGTAATTCATATGATTTAAGTAAATTTTAAAATAGAGTTTAAGTTAGCAAAAGAGTGATAATCTGATTGGTCTTCTCACTTATACGAAGAATGAAAAGTTTTGAGTTTTTACTGTATTTTTAAAATAACTAGGCTCATATATACTGTATTTTTGTAAGGAAAAAATGAGCATAAGGAAAATAAATTTTGTAAAATTTCTTTTTTAAAATACTGTATTTTTTTTTAATTTTCCCTTATTGCTTTTTAAAGTATGGGTCCATTATGCTGAAATTCAAACTAAAATCGGCTAAATTGAAAGACATGATGGTTTACCGAATCTGCCAGTCTTAACTTAGTACTAATACAAGATAGAAAAGACAAATAAAAAATCTATAAAAATAAATGATTCTTGTAATAGGTAATAATTATATATATGAAATGAGTTAAATATATAACGAACATAATTAATAAAACAACTAATCTCTTCTATTTTTCATATATAATAATTAAAAAGAGAGTTTTGTATTTTCATGTGCTATATATATATATATATATATTAACATCGAGTGATGTCCAGCTCTTAGGACCGACTAACGGACAGATGTGTAATTCCTGCTTTCCACCTCGGCTTTCAGCAAATGCCCCTTTATATGGATCGGACAAATCTCCAACACACGTGGAGTTATGATCCATGAATATTGATGGATTCAAATCCAAGTATGAATTAATTAACTGCTTAAAGGTATGCAAGAATCGAATCTAGAAGGGTGGTCCAGCATGGTTTCAAGTTTTACACGTTTATATCTCATTATCAATTCAAGAATAAATTACACAAATGAAAAGGACCCAAAATTAAAATATGTTCACAAAAATTCGTACACAAATTTCATGTGTAAAAAATAAGAATCTAACATTTTCTGATTTATTCAGTGAGTTGCAGTATTTGACAAAAGCTTTACTCCCATTTTGTCTTAATCTCTTAATATGATTTTGGCTTGACATGGAAGAGACAATGACAGGCTACATAAATAAATTTAGGTGAGTTAGAGAATATTTTTAAAATTTTTAAAAAAAGTAATTTTTATTTTCTTTTTCATTTAATAAGAGTTCAAGTCTATGTAATTTTATAAGAAAACTCCAAATTAACCAGAAGACTAAATATATGTAATTTTTATTTTTTTATTTTTAAATGAGGTAATGTTTATCCAATCATCCTATTGAATAAAGTTAAGTATTTAAAATAATTGTTAGTGAGTTGTTTTACTAGTGTTCATCGAACGTAAAGAAATTAAACTCTGAGCACTGTTATTAAGGTCGTTTAATTAACATAGCATTTAAGGTAGCATTTTATAAGAGGTTAGCTTCTGTATCGTTTAATTTTTAGCGTTTTATGAAAAACTACTAAAATAACTACTAGCTACTAAAACAAATAACTGATATCAAAACAACTAATTTTGTCGAACAGACTCTAAAGTTATGTTTAGTAGCTTGAATATGATAGAAATAAGATATTTATTCCCCATTCCTTTCTTCACTAGGTATTACAATAAACCATATAATATCAATTCTTAGGTTCTCCCTGAAATATCATTTTTTGCCTTCTTCAACAATAATTTTTTAATTAATTTCTAGTGTTTTGATCACGTCAAAATTTTATCTCTATCAATTATATTATTTGGTAATCTAGCTTTTGTAATAGTTTTTTAAAAAATCTTTTCATCAAGGGTTAAATATTATAACTTTTAGTTTTTAACTTTTGAGTATTTAGCATTTAGTTTTTAATTAATTTTTTTTGACAATCACATCCATTGTTTTCTCTTCCATCGGGGCTTCGGTCACCGGCTCCCCAATTCTAGTCATTGAATAAATGAAATTTCGATCCAAAACTTGAATTCTGAGCCATTAGAGCATTTCGTGGTTCAAGAATGGTTCTAATAGCTAACAACTAATTGCTACCACATCAACTAATAATGCCATCATACCATTTGCCTTTATGCTATATATTTTTTTTCGATATATTATATTTTCTCTTTCTCTTCTTTGGTACATTTTTATCCTTATGCTATAAAAAAAAAATCAATTCCAATAATTAAAAACATTGCATTTGCAACATACCAAGTCAAGATCATTTAATAAAAATTTAAATTCCATTTTTTTTTCTCTTTTTCCATTATTCTTTTATTTATATTGCCATCTTATTTAATCATATTTGTCATATCACGACAATATATATTTAAGAGTCTAAAGATACCATCTCAGATAGTCATTACTAGGTTATAATATAAACGATTTTAACTATACATTTGTATGGCTTTGGACATTTTTATATTTTTTTTATTATTCAAAATAAAAATTATAAATTTAAAAATAATAAGCCTTTTTTTAATAAAATAATTAGTTGAATAAATTAATTTATAATAAATTTACTAATATGAGTATTTTGGTCAATTTATGAATTCCTCGTTTATATTCCTTTTATTATTTCTCTCAACTAAACACGAATATAATATGTAATATGGCATAAATACTATATTAAAAACAATTATCGAACAGGGTTTTAGCGTAATGATAAAAAAAAGAAAATCATAACTTTGATATTTTTTACAATTTTGACGTGTTCTTTTAAAATTTTACAATTTCGACATATTTCTTTTTATTAATAGACACTTTGTAATTTATTTTTTTCATAATAATTATGCATTTATATGATTGTTTTCTAGATTTAAGTTGTATTTAAGAAGCTAAAACTACTTAAAAAACTATTCGGTAACATAGCGTTTGAATTAATTTTTAGAAATTATGATAGCATTTGTGAAAAGTTAGCTCATGCAACGTTTAGTTTCTAATGTTTCATAAAAAAACTACTCAACATCTTACCGTGTGAGCCGCACGCATGAGCATGCCAATTAAGATGATAGATATATGGATTTACAATTGTTATAAAGAATAAAATGCATTAAAAAAATTCATCAAACTAGTGAATAATACTAAAATTGTGAAATTTTATTTGTCATTTAATCTTTATCTTTTAATAAATATTTGATAAAATAAAAAAATTAATTGGTGAGTAGTCAAGTTTGACCATGTTTTTAACATGATAAACAATATATTTTTTTTTTAAAAAAAAAAATGATAAACAAGAGGTGACAGTCAAGGTCCCATCCTGTTCCGTATTCAGCTCCGAGGATTTGTACAAACTCATCAAGGATAACTTCTACTTTTCTCATCTAGTTGTTTTAGGATTAATTATAAAAAAAGATCCCAATTCTTACAATTCAACAATATACTTTGTAAACTACTATTAAAAATATGAACAAAAAGTCCTAATTCTAATGAGAGAAAATATAAGCAAAACAACATCATTGGTGTGCAAATGAGATGAATTGGCTCGTGAGCTGTTCAGTTCAACTCGAAAAAGTTCGATTCGTTTCGTTCAAGTCTAATTGCATAATTATGTCAACTTGAAAGTTCATCAAGCATATATATATATAGCTTACTTGAATTTCAAGCCGAATTGAAATTTAATTTTTTAAATTTAATTTAAACTATTAAAATTTAATTTTTTAAATTTAATTTAAACTTTGAGTCGAGAATAAACTTTGATAGAAACGGAATTTAAACCTAAAATTTTTAAATTAAGCCGAGCTCAAACCTCAGAGCAAACTTCGTTTCGTTCAGTCTAATTGGCATAATTATGGTTTTCACTTGAAAGTTCAATCAAGCCATATAATATATATGAGCTTTACTTGAATTTCAAGCCGAATTGAAATTTAAAATTTTTTTTAAAATTTAATTTAAACTATTAAAATTTAATTTTTTTTTAAATTTAATTAAATTTTGAGGTCGAGAATAACTTTGAATAGAAACGGAATTTTTAAAAATTATTTTTTAAAGCCTGAAATATTTTTTAAATTAAAAGGCCGAGCTCAAAACCTAGGGCCCCCCCCCCCCCCAGCAAATATGGAAGAAAATTTTGCGTAATGAAATTGAATTATAGCTTTTTTGACTTCTGAGCAAATATGAGAAATTTTGCGTATGAAATTATAAGCTTTTTGACTTCTGAAAGCAAATTGCATGCTTAGCATTTGGAACATCATTGCGCCGCAACAAATTGGCTTCTTGGCATAAATGATAAATAAGTCATATCAATTATTTTTTGTTACACTCAATTGATACAATCCCCCTGCAACTTGTTTGTACTTTGCGAAGGATTGATTTGAGCTTTAACAATAAAATACTGTATCGATTTTGTTTTATCCACATAATCTATAATGATTAAGTTCTTCATTAAAAGCTAAAACATAATGATTATTAAATCTTTTAATAGTATTTTAAATAATTAATCCTTGTAGTTCTTATCATTCTTGAAAATCTGATATATTTGATTTTGAGCTTTTTTTTTTTTTGGAAAATGAGCATTTCATATTTTTTCAAAGGAAAATAAATTTGAATCAATAAGAGACAGAAGTGTAGTATATTTTAAACCGAATTTTCTATATGCAAAAGTCTTGAAACCGATAATATTATTTAAAACTTTTATTTTCTCAATACACAAAAAGATGGAAATTGAAATTACATAACTTAATTCTTCTGAAAATTTTATAATTAAAATGTGTAATTTACAATAGGGCCAAAATTTTTACCGATTTTCTGATAAAATGAAACATCTTCTTACCAAAATAAAAACTCGACGAAAAATGAGTAAAACAAATAGGCTCGTACATATAATTTCAGGACCCGTGGCTCTGGCGAAGCATGTGAATCAGAGTAACTCTTTGGGTGCATAGATAATCGCGAGGAAAATAGTTCAGCTAAAATATAGTTGAATCGCTAATAAATTAATACTTAAATTCTTTTACATTTGAAAAATAATTATGAGATTTCTAACTTATGTTACATTTTACATTTTTTTTTTTTTTTAAAAGATTATGTTACATTTTACTTTTAAAAAATAACTCTTTACCATTATGGATTGAGCGGAAAGACCAAAAAAAATATAAGTTAAAAATATCATAATTATGTTTTTAAATATATCTAACTGTTAATTTGAACATAATTTAGAAATCTAATTATATTTTACCCTAATTCTAAATCACAAGCCTTGTATTAGATTCAGCCTTTTGTGACCTGACAAACAAAATGATGTGTCATTGTCATTAATACTGAAATGGATTACTATTTAATCATCTGGTTTCCTTCATTTCAGAATTTAATTATAATACACTACTTAATCATTAATGGAATGTTATATTAATTTCATTATATAATATTTTAATTTTGTCCCTGTTACACTATCTAATCCTAATAAATTTTATTTGATCTAGTCATAAAACAGAAATAAAACCAAAGAACTATACAATGGATTAAATTTTAAATTTAGACATCCTGGCTAATCTATTTAAATATAAAAAAAATAAATAGTATTCCACTGTTAATATTATGAAATTCCATTTCTATTCTCATTTTCATTCTGGAGGTATAAATAAATCAAGCAACAGCTAGACCCAATGGATTGGATTCCTGTCAAAAACTTGACCACCTTCCCAAGCCTGTCACAGGATGAACCTGATTGGGCCCCTGAAACAGATTCCTCGGACAGCAAACAAGCCTTAAGACTTAAGAGGAAACAAGAAATCTTAGAAATAGGATTTCATAACATCAAAGACCCAATTCCATGTTGAGAAAAGTATTACTAACTCGGTACAAAAACGACACCATGTAAAAAGTATAGAAATACACCAAAGTTTTTTACCAGTATAACATTTGAGTCTCCATAACATGTTTAGTTGAAAATAAGGTCAAAAAGAGATATAGTAGCATGAGAAGAAAAAAAAAATCAACCATATAAAATTCCTATGTACTGCAAGTGAGTTTCAATTGCTTAAGGAAATCTCGGCAATATAGATGGGTTTGTTGCATTAATTAATGGCGATGATAAGGAAACCAACGGATACATACATGAGAAAAACAGGGTAAAGGGCGAGAGCCTTCCTTCTTGGGTTGACTGCAGTGCTCATGAATGGATAGGCAGCCCATGAGCTCCAAGCCAATGTCACACACACCACAATCACTTTTATCAACACATTGTCCTTCAACATACAGATTAGGGCTCCAACGTCAAGAGGGAAGAGACAATAACCTAGAAGGCTCAGACTTTGGAAGAATATTATGTGTCCACCCTGAAAACAACAAATATGGTTACCACTTTCAGGGTTCCCAAAATTCAGCATAATAGTATCTTGGTATATTAATTTCCAGTTTATACAGAAAAATGTTAGCACAGTGCGATTAAGGTTCTTGATCATGCTGGACAGAGAGAGAGAGAGTGAGAGAGAAGAGAGATCTTACCAGTAGCAACACATTCAATGTCAAGATTACAGCACCAGCTGCTAGTAGCGCAAAGGCAACAGCAAAAACCTCAGACTGGGAAGCAATATGAAATGTGTTAAAATGCAATATTTTTTTTCTACAATAGAAAGGAAAAGCACATTACAATACAGTAATCAACTAGGTTTTGCTTGGTACACTTGCAGTTTTAGGTCATTAGTTCAGAACCTATTCCCTCCCCTCAAACATCAAAGGAAAGATCATGATTTGTGGATTGTGTAAGAATATCACAATTGACGGAAGTAGAATTGCCATCAAAAAGGAAGTACAAGAATATAAAATTTAAGTAACAAGATCATAAACAAAGATGCAACACAAGCACTTAAATTCCACTTCATTTTATACATTCTGCCCTGGATATATGTATCATAAAATGTGAAACTAATGCAAACCAGAATACTCATACAAGAACATGCTTAGATATCTAAATTGCACTTCAAGATAAATGTAGGCAACATGGTCTATCTTATTTTAATTAGGTTTTCTTAATTTTATGATTCAACTCTCATTGCTAATTTTCATTAGATGGATTGGTTTTTGTCATTAGTTCTTAGATTGGGTCTGTTAATATTTTCCTTATAGCAGTCCAAATCCTAACAGGTTTCAGCTAGCATCCCACAACCCCCCCTCCCCCCCCCCCCCCCCCCTAGATGGAATTGGGGTTTTTGTCATTAGTTCTTAGATTGGGGTCTGTTAATATTTCCCTGTATAGGCAGTCGCAAATCTACAGGTTTGTCAGCTGATGCATCCACCAACCCGCCCCCCCCCCCCCCCCCCCCCCCCGGCCGGGGGGCCCAGGTCACAACAGGGTAATAGTCCCAACAAATTGAGATGCTAAGCAAGGGTGTTAGACCTCGGAGTAGGGGATCTTGGAAACACGGTTGGGTAGATGCAAGAGAAAAGCAAGGTCAGCCACCCAGTCTGCTATGTGTGATTCAGACATCACAGACAGGTCCTGTTTAAAATATCTGTGCACATGGATACTTCATCCTGTCTTCATTGGAGCTCAAAAACTGACATATTATCAATCTCTAAAGGAACAAAAGCAAATCCCACCTCCCAAGCCTAGAGCAACTCATGATAGATACCCCAAATTCAGCACCAATAAAAGAAAGCACAAGCCAATAAGCTTTGCAAACCCACTACACCGATTACCGTCAGAATCCTTGTTATACTGCCAGTTTCTGTCATACCTCATCATGTTCAGCTTAACACATGCTGCCATTGGCGTGCACCATGAGATTCATAATATAAAAAGTCTATTAAATAAATCAAATTTTTTTGGGGAATGAAGAACAGTTCTGCAACAATTTTAAACATTTTAGCTCTCTTTAGGATTATTTGAAGCTGAAGGACTGTTGCCTACAATGTCTAAAAACACTTTTAGACATGAGTATATACACTTTCTGAAAATTGCAAACCCAATCTACATCTAATTGAAACCATAAAGTATCTCAAATTCTAAAATTTTCTTCTTGTAAGATATTCCTCAACTATTTAAATATGAACCCGTTTACCCCGTTAGAACTAAAACTATTTGAGCCTTTGGAACCTTAGAATATCCGTAGAAAGCTCTTTTTTCTCACTGCTTTGCTAGATCAGTAGCCTTAACCTTTCTAGCTAAAAGGGTAGGCCAAAAAGAACATAGAAAAAACGTTTCTACAAAAAATGATTGACCAAACTGACCAGTTCAATTATAGTTTTTAACCAAAAGGTGTGTATATTTGCATGCTTATATGTTGTATTAAACAAACATTTATGACACGATTTACACAAACCAGAACTGAGTGGCATCGTGTACAGATGTACCACAACAAGATACTCCTGTCCCCTGAGAGGTACACCTAAACAAATGAAGAATTCATACCCTTTAGTGATGATCCTTTACTAGGAAAGCCTACTTCCATATGCACAAATAGCGTACTGTTTCATAGACAAATGTCGAACAGGAACAAGAAATGAAAATGCAAATTTAGTGTCAAATTCCTAGTTTAGATTCAAGCAACTGACTTGCTAACAGCAACCTCATTTTAATATGAGAAGCTAGATAAATTGGGAAACCAAAGCACTGCATCAATTTGGTGGTTTAATAAACGTGATACTAATGAGTAAATATCTGATACTCAATGTTCAAACTCTATGATACCATATAAGACTAAGAGGCTGTAATCACTGAACATGGAATGAAGAGCTCTAAGCTGCTCAAAACAGATTACTAAAGAACAGAATATGACATCTTATAGAGATAACTATGTTAACAATTAAAGAACCAATGAGCACAACTGAAATACATTGTTAAAACCAAATCCAAAATTCTTGCAACTTGAGTTCAAGATTGGAGGCAGATATAAAGAAATTTGAAACTATGGGCATAACAGGCATGAGCTCAAGAAATCACACCTAATCCTACTAAATAAGTGCCTATCAAGATCATACCTCTTGAAGCTGTAAGATGACTATGGAGCATACCATTTTGCAACACATCATTCACTTTTTGACAAGGTAAGTCATCATACCAAGCCGAGTACATACAATTAAAAGTGCCGCTTGGAGAAAATGATAAATGTTCAGCACAGAAAAACACTGAGAACAACAGATGCTACAGACATTTTTGAGAACTAGACTCCAGCATGAAAGTATATGAGGACTCACCAAAGAGATCAAGGTTAATCAGGCATTAGACAAATAATAAACAAGTGCATAATTATGAAAGACGCCACAGGCAGAGTTAAAGAAAAAGTTCCTTCTCTGCTTCATAAAGTATGATAAAATTTACTATCAAGAAGTATAATTATCCAGTTTCCAATATCTGTATAACAGTTATGAGCCCTTTTTCCCCATTAAGCCACATCTCAGGTAAGCATAACAGGATTAACAGACACAATACAGGGCACTCAAAAGGATAACAAGGCAAAACCCATAGCTCCATAGACAAAACATACAGAAACAGTTGTGCCATTGATAGCCAACATTAACATTACTTCACTGAGAGCAAACACCCACATTTCGGCAAAGAAAAATAATCTAGCAGCGGTTGAAAGACTTGGATTCCATTAACCAATTTAAAATATAGAATGAAAATGAAAAATAGCTTGCAATAGTAAGGATAGGAAAAATTAGAAAAAGAGCAACAACTAACTATTATCTTTCATATCAACAGGCAAAAGCAAAAAGAGATTAAGAAAATATGAAAGTCACTCACCTTCTTCACCGAAGCAGACCATGAAAGAGTAAGCCCCAAAAACACGATGAAGAAAAATGGGCCCCACAGGTCCCAATCCCTCAAAGCCTTTCCTGGATCTTCTCTAAAGGGATTTGGAAACACGACCAGCTTCAAATTACTGACGATCCTTGACAGATCTCTCTTGACGGTATCCCAGACAGGCTCTGTTAACGTATTCGGAGCCGAGCCGAATCCGGAGGCGCCAATATTCGATACAGAGTTGACAGGCGGTGGAGGTGGGGCCGTGGGAGCAGAAGGTCCAGACGACGGCTTCTGGCCGGTTTTAGGAGGTGGAGGGAGATTCGACGGGATGAATGGAGAGGAAGAGACGGGGATTCGCGGCGGGCTTGGCGGGCGAGCCGGGAGGACTGTTGCTGGGCCAGATTGAACGCTGGCGTTTATTAGGTTCTCGATCTCATCGATGTCGGACTGAGAGGACGCATGAAGAGGGATTGTGTCGCTGTGCGACATTTCCTTTTTTCTTGGCGAAGTGTAGGTTTTCTTTCTCGAGAAAGTGATGAAAAATTTATGAGTGGAGTCAGAGTCGAGTATCTGGAGAAGAATATCGAAATCTCGCAGAAAGGTGGTTTGGGTCTCTTCGATTTGCTATCGTGTTAAGGTTGCGAAAGTTTCTTGTTTATTTTGTGGGGTTAAAACGTCGCCGTTAAGTAATTGTTAATTTCGCAAAGAGAGTCAACGTGAAATTTTCTTTTTCTATGTCATCCCAACCGTCAAAAAGTTATTATAACCAACAACCAACTCTTTTTATAAAAGCTGAATCATATACATTATAAAAAGATTTTAAATTTTTAATCTCATCACTAAATTTTTATGTCCTCCCGATGGTATTTGCGTTGATTTGAAATTTTTTAATGAAATTTTAATATATTATCTTAAAAAAAAATGGTGCCTTTCATAAAGAGAAAACCATTTCACCAACACAATTAATTTTAATCCTTGTGTAGATGTAAAAGGTTTCATAATTTCTATATATATATATATATATATATAAAGATGTAAAAGGGGTTCATTAAATTTCTATATATATATATATATATTTATCATATTTAGTTGCTTGGATTGTTGTAGGTTTCTGTGTAGTAAAATAAATGTTGCTTACAAGAAACTGATATCCATAAAAAGGCGATTAACTTATGGCGGAAAGCATCAACAAAATAAAAATTTCAAGCTACCGGTAATTATATATTTAGTTGCTTGGATTGTGTAGGTTCTTGTAGTAAAATAATTGTTTGCTTTACAAGAAACTGATATCCATAAAAAGGCGATAACTTATGGGGGAAAGCATCAACAAAATAAAATTCAAGCTCCGGTAATTGGTATCTTCACGATAGTATAGGATGATTTCTTTCGCATTTTAAGGATGGAGCTATGAATTTTCATTTACATAAAGACTTTTCTATTGTCTCTCATCATCACCAAATAATGTTATAAAAAAATCTATGTTGAGAGTTGACTAAAGGATTGATGCGGTGTCTGACAAATAGACATAGTGATTTAGAATGATAATTTATAATCGAGTAAATCATCTGATGGGATATCTAAAGATAAAATCATAATATGCATTAAGTTTTTCTTAAATTTAATTCTATAATTTTTCTTAAAAAAAAATTGAATTTTATGGATTTAAAGGCCGATTAGGGCTTCTATTTAAATCCAAAAAATTTCCTTAGCTTAATTTCATAAGTGACCTTTTAATTTTAATTTTGTCTTGATTAAATCAAATTTTTACTAAAAGCTACTCTCTTTAGTAACAGATGCATCTCGTTTAATTTTTTTTAAGTGATTAAGTATTTTATTTAACACTATTAATTTGATTAGAATAGTTTTAGAAAATTGTATAAATAATTATTTTGTTTGAAATAAAAAAGAGTAAAATTAGCAAATACTCATTTATTATTCTTTAATATTTCCAAATCCACAAACATTTTTGAAGAAAACAATTACCTAAAATATTTTTGAATCCTAGTTATATCTGGCGATCAATCATGGATGGACAACCGCTTCTGATTCAAGGATGCAGGCGCAGGATTGGGAATGAATAAACAATCATTGGCTTTCGGATGTAAACTCTCCATATATCCAGTATCCTAATAATACTGGAATGGAGGAAATTTATGTTGTGGACCTTATAGATAAGAGTGGTAGCAGGTGGGGTATGGAGACTTTGAGTGCACTATTTACTTGGCTGGAGATTTAGTTGGTTCAAAGGGTCTCGTTATGATGGCAATCATGCGAAGATGGTTGGATGTGGCAATATGATTTGAAAGGCATGTATACGGTGAAGAGCGGCTATTGCAAGTTCGTCTCAGTATTCATGTCAAAATCTCGCGAAGAAAGAAGCATCCTTACTCGTACTATCGGTGTAACTACTTCACCTCATCGAGCAGGATAGGAACAGAATCGGACAAAGAGCTGTTAGTAGGGAGCAACTCTTTCGGGGAATTAGCCTTAACAACCGCACTCGACCACTAAACATATGGGGAATAAAGCTATGGGGAATGCTAAACCTGTAAATGGTAGAAAAAAAACTCTCGTCTACCACCTTTACAACATAGGCCCCTTCCTTTAAATAAAAAGCCCGATCTCTCATAGGGCTCTGTATAATCAATCACAACATGTTTCAAGATTTTCTCAGGATAGCTAGAAGAGGATATGGAAGTTACCCATGCCACCAAAGGCGATTAATTTAATATGGAGGGTCTTGTCCGGTATCCTACCTGTTTGTGTGTTCTAGCCACGAAGAGAATCCAAACAAATAGTTTCTGTGCAACGTGAAATCTGGAGATGGAAACAATTTTACATTGTTTAGTAACCTGTCCATTTGCGAAAGAATGTTGGATGCTCTCTACTATAGGATGGGTGAGGTCTGTAGCTAGCATTCACGACTGGTTTGAGTTTCTCCTATCTAAATGTGGTATCGAGCAGCTGTGTGAAGTGGTAATGATTGCATGGAAAATTTGGTTGGCACGGAATAGTATTGTATATGGAGATAAAAGCAAGTTTCAACTGCAATTGTTATTGGTCGAGCTCGACAGTTCTTGCATGAATGGACAGTAGCGAGGCGTGAGGCATAAAGCTCGATTTTAAATGATAATCATGTGTTGCTAGTAGTAAAATGGCAGCCACCACAACATGAATAAAAGTGTAACGTGAATGCAAGATATGATATGGCTGATGCAAGATATGATATGGCTACAGGACAGGCGGGTGTTGGGTGGATTGTAAGGAATAACAGGAGCCTTATTGTTGGTGGTAATATGAGAGATATTGGTATAACCTCTAATCCACAAATGGCAGAAGTAATGGGGTACGAGAAGCTCTCACTTGGCTAAAGAATCATTTCTTACATGACAGATTGATTTTGACGGTAGATTGTTTGCAGGTCTATCACGCCTTGGTTTGTGAGAGGAATGATTATTCTTATCTTGGCATTATAATAGAGGATTGTAAAACTATTGCTAATTAGTTTAGTTCTTTGTCTTTTAGTTTTATAAAAAATCATGGCATTTGCCCTTTGCTTCTTCATGATTCGATAAGGCTTGCATACCCTAGGATGTGTCTATAATCAAGAGCATTGCCTTCGTTCTTTATCAAAAGAATCAACAAATCTGATAGCTCATACGCTAGATCGGGCTTCAAGTTTTATGTGTGGTTCATTGGAATTGATTATAAATTCGTTATCTTTAACTTATGATGTTCGATCTGTGATTCTAATAATACATAAGCTATTTTCAATTTCATAAAAAAAAAAATGATATGTCATACCCATCTACTGAGAGAGGATTATAAAAGTATAAAATATTATGTTTTATATTATTTAAATTATTTTACCAATTAGATGAAAAAAAAATGTATATTATTTATATATATATATATATATATTTTGAGTGTATGGGCAGGGCTCGTGCACTTACCATAGGTATGCTTTCAGGTGTTATTTTTATTTGCATGCTATACAGTAGGTTTAAGGGTAATTTTGGTATTCCACTTTTATCGACACTATGGCCACAACATCTTGTACTGTTTCCACACTCGACATAATACGTACAGAAAACGAACTTAGAACCAGAAGGTTTCTCCATTTGCAATCCACGATTGATCATGGAAAGTAATACAGACCAAAGCTTTTTTTTTTTTTTTTTGAAAAAAAAAAAAAACATATATTGTCGGAAACCATAATTAAGACCGTCGATTCATCTGAACCACACCGAAATCGACCAAAACCGAAACCAACGGTTTAATGAACTGACCATGCCTACTAATGAAAAGGCAAATGGACTCTCTAGTCCTTTTATGGACTAGGTCCTAACCCTGACCCGACCCTGTCCTTCTTCTTCTTCTTCTTCTTCTGCCTAAATGGCTTTTATTTCATTCCAGAATATGCAAACTTTCCTCTTAGGAAAAAAAGGCATTGAACTCTTATGGCCATGTCTTGTAGTTTTCCGCTATAGGGCAATTGCGGTCAATCTTTATATGAATGAATCTTTTTTTTTTTTTTTTTTATAAAAAAATCTTAATTAATATTCTTAAACCCCATGCGTCTCTATTTTAATTATTCCTTCTCTGAAATTATTTATTTTCAATTTCATAAGGATATAATTGGACTTAAATTATTTAGAGAGTCCATTAGACATCATTATATATAATATATAGTCTATTAGACATTATTCTTTGAATTGATGTTGAAAATAATATACTATTAAATATGTTAATCAGAAATTCTATTTTTTTCAATAAATTTTACATATTATATATGATATATATAATTATAAATGAAAAATAATGGAATTTTTTAAAATATCATTAGTAAAATTTGAGATAATCTAAAATATCATTAGTCATGACTAATTAAAAAAAATATATCATATTTGATAATAATTTAAAAGATCTTAGTCGGGTGAAATAAGTTTGGAGGAGTATGATCATAAAGGAATGAAGGAGACAAGGAAAGGAGCAATAGAGAGAGCTATGGAAGCTAGGAATTGGGGAATTGTGTTGGGTACGCTAGGAAGGCAAGGGAATCCAAGGATTTTAGATAGGTTAGAGAAGAAAATGAAAGAAAAAGGATTTTCTTATACAATTTTTTTGATGTCAGAAATTAGTCCAGTTAGGATTGCCTTATTTGAAGATTCTGTCGATGCTTGGATTCAGATTGCTTGTCCTAGACTTTCCATTGATTGGGGAGAGGCATTTAAAAAGCCTCTTTTGACACCTTTTGAGGCAGAGATTGCACTTGGGGATTTACCAGGTTGGTGGGTGGCAAAATCAGGGTGTTGTGGTGGTTGTGATTGCGGGCGTGACAATGAATTATGCTCTGGATGTACAAATGCTGATGCAAATGATGGTGATTATCCCATGGATTACTATGCTCAAGATGGTGGGGATTGGAATTCCTCTTATTTGAAGAAAGGAATTCGCCCTGTAAGAAGAAATGTGGCATCTTCTATCAGTAATGGTGCTGCTTTGTAACATCATTATTTCTTAGAGGTTGTATTACAAGTAAGTATGCCAAACCTTCTGTTCTATGTTTAAAGCTTTAGTTACTTTTACATTTGTTTTGGAAGAAGTGTGGAATTTTTATGTAGCTTGAACTTGAAATTCCCTCAATTTCTGAATCACGAATCAATTTAGGGAAATGAGTTGAGTTAAACAGATCGAACAATCACAGTCTTACATAGAGTATTAAGTTAAAAAGGTGATTTTTGTATAATGTAGCGACTAAATTTGAATCATGATAGTTATATTAACCTTAGCTGCTTCTTATAACTGCTGCACTTTAAAATAAGTGGAACTTGGGAAAATACTAGGATGTTGTAGCTAAATAAAATGCAAAAAAAATAAAAAATAAAAATAAAAATCTAAAATTTGAATCATTTAGTTTATTATCAACCTTAAGCTATTTCTTATAACTTGCTGCCTTATAACTGCTGCACTTTAAAATAAGTGGAACTTGGGAAAATACTAGGATGTTGTAGCTAAATAAAATGCAAAAAAAATAAAAAATAAAAATAAAAATAAAAAATAAATAAAAATAAAAATCTAGCTTCTTGACATAGTTTACTTCTAAAATCAAGTAGTTATTTGATGCAAGTGAAAGTTGGTACCTGTTAAACCTCCCTTGATATAAATTGTGACTCCAGTTTCTGTAAAGGGAAGAAAAATGCCGAATCAATTTAGGGAAATGAGTTGAGTTAAATAGATCGAACAATCAGTCTTACATAGACTATTAAGTTAAAAAGGTGATTTTGGTATAATGTAGCGACTAAATTTGAATCATGATAGTTATATTAACCTTAGCTGCTTCTTATAACTGCTGCACTTTAAAATAAGTGGGACTTGGGAAAATACTAGAATGTTGTAGCTAAAAAAAAAAAAAAAAAAAAAAAAAAAAGCTAAAAAAAAAAAAAAAAAAAAAGCTAGCTTCTTTACATAGTTTACTTCTAAAATCAAATGGTTATTTGATGCAAGTAAAAGTTGGTACCGGTTAAATCTCCCTTGATATTAAATTGTCACTCTAGTTTCTGTCAAGGGAAGAAAAATGCTGGTAGATATTATGCCAAGATGAACAGAAAATTGGAAAGATATATTTTATTAATACGTTAATCTCTATCACCCCAAAGATTGCTTCAGCTTAAGCTAGTTCATATTATCCTCTGTACTTTAAAGAGAAAGAGAGAGAAAAAAAAAAGGGAAAAAGAAGTGAACAAATCAACAGGGACTAAAGTTAGAAAAACCACTTTTAAATCGATGATTGTTCCACACTGAATGCAGAATAATTTCAGTGGATTGTTACCCATGGCAACATCTCTACTGGTCAAATCCAAGTTCTAGCTTTACTTTCTAGATCGTTTTCCTCTCCTTCAAAAAAATTACTCCCTCCATCCCTTAACATTATCTGTGTTTCCATTTTTAGAAGTCCCAAAATGTTTGTCCAATTTACTTAAGAGATATTTACTTTCCTTTTATGCCCCTCATCTATAACTTGTTTTAGATTCTAGGAATAATCATTTTGTTTTAAAGGAGGACAATTTTGGAAAAGTAGGGATATTTTGTATGATGTAGCATTATAACTATTTTGTTTATTAAACTTTGTGCAAAAATCAAAAGGACAAACATTTTAGGATGGAGGGAGTATCTATCTATGGATGAACCTAGTTCGGACTGGATGCTTAATCACTTCTTCATACAAGCTCACCTCCTTTATGCATCCATTTTGTACTCAGTGCATCATTGGAGAAAAGAATTGTAGAGTCTAACAAATTTAAACTTTGAAGAGTCAAATCCCATTTCCATAGTCTTCTGAACCCGTCTAGATAACTTGCCAACTTGTATGCACACAACTGAATGATAATACTAAGCCCTCTCAAGGTGAGAAATTTACAGAAATTTTGTAAAGCTATGCCTGTATCGGAAATGTTGCCACGCTTCTCAAAGTTGTAAATACTTTTTTTTTTTCAAAGACAAGTATGCTTTTGAGGATATGATTAATGTGGAGTGCACAGCATTCTAGGGATCCCAAAATGATATATTTGGGTTCCTAGAAATAGGGCTGTAAATGAGTCAAGTCAAACAGAGCTCTATTGAGCTCAAGCTGAGTCTGCTTGTTTACAGTTTATACTTTACAGCGGAAAAAAAAAAAATTTTTTTGCCCCTTTACAAGCCCGAACCGGAGCTTGTGCTTGGCTTGTCTTGTTTTATTCATTAAACAATCTCGAAAAGCAGGCTCGAGCTTGCTCGTTAAGCTTATTGAATGAACTTGAACAAGCTTTTTCAGAGCCAAGCTTCGAGCTGCTCATGAGCGGTTGGACTCATTTATAGTCTTACCTAGAAGCAGCTATGGAGTGGTTTTATCTAGCAACTCCTACATAATTTAGAAGCTCAAGATTGCCTTTTCTGGCATGACTAAATGCATCTCAAGACATTGCTCAACAATTTTAGAGACGTGGGAATTGGTGAATCCATGGTCCTTGAGAAGTGTAACTACTGAGTTTAGTCTCACCAGGCTTTCAAAATCTACCTTTTTAGACACATATTCAGCAGATTTTAGGGTCAATCCACATGAATTTTGAGATTTCAAAACTGTAAAATGAATGCTTATTCAAATTTGCTGGTCTTGTGGATGAAAAGTATCACTAATTATCAATAATAGCCGGATTGAAAAATGCCCAGGTTGGCATTTGAAACCAACAATTAAATACTTATCTAAAGCTTGTCCTCCATGGAGAAGACCAAAATTGTAGTCTACTCAGAAATTTTTAAGTGAGCCAAATTTAGACAGGTTTGATAAATAATGCTCCGCTAATTGGAAGATCTGAGAAGCTGTTCAATTAACCAAGAAACATGGGGCAAGCTGCAGAGATTTCTTTGCTCTTCCTCCATTTCCTCAACTGCAGAGATTAGAGAATTAATAATTTCAGGACAAGTAAGCCTGTTTACTTATGGAAACACTTTTCTGGTTTTTTATTTTCCATGGAAAACATTTTCACTTCTTAAGAACAAAATCTGATTTAGCAAAATTAGAAAATATGATCATGTCTGAGAATTTCTACAACCAGTGAGTGGAAAAACTATAGAATGTGTTAAAGAAAAATAGAAGGCATCAACCAATTTTGTGTATTATACAGGATACTAAAATATTTCAAAAGCAGCTTATTAATCTGAGACTATCAAGGGTTCCAATTTGAGTGTTTCATTGACTTTAGAGTAGAGGTTTTTGATTTGAACTGGCCCTTTATTTTGATAGCAATATGATTGTAATAGCAGGTACAAGGATGTCTTCTGAACGCTCATTGTTGCTAGGATAGATGCACATGAAATCTGGTTGAAGCGAAGCGGTTTCCTCAACATCTGATTTTTTAGGTTTTTTGTTGTGCTGTAATGTTGGTTGGATAAACAAGCCGAGTTAATTTAGGTTGTGAGTATTTACTGGAGTTCCTACCATCTCATGACAAGCAAGGGCTATCTTATAACTTGAAGTATCAGCAGAAGTTGTTCCAATAGTCAATGATAATATTTATTTCTCTATCAAATAAAGTGTCACCAGAAGGTTTTTCTCTATGGTCAATGATAATATTTATTCTCTCTGGAGAATTCATTTGAGACTGCTTTTTCTATGAACTTGCTTTTTGCTTCTTGAAACTAACAGTAAACGTGTCGTGACAGTTTCTTTGAACATGTTCTATTTTATGACATCTCAATTTGCCCTTGTGCTAAGGGAAAGAGCAAATATTTCTCTTTAGTTGGCTTGCTTTTCTTGAAGCTGCAGCAGCATTTGAAAGTATAACTTTGTTATTATATGTTGCAGAATTACCTTTGGGAAGGAGGTTCTGTTTCGCCAAGATATTCAGGAACTGTGAAGCCCATTGGTGTATCAGGCATAGTGGAGTAAAAAGATGAGATATGTGGGATTGCTTCTAAATTGCAGTTTTGTAGAATTAGACAGGCTTGTCCTTAGCACTGGGTTTTTGTCTATACCTGCAGCTTTATCAGTCATATTCTAAGTCGGTCAGATGCTCTGGCAGAGGAATTTGAGGTTTCTGCTCTGGCAATATTTCAGAATTTCTACTTTGCTCTTAGGCAGTAATTTGTTGCTGTTGCTGTGAGATTGGGTTGATGGGATGTTAACTTGACAGGCAGCAATAGTATAATTCTTTCTGTAGGCATTCTCATAAATGGTGCTATTTCGGGTTGTCAAATACGAAGATGATATGTTTCATCATTTTCAACCATGTGTCGAGGGAGATACTGTAGCTTTTGCACTAGCTTAGGTCGGCCATGTCCAAATACTATGATTTGGTAGTGTTGGTTGAATATATTCCATTTTCTATTAATCATTAGTGTACTAGACTAGACTCTTTAGAGTGATTTGAATTAACCCACTTTCTGATTAATTGCATAAAAATTTACCTTATTTGGTGATAGTATGACTGTTTATGGCGAGCTATATACAGTTCTGATTTGAAAAAGGTTCAATTTTATAAATTTTCAATTAGCTTGATTTGAAATTTTGTTTTCCCATAAATTAAAATTCTTAATTCAGTTTGGTTCATAAACAAATATGATACTTGAAATCAATTTTATATATATATATATAGTTTTTAGTTACAAAAATGCAAAATATCAATCTGGATCGATGAATTAATCATAAACTAAAAACTTTTAATTGTTGAAATTTAAAAAATTTGAAGTGGCACAAATGAGTTATTGCATGTCAGAAGAAATCAACAATAAATAGATTAAAACACAGAAATTAACAGGTTATGTAGAAAGAATCATATTCATTCATGGGTCATCAAATTATGCCCCCTCTATTACATTTTTGACTCTCAAAGTCATCAATTCCAGGAAATTAAAAAAGAGAAAGAAAAAGAATATAAATTACAAAAACAATTACCCAGCATTTAAATTGTAAAATTTAATCTGGGTAAATATAAATATATTTAATTTAAGGTATATGGTATAATTTAGAAGGTTTAAGATTATCAGTAACATTGAAATACTTTAATGTTTTAACCCACTTTTCTTGATTCTTCAATGCATGAACTGCAATTGTGTCTGGCCAAAACTCATGTGAACATCCTGTCGGAGGCTCAGGATAATTATACATAGACCACTTTCCATTAAACCTATTTTTAGCTTTATGCCCTTCTCTTATCCAATCCCCAAAAACTTTATCCTCTGGTCCTTCCAGATGGTTTCTTGGAATTTCAGAAACCCTAATCCACTCTACAATATCCCAAGAAACCATATATCCCATTCCAGCCATATAGTGCTTAAACGGGTCCATGCTTGAACATGGAATAACATAACCATAGTACAAATCTTCCCTCGGCAATGGCTTTACAGACTCTGCTAACTTCTCTAGCCTAAAATAAACATCATCGTCTCCTTTCATCACATAATGGTAAGGAGGGTAAGGCCTATCAGTGTCGTTTAACATCTCAGGCAAGCTTGAAAAGTAGGTATAGGTTTTACCTTTGTTCATATTCTCTGTACAGTTGAGAATAATAATGTCATCGTAACGCATTATTTCAAGTGCAACCAGTACCTTCTGATCTTCCTTCGTTAGATTACAGAAAACAAACTTTATGTCAATCTTTGCACCTATTGGAGACTGTGTTCCGTATATCATCCGTAGAAAATGGCGGCGTTGGTATTGGTCGGGAAGCGTTAAAATACCCATTAAAATGCGAACTTCGTCGGAAGTTGAGTTAGTAGAGACCTGAGATGGAACATTATAGGCAAGAGCACTTTTACCTAATCTCAATAAGCTGTCGAATCGAACTTCGTTTATAGAAGCTAATACGCAAAGGAAGAAGATGAAGAAGAAAGAGGGGAGAATGAATCTTCGCCGGTCGGGGCTTTTGTGGTTCATTGTTATAAGGTTTTTGAACAGTTTAAGTGATCGGAGAATGGTATGGTTTAAGGCTAGCATGTGCATATGGTGGTATAGAGGGTTTGAAAATCAAGCGATATTAATAATTTTTTGCTTGAAAGTTTCTTAAATACAAAGTATAAGGTGGCAATTCCGTGCTATTTAGACAATCCACTTAGACTTTTATTCCTCTAAGGAAGGCGATGTGAAAAATAACGTGTCAAGGTTGGATTTACACTTATGTCCTTGGTAAAGAGGGCTTTTTACGTGTGATACTTATCGGGTTCATCATCATGCTATAAACCCACCAAACCGAACTGAATTGATTAGTTTAATTTGATTTAGTTTATAAAAATTTGGTTAGATTTTAGTTCAAATAGAAACATCTAATTTTTTTTGTTTGATTCAATTTTTATTATACAAAATCCAAAAAACTTGTAAACTCTAAAACCAATCTAATTTTATTAAAAAAAAAAAATTAAGGTTGTATTCGATGCCAACTTTTTAAATAGCTTTTATAGTTTTAATTAATTAAAATGTTGATTACTATTTTTTATAGTATTCGGTAATATAGAGTTTGGACTAGTTTTTAAAGGTTAAGGTAGCATTTTACAAAAAATTAATTCGTGTAACATTTAACTTTTAGCGTTTCATAAAAATTGTTCAAACAATTAACAATTTAACACTTTTAACACAACTAACAACTAAACATTTTTTAAACAATTAACAGCTATCAGAACAACTAATTTTGCCGAACAGACCCTAAGCCAAAACCAAAAAACTAAACTGAATAATTTCAATATAGTTTCCCTACAAAAAATTTTGGTTTGACTCGGTATAAACCAAGTCAACCGAGTGCTCGACCCTAAATATTTAGGGCCTTTTAGTCTTTTCAACACATTGACCACTTATGTTCCTTCAACGAGGGTGCATTATGTGGATCTTATTTTCAATTTCCATACCAAAGAAGTGCAGAGAATTACGGACACTACTGATGAAGGATGGTGGAATTGAGCCTAAAGTTGAAAATATATGAAGTGATTTGGTCAAGTTGTCTTAATTTTAGGTATTTTTGCATATGCATGAACACACATAGAATCTAATTGAAGACCTTAAGCTTAAGTATGGCTCACCGTACTTGAATAACAAGCAATACCATTGACCTCGTAATTCTCCTTTGCAATTGCTTTATAATGATTCAAGAAACCTTTTGAACTTTGATTCTTTTGCTTTTGTTCAAAACTTTAATTTTAATTTTATGCTTTCTATATATTGATTAGGAATATGATTAGGTTTCAGGTGTTTATACTTGGAAGTTCAATTTCCTTAAATAAATCAATTTCCTAAACTGAAATTATTTCATTTGAGATCTATATAGATATAATTTCCCAAAACCTCTTCCTCTAATAAAATTAGGGGTGAGCATTCAGCAATTCGCCCAATTCGAGTAATATTTTTAATTAAATCGTTTTATCTGAATTAATTTTGATCATGAACCTTACCGTAGTTAAAGAAAATGAAAACTTAGTTAATTGATCGAATTTAATTGAAATTTGTGATTAACCAATTTAATCGAACTAAAAATTAATCAAAATTTTTAATCACTATTAAATCAAAATAAAAATAAAATATTTTTAATGTTTAATTTTATTATCTACTTAATCAAAACGACGTAGTTCTGGGAGTCGATTAATTTAATTAATTCGGTTAAACTAATTTTCTTTAATTGAATCTTTAACTGATCACCAAAAATCTAATTTTTTTTTTAACCAAATATTTATTCATCGAATTGAATTGATCAAACCGAATGCTCATCTATAAATAAAATAATTTTTCAAAGTCAATCAGGTGTAATATGATTAGTCTTCTCTTCTCACTTATATGTGGAATGAGAAGTTTTAAGTTGGAGACTTTTCAATTAGAAGAATTTTTATTAATTTGGTGAGTAAATGAAAGATTACAACTACTTTTATTGTATAGCCCAGAATATTCTTTAGTCTCTTGGATCTTCTAATGAATGAAAAAAAAATCCAAAGAAATTGATATCATCACTATCATAGTCTATTATAAAGTTTGTATATCAATCATGAAAAAATTGAAAAGTTACTAAATGATTTGAAAAAAAAATTAAAACAAATAAAGATAAATTATAATTTTTTATAAATATCATTGAGATTTTTATGTCTATTTTATTTGCACAATGTATATGATTTATGTATGAATAAATCATTAAAATTCAATTTAACCCTTAAATTTTCGTTAGCTATCAGTTAATACGAAAAAATTTTATGCACAGCCAAATGTTACTTGAACACTTGGTATGTTTTCTCTGACCGTATAAATTAGCTGAACTAAAATCTGCTCCAACTGTTTTGTCGACATGGCTCGGCTAAATGGATTTTGGGGGTTGCGGAATGGCTAAAGAAACAACTTTAGTTGGTTAAAAATGATGTGAGAACCACATGATCAGTACAACGAAAGACTTATATGTCCCTTGTTTTAAGGAGAATCATTAGGCTAATCACGTGCTTCTCATTCTTGGACTCATAGCTTCACATGTATGACCCTATGAGATACTATAAACTACTAAGGACTAATAACCAAAAGCCAGATCTAACAATTGATTATCTTTGAAGCAGCCAAAATTATTAAGGCAATTAAAATCTTTATATAATTAACAAGATAAATATATAATTAACTTGATTCCATATAATATTGCAGGTCAAAAGGGAAATATTAGATTTTAACATGCGAAATAATTCGACGGGCTACGTAACAGGGGAAGCCGTGAAAATAATTATGTTCGAAAGAACTCGAATTCAAGACTTTTCATTTATCACATAAGTGAAAAGACCAACCAGATCACCATCTGATTAGTTAATTATAGTTTATTTATATACATAAACAAGGTATTGAAAATATGAATCCTTATGTCTTGAAGCTTCTTGACATTTTGAGCATTAATTCAACGTGAAAGCACTACAAGAGGACAAAATTTTGAAATTGTTATGATGGTTATCAATTTGAGAATGTTTAATAATTAACCCAAGTTATAAAAAGGGAATAATTAAACTTTGAATCAATATCATTATCATATATATATATATAATATATATATAATATAATAAAAGAGAATAAATGGATTTTCTCTAACGATGACGTGACGTTTTTTCTAAAAAATGAGATTGTATAGAGATTGAGTACTTGATTTATCTTTTTTTTTTGTGAATTTTTGAGTATTTCTCTTTTTGTTATTCATTTTTCTCTCCCATCATTTACTTTTCAATAATGAATTGCTTCTTCATTTTTGTGAGTTTTAAATTCATTAATCGTGGCAATATAAAAAATTTAAATATTTCAATTATATTTTTTAGAATTTTATAATTTACATATATATAAAAAGATTTTTATTAGTTTTTAAATTCAAATTAAATATGCTATTTATTTATTTTTTTTGTAGAAAGCAAATATGTGATAGGAAAACAATACAATATCTAAATCTTTAAATTTTTTTCAATTTACAAATATAAAAATTTTTATTTTTATGTAGTCTAAACTTCAAATCAAATATAGTATGTTTAAATTTTTAATAATTTGAAAAATGTTAAAAAAATAACGTGTTTAAAAAAATACACATTATAAAATACAGTTTAAAAACCATAAGATAAGATGATAAGTAATGTCTTTTATTTATTTATTATTTCTCTTTTGATTTGTTTAATGATTAGTTTCAGTTTTTGAGTAAATTATAAAAACTCAAGTTTAGTTTTTTTTCTTATGATAAGTTGAATATTTTTAAGTCGATAATATTTGAGATCTTCAAATTCAATCTATTATTGTATGATTATATTGAATTTATTATAGAAAAGACTATTTATATGTTTTTTTTATTTTGATTTAAAATTCAAAGAATTTGGATGATGTATTAGTGGTTTTAGCTTTTAAAAATTGTATTTTTTTTGCTGATTAAGAATTTGAATATTTATATATGGTGATATACAAACAAAAAGTTCAAGATTTTCTTTTTATTCACTATTTTATTTTTCTTTTCTTTTTTTATAAAATTTTTAAATTTTTTTTATAAAATTTTTAAATTTCTTTCTATGAAGCTTAGCTTAATTCCTTATTTTAACTTATTCAATGTATTGTCGGTTGAAAGAATAACATGGTGAAATTTCATTACTTTGTTTTAGATGTTTACTCGGTTTTGTTTTTTCATTTTCATTTTCATTTTATATTTAGCTTAGCTTTATTTTTATTTTGTTTATTTTTACAGGAATTTATGTGCGTGTAATTTCAAAGGATTTAAATATATTTTATGCAGCGATAACTTAAATATTTAAGTGGGATTTTGCTTCGATAACTTTTACATTTAATTTCTACTTATATCATGTAATACATATACACTTAGTATTACAGAAAAATTTCTAACAAATATTAATTACACACAAGCACGTAAATGCCAGCCAACTTAAAAAAAAAAAAAAAAAAAAAATTCTTTGGAAGAGAATCTTAAAAGAAAAAAAGAGTATATTGGGGTGTATTAAATTAAGGTTGTGTTAGATTTTAAAAGAATTGTTGAGTTTGATAGAATTGAAAGATTTCTATAGATTCCACTAAAATTCTACGCGGAGTTTTATAGAATTGGTGAGGCTTTTTTTTTATATATTTTGATTAACTTTGATGGAATTGCAATAATTTTTCTATATCTAATCAAAATTAATTTCATGACCTAATTGAACAAATTAAAAGGTTTATAATTCAAATTGAAAAACTGAAAAACAATAAGAGACCAAAATGCAAAATGAATCATCTTCTCCAAAATCGTTTTTCTTTGTTAAAACCTTATCATCGGTGATAGTGAAAGGCTGTAATGCCAGCAAGCGACGGCCATCCGCATCCCCAGAAGAGTTGCGATGTAGTCAAAAGGTCATGGAATTCTCGTCCCTTGACTAAACGGCGAACGTCTCATGGAGCCTAGTGGTCTGCCACAACAACGACAAACTATGTTCTTCAGTTCTTCGATCATTTCAAAGCTTTTTCAATATTTTTATTTGATTAAATTAATATTTAACCAACCCATAAAAATTTTATCTAAGATTGAAAACGCAGCTTGATTTTTATAAATAGAGTAGAAATATAAATAGACATAACGGTTGAAAAGATAGTATCAAAAATTTGTATATCAAAGAATTAAGTTATGCAAGTGACTATAAATAAAAAAATCTAAAAAAATAAAAATATAATTACTAAATAGACATAGATAATTAAATAAAAAAGCAAATACAATTCTTTAAAACGAAAAAAATTAAAAAATTTATTATTAATCCAAAAAATTTGTTGTATGAATTATTAATTATTCCAAAAAAAAAAAAAAGAGTTTTCATTAATGCAAATAAATTTATTAAACGATTATTAATTAATAGTTTCATAATTTACTTTCTTCAAATTAAAAAATTAAGTTGAAAATAATAAAAAGTTAAGAAATAACAGAATGCCATGTCATCAATAAGTTTCTCCACATCATCATATAGATAGATATATAAAAAGATATTCAAAGATTTTTTTATTTTTTTTGAGAAGGATATACAAAGATTACTAATAAAACAGAATCGAGGAAAAATAAGAGACCTGTAATAATTAATATACACAATCCAAAACCTACAAATATATAGTATATAATGTATATACACATCAACCTACAATATATAATATATATATATATATATATATATATTAATAATATATATATATATTTATATGATATATTATTATATAGTTAATTTCCCATTTCTTATTTTACCATGAGATTAGGAAACCATGTACAAAATTCAAGAATAGAACAATTAAAATATAAAGAATCAAACATACCCAAATGGACTCAGTATATGCAAACACTCCCATAATCTGACATTCAAAAATGAAAAAAAAAAAACAAAGATAAAAATAAAAAAAAAAAAAAAAAAGATAAAAATAACAACCAAAAATACATTTTTGTTGAGTATTCTCATCCAGCGGTTGATTCTGTGCACATTCCCATCCAACGGTTGAGGGTGCGCACGACACATCCTTGCATTTCCTTCCGTCGTTTCTTTGCAGAAAATCCAGTTCTTGATAAATAGAAAATGCAGAGCAGGAAACCCTCTAATAAAACACAGGCTCCATCACCAGCAGCAGCAGAAACTTCAATCAATCAAGCTTCAAAAATATAATCATGGAGACCTCAATTTGAAGCTATTACTATTCCCTTGTAAATATTTAAGCTCTAAAGAAATCTGCCTCTCAATCTGCAGTTGCCGGCGAAAATTTTCAATAAATAACTCAGCTCGATTATCAATATCATCTTGATCTGAAGGATAGCTTATAGTTCTATACAGCCCTTTTGAAGAAGAAGAAGGAGAAAAAAATGAATATTCTGATTCTGCATCATCATCATTCGTACAAGCCCTTAATCCCGGTCTTTCATTGAAGCTAAGCCGGTGGTTTTTCTTCGTTGGAGAAGAAGCGCCAATAAACGAAGCCACCAGCCGCCACCGGTTGATGTCGAGATTTAGTAGGATCTTAACCTTCTTCACCGCCGTCTTAAGGCGGCTAAGTAGAGACCAGTTGGTGTCTTTCCCCATTTCAGACGATCCGATTTGTGTTTTTCTTTCTTTGTTTGCGTTGTATATATTGAGAAAAGGCAGAGTTATGTTGTTGAAGGAAAGACTCTTTATGTAAAGTGATAAGCAAAGCAAGCGATATTTAAAGCCAGTTGGTGTGGAAGTTTTCTGCAAGGAAATAAACAAATACGTAGAGAAATGGATTACCGTGTAATGATTTAGCCATTTTGCATGGTCAAGAATTTGAAATAATTACTTTTTTTTTTTTTTAAGATTTAGTGACACGTGCGTATTTTTTATTGGATAGAAAGCTTGACTTCTTGTCATTTAGGTACTTAATTAATTGCAGAATAATTAAAAGAACAAATTATATCTGTTGAAAAAATTATCCACGGTATAATATATTTAGGCGGCACGCGGTTGGAGCAAATTGGAATTTGATAATTATGTGATGGTTTTGGATGTATTAGGAATAGATTTAGAACTAATCCAAATCCGAAGTTGCCCAGTCGCTGCTGCCTAAGGCATTTGACTTGGCATAGAAATTTCACGGTAAGTAAGTAGGCAGCTGCAACCTGCAAACGCAATTTAAAGTGAAAGTTCGCAATTCAGAAAGTCAAAATTAGCAAAAAAAAAGGAGGCATCTTGTGGTCAATTAGATATTACTCAAACTTGGCAATCAAGCTTTCATTTTTTTTTTTTTTTTTAATACAGAAGGAAGGGAACAAAACCCCAATCAAGCTTTTCATTTGACCTCGAGTACCAATTAGATATTTTTTAAACCTTTTTATCATCTCAGCTATTTATGTTTGAGGTAGCATTATGTTTTTCTTATTACCTTCTAATTTTTAAAGTTAAATGTTAATATAATACTATTAATTATTAGTTATTTGAATATTGATAGAGTTGGAATTGAAATGAAATACTCAACATTCTTAACATTACCTCCAATTAATTTATTTGGATAAAATTTCTAATTACGGTATCCCATTTATTTAGAGTAAACTTACTAAATTTGGTAAAATGTTCAAAGTATATAGTATTTTTTTTTTTTTGAGAATAAGTATAAGGTGTTAAAACTGAAATACCGAAGAAATAATTTGCTTTTTATTATATTTCATTCATCAACTCACAACAACCCTATTTATATATAACAAACCCTAATTGCTAAAGGGGAAGAAACATGTAAATATAGTAAGAAAAGACTTCTACAAGGAAAGTCTAGAAGCGCATCAATGGCATATCTCTAAAGATACACAAAAAATAAGGCAACAAATAAATGAAAAATATATTCCTCAATATAAAGTTCTTATTGTCATTTATACATATTATCTCTGTTTCATAATATTTGTCATATTTGAAATTTCACGTCTCTTAAAAAAATCATTAAATTTATTGAGTAAATTGGCTATATTACCCTTAATTTAATTCTAGTTCTCTAAGAAAACCATTAAATTGAAGTAATAACTATTGATCATATATATAAAACGTAAATATGAAAAAAAAAATATTTATTACTCTTTGAAACAACAAATGTGACAAGTATTTAGAACAAACTATTTTCTCAAGTGTAATAAGTATTATGAAACAGAGGTAGTAGCTTTCTTTATTCACTACAAAAAAAACGCTAAATTGCGACCGATTTTTGCGACCGACATATATGGGTCGTAATTTTGCGACCGATTTGCGACTTATAATCCATCGGTCGCAAATTTTGGCGCTTAAAATTCCCGCGATTATGGTTAGTGATTTGCGACCGCTGTAATAGGGATTTGCGACCGATCTGCGACTAATTGGTTATCGGTCGCAAAATTTCGCGCGTTAAAAATGGGCCAAAGTTCTGGAACCGATTGGAGACAAAATTGCGACTGATTTTTTGCGACTGATATTTTCAGTCGCAAATCGGGCGCAAAATTTGCGCATAGTCAAACGACGTCGTGTCATTAAAAATTGCGACCGATTTTATAAACTTTGCGACCGATGAGTCGGTCGCAAATATTAGGGCTTTAAACGAAACGCGCGCCCTCTCTTTTTCTTTCTTCTTCTTTCTCTCTTCCTCCTTCTCTCTTCTCCTTCTCCTCTCCTCTCCTCCGTCCGCAACGCCGCTCCGGCCCTTCCTGACACCGTTCCAGCCCGCCTGACGCCGCCATTCTCGCTCCCTTTGCACTCCAGTCACTCTGTTTCGAAACAATCTGAGGTTAGTTTTATTTTGCAATTAATTTTTCGAAATTTTTTTTCGAATTTATTTGTTTTTTATTATATTAATTTATGGTTGATTTTGTATATTGTTGTTAGAATTTTGTATATGGTTGCGATTAATTTATTTAGTATATGGTTGAGTTGCGATTAGAATTTTTTTAGGGGAGTCAAAATTATTATTATTTTTATTATTATTACTGTTCTTATTATTATTATTATTATTATTATTATTATTGTTATGTTATTATTATTATATTATTATTATTTTAATTGTTATTATTATTTTTACTGCTGTTCTTATTCTTATTATATTATTATTATTATTATTATTATTATTATTATTATTATAATATTATTATTCTTATTATATTATTGTTATATTTATAATTATTTAATGCGTGTTATTAATTCTTATTAATATATTATTATTATTATATGGTATTTATTTGTGGACCGATACTATTATTATTATTATATTATTGTGATGTTATTATTATGTTATTATTATTATTTTATTATTATTGTGATTGTTTATGTATAATTATATTATATTATTAGTAAGTATTAGTATTATTAGTAATTATTGTTGTTGTTATTAATTATATTATTAAATGTTTTATATTATTATTATTGTTATTGTTTTATTTTATTATTAATTACTGTAGTATTATTGTTGTTGTTATATTATTATTAAGTAATTATTTGTTACCCTAAGCGATTGTGGATTGCAATTATGGCAATTTAATCTCTTAGCATGCGTTTGTTTTGCGGAATAAAGTTAAGAAAAAATTAGAATGTAAAGATATGAAATTATTGAAAATATTGGATCCAAGTGCATTTTTCACCGTAATTATTTTCTCTGAAATTTAATATAAATATTTTTAAGAATGAATGATTATAAATATTAAATATGCCATTTCATTTTTAATTATTTTTTTAACTGGTTATATTTTTTTTAACTATAAGAAACTAATAATTTTGATTTCAAGGCGGCAACTTCAATTAAAAGCCACTTAATTGTACCAAAATAACTGATTCACCGCTTAATTAATATATTTTCTATTATGAGTAAATCGAATAGAAAGAAAAAAAGAAAAGTCGGCATCATGAAATATATACCTGTATAATTATACAGTAACCAAGAAAAGGATTTGATTTGATGGCCAATATATTATATTAACTTGATCCATTTTGTGAGGACCGAGGGCCCAAAAACTTCAATTTTTCCTTTTCCTTTTATCTCTAGATCGTGCATATGTCACCCATTTCATAATTTTGAAAGTTTATATATGGTCCTATGAACAATAAGGTGTTTTTTTTTTTTTTTTTGTAATATGAAATTTGATATTCCATTTAAGAGATATTAAAAAATTAGCCTAATAATAGGGGGAAAGGTTGAGGTTAGAGAATGATACACAATGATTACCGTTGGAAGAAATAACAAAAATGATAGCGAATTGAGGAGAGACTTAAGTTTTACTTAAGGCAACAATCAAAAAACACGTGTTTCTGATTTTTATTGTTTTTAAAAAAAATAAAGATATTTACAATCAATTAATAACTAAGAAAAATTAAATTGAAATCACATCCATTCCCCTCATCTTAAATAAAAATAATTACCAACTGCACAACCACCAGAAATTGAACGAGTTAGAAGGATGAATTTTTTTAACTACCTCATCAACTCGGAAGCGAATTTATTACAAAATTAACTGATTTGATAGCCACTTTATTAGACCATTTCAAAGTCTGCAACCACTTCGTTCTAGTTTCAAAGTCTTCTTTGATAGAATATAATATAGATTTTTGAAGAATAATTGGAATTTATATAAATTATTTTTTGTGTGTTTAGGTTATTACATGACAATGTTTCTTAATTATTGGGCAACGTTCTTCTTGAGAAAGTTTTGGCTGTGTTTTTTTCTACTTTTTTCTTTATTTTATATTATTGTCGTTATTTTTCTTAAATATATTTTTGACTTAAATAAATGATGAGTTTGGATTGGAGGCCTAGTAGTGGCCATATTGCCTTTGGAGAATGTTGGTATGATATAGAAGTGTTTATTGATTTGTTTTTATATTTGAGATTTGATTGTGTTGTGCCGAAATGCTGCCGAATTTTTTCCCCAAAAATTCAATATGTAGAATAGTACACTTATCTTTATTATAGTAGTCTTTGTATTCAATAAATGAACTTAGTGATTTTACATTTATATATAGTTACCCTTATTATAGAAATAACCTTAGTTACTTATTAAGTGTTGTAAAATTGAAACAATTACAATTAGGTGCATGTTTTAAAGGATGGTATTAGACTAATGCAATTACATGAGGGCCCTATTATAAACCATTGTTATAGATAGATAAAAAAAAAAAATGCAAATGATCGAGATTAGATAGTAACTGGAGGTTCGAGGTCAAGTGGGATATTAAAGACAAGAGTTTTCTGCAAGGATTGGAGCGTTTTATACAGTTTGCAGTTGGTAATACCAGTTTTGGATGGTAATAAGTTTGAGGTGTCATTATCACAGAAAGTGTGAAATCGGCCTTCTTGAGACATGATACAGTGAACTTCATTTGTGCAACATGGGTTTGTGGAAAATTATTATGAATGGATACATGCATGGTGAGCTCGAGTTTGCCAGTGGGTCAGCCACTCAATTCGGTCAGTTTAGAGTCAGCTTATCAATTTCGATGTATGGCAATACAATGCATGATATGGTAATCGATGCGAGTAGAGTAACAATGTGGATTGGGATAATATGGAGGAATCGCAATATGTGCAAGCACAACAATTTGTTGACATGCTAAGTGCAAGTAACAGTGAACTGTGGCCTGGATGCAAGAATCATTCAGTTCTGTCTGTTGTTGCACGATTACTACACATGAAAGCGGAGCACCATTTCTCAGAAAGGTGTTACGATGATTTTGTGCAGTTAGCAAAGGA